AGATAATTCGAGTCGCATATATATAGGTAAAGTTAGTAATCCATTTATGTGACTAAAATTTGTAAGCTTTTTTTATCTTGATAAAGATACGTTGTAGATTTGTTTTTATAAGTAAATAATATGGATTTGAGAAAATATGATAGAATCATAGAACTAGTGTCCGTTAAATATGTATGCATCATCTTACAGGTAAATGCAAAACAAAACAAAAAATCGTTGATAGGATCACAAGACAGAGAAAACAAAACACAATAACTGGATATGGGGCTTTTGTAAACTCAGTGCGATAGTATATTCTGAATTTTTATATACTTAAATTAATTAGATGCTCCTTTTCCCCTTTATTTAATTGATGTTAATTAAAACAAATAAACATCAAATATTTTGACCCAAAAAAAAAGACAAATAATAACAATTGTATTCAGCGATAAAAGCATTGAAAACAATTATTGTATCTGAGGCTGCGGAGATGTGTCAAAGGATCAAATTTGGCAGCCATTTCGGACCCCAGTTTGAATATATTAAAATACATATATGTATCAACAGGATATTTATTCTTCTATGTTTTACAGGATATTTGTTCTTCTATCGAATAAACTATTACATAAACCCACGTGGAATAAATCCCGAACTGTCATAATCAGTCTATGTCAGTAATTTTAGTCTAGTCTTTTTTTCTTTTAAATTAGCGGTTATGGATATAGATTGATAGTGCTTGAATTAAAAAAAATATTCATAACTCATAACGACATATGCTAGCTTTTAAAATTAGTTTTTCTTTGCAACATTTCAACAATTCATTGGCATATCTGAAAGCAATGTGGTGTGGTTTCCCTTTCCCAAAATTGTAGCTGCTCGGCTTTTAGTGTTTCTCTCTGACTTTTCAGTTGACCAAAATATTTGTTTCTCCTATTTTCTTGTGTTCATAACAAAAGTAAACTAATATGGACCAAACACGCGTTTATAGTCGATAAAAGCTCATTTTCTAGAACATAGACGGAATCATCTACTCTAAAAAAAAAAAATTCTCCACCAACTCCTACCTTTTCACTATTTACCTTTTCTATTTCATATGTTTTTTGGTCAAGGTTGAGCCCTTTAATAATATTATTAAGTTATTATAATATTTCATCAAATTATAACTAAATAGAAGATATAATATAAAACGTACATTTGTTTTTCTCTATATAATATAACAAATACAAATATTTTTATATATAAAGGTACATAAATTTAAACCAAAGAACCGATTTTTACACATGCTCGATTTAGATTTTGATTGTCTGGAGTGGAATTAGAACATGTATGTTATATTTGTATCATTTGCTTTCTTGTTATTTTTGGTTACAGATAGAATGAGCATATTTACTATTCTGAAATAAGTGAAAACCGGACGCAGAGATGAAATCGACTTTTGAACCGGGCTCAACCGAATATCGGTCTTCACCAGAACCAGCAAAAATTAAGAATTAGACCATTTGGCATTTGACGATAGTGAAGATTAATAAGTTACTATGGGTTTAAAGCCCACTAAAAAAGAATGGAGACGGCCCAAATAACTTGTAGCCATCGTCGTCTTCTCCAAAAGTAAGTTACAGAGTAAAGCTTTTTCCGCACGGAATCTAGAGTGGGTTTCAGTACAGAAATACGTCGGATTTTGGTTTAAAAAGCACTTTTTACTATATTAGGCTGAATTTGGAAACCCTACGTTCCTTCATCTGTTGAAAATTTTCGATCGTCGATGACAGTCGTTTATATAAAATGGTGGAATTGTTTGGAAAATTTCCAAAAGAAAAAAAAAAAAAAGAATGGCTGGTTTATTCCAAATCCCCCAGCTCAGTCTTCAAATCGTCGTTCTACTATTGGTGATTTTGGGAGTGTTCGTGTTTGTTTTGATGATCGCCGGTGTATTCTGGTGCAGGGAGCGATTCCGACCGAATAAGGGTTATCCAGTTTCAGCGATTTCTATACAGTTGGCTGATCTCTAGTTGAGTCTTTCTCTCCCGCCTCTTTTCTCTATCTTCTTTCTCTTTAAAGCTCTATCAAATGCTTTTAACATTTCGGTGTTTTTTCAGCAAAAAATAAAAACTGTCAGGTGGTTTCGTTGTTCTTCGTGAAGAGTTTATCGCTGTGACAGGATGCTCTCGTTCACCATTTCGATTTTCGTCAAATTGGGTATCTCCATTTTCCTTGTGTCGTTTATGTATTTCGTCTTTCGGCCCGAATCATAAATTAATAAGAAAAAATATTTCTCTATTTATCTTTGTGTTTCCTCTGACTCTCTAAATACAATGATAAACCATATTTGCTACTGTAGAATTGTGCTTATTTTTTGTTATGCATGAAATGCCTAAGAGCAACCTCATTGGTAAACCCCTTATAAGATTCATCCAAAATATTTTATTAATAAAATTTTGAGATTCTCAAATTGGTGAACCTCATCTATTTTGATCCTCCATTGGTAAATTTCTGATGGAGTTCTTAGGAAAAAAAAAAAAAAAATTAAGTTAAATTTGGAAATAATTATTATGTTGATATTAATTTTAAACATTAGCATTACATTATTAAAATACATAGACAATAGAGAAATTGAGAACATATGATAAAAATATTTTTTTAGTTATATGGAGTTTAATCCTTGCAGTGATGCAAAACAATCCTTGCAGCAGCTCCAATATCCACAAGACCTCCCTTTTTAAGCTTACCCCTTACGGTGGCAACTTTATAAAGAAAATCATCAACTGATTCAAAGCTCGGGATTTTGTACAGAGTCACCAGCATTTGTGTGGAACAAAGCTTGAGGACAATCACTCGTCTGCAAAAGATTGCTTGGTTTTGATGCCTTGGATGATTTCCAACCCAAGTTTGATCTCTGTTCCTGGGTACTACATTTGCTAAGGCAACAGCTGGAAATTCTTCCCTAAGGTACTTAAGCCATTTCTCAGCAGCCTCTCGGAGAACAAGATCTAAACAAAGAGAACCCGTTACATAAAGTAATGATACCACCCGAAGGAAACATAAACTTATTATGTCCACAAGCAAAGACTTGTAAAGAACTTACCAATCTTGTTAAGCAGCAATACAAGGTGTTTATTGGGACCAGCTTGCATCACCATCCTCTCCATGTCGGTACAACGCGAGCCAAGGGGATCACGGGCATCAAGAACCTCCAGTATAGACATCAGACAGTTCAATGACTTTAACAAGCTCCTTGTAGAAAGCCCTCTCCGAGTTATCTATCAAACAGATAGACATCAGTGAATGTAAAGGTAGACTGAAATCACATAAACGTGTGGAGAAGATATCCAAATCAAAGCACAATAAGACTCACCTCGAACATTGACAACTCTAGTTGAGTCATCTCCGCTCTTCCCCTCTCCATACCCTTCTTCCGTCTTGGTATCATCATCATCCTCAACGAAACCAAGTTTCCTCTTTTTGGCCTAAAACGATTTAATTAGAGAGATGAGAACAAAAACAGCACTTAAAGAATAATTCTTACGAGAAAATCAATCAGCAAAACATGGAAAATGATATCCATCGTCAATCAACCAAAAACCAGAAGACACATGACAAGTCTTTAACAACTCTGACCTAAAATTTAAGTGAAATGATCATTGAAAAGAACCAGAAGATTGCCTATGCTACAGAATTTCATAGATTGGAGCTACAAAGTTTGAGAATGATGATACCCTTTCTTTTCGGGCGACTTTCTTCTGTTCGATCTCTTCGAGGGCACGTGCACGTCGAGCTTCTAAGGCCTTGAGCTCCTGTTCCTTGAATGGCCAGTCACTGGGAATACCTGGGTCCTTCTCTGCTCTTGGTTTACGGTTAAGCCCGAGCTTCTTAGCATCCTTTGCTTTCTCCTTGTGGTGCTCCTTCACCTTTCTCAAGACCTTGTGCTTCTGCTTCAAGTTTACTCTCTTACTCTTGATCTCTGCAAAACAGTCGCAACATCAAACAATCATTAAAGACCGAGTAAAATCCTGAGCTGATTTCAGTTCATCGGCGAAGACAAACCCAAAACAGAGATTTTATTGAGCTGATTTCAGTTCATCAGCCACCGATTTGTCGCAGATTGATATCGCCGGTGGAGAGGATTTTTTTGCGGAGAAAACAAAGAGCAGATAAAATGTTTTCTTCCATTCTGGGTCTATCGCTAAGAGAGAGAAGGGAAAAAAGCAACCAATCCTACCAAGCCACGTCACGGACGAACTCCATCAAAATCGGTTCTAAAAGTTGTTCGGGAAGACCGGATTCGTCAAAATAAAAAGCTTTTCTATTTAAATTAAATACAAAAAGTCGATGAACTTCATCGGTGAACCCTTAAGAGCCGCCCGATGGAGATGCCCTAAGAATAAGAGTAGTAGCAGTTCTTTAAAGAAGCTACCACAAGAAGTAGAGAAACATGCAATACAACAAACCAACCCAGTTCCAAAAAAACCCGTTAAATTACAGTGTAGAGATAGAAATTGATGAGATCTTTGGTGGGAGAAAGAAACAGAAGCCAGAGCTCGAGAAATCTCAGACCAAAGCAGATATAGCAAAGAAAGAGGGGAAAAGATATGGGCTTGACGGGTTCAACAACAACCCAAATACCAGACCCAATAAGAAAACCGAGGACGATCTACTAGTGTAGAGATATATACAAGGCCTTTACTGGTGACAGGGGCAGAGATATACTTATTGGGAAGTTGGGGCCTATACATTGTAAAATTTCATTAGCTTAGTTGTCAAAAGTAGCATTCTTACTCATCTTTACTTACATCACTTAGAAGTATCATCGATTAAATAAACATGTATAATTAACAAAAAGAATTTGCAACTGAAATGATGCATTAATTCAGTTACTAATGAGATGATCATATACCAACTTTGTACCACCACATAAAATATTAAAATTATAGATCATATGTCGAAAAAAAAGTTTTCCTTCATACTTATAAGATTTAAATACTTGAACATGAAACCTTTAGTCCAAATTATTCATTATAATTAAGGGTCCCTATAATTAATAACCAAACACATATTTTTTTTAATAGTTTTAGATTCCACAAGAATCTCCTCCCGGTCCACCATAAGTGAACAAGTTGGATACTTTGAGGAAATATTTGGTCTTTCCATCTCTTAAGCCATAACATTTGTCGCTGTCTAATATTTTTTCTAACTTATATTTGTCACTTCCTTTGAGTTTAAAGTCAGAAGTTATGATTACAAGGCTTTTAACACGTGCAGACTCATCCTCATTTTTCGTTGGTAGGTGACCATTACCCATTGGAGGACTTATACCAGAAGGAGAAGATTGGACTGCTCCTGTAACTCCAACCATGTCCACACTTTTATCTATAAGATCAAATAGCTCTTTCGGCCAGTAACCAACATTTACATCTGGTTTAAGGTATCTCACATCTGTTGTCCACCAATGTCCTGTTTCTTTATCCTTTTTTTGTAAATATATATATATATATATATACACATGTATAAAAAAACATACATGTTAGATTTGATATATCATGTAATACATATATATATATAGTTTGTAAAAATGCGAATACCTGTTGAATACTAGTATAAACACCCACTTCTCCTTTGCGTGGATAAGGATAAGGCATACTTAACATATCGGTTTTTGAGACTTGAACAAAACCAGGACATACTGTATTATAACAACCAGCTCCATTGGCACCCTATCAGTATTTAATTCCAATATATCAATATAATCTATACGATAACTGAAAAAAAAAACTAGTTAAAATCAATGTAGATTAAAAGATGGAAACAAAAAACACATATTTAAAGAATAACTAAATATAAAGATGTATCACCATAAATTTATTTTAGATTTTAAAATGTTGTCTAAGATGCTAACTACACCATTCATGTCTTTTTCTTTTTTAGGTCAACATGCATATTCCAATTAATTAATTTTAATGGTTAACCAAATAAAAGGAACATTGATCAGAAAACAAGAATCAAAAGTGTGAAAATATAGCACTATGTGCCAAGTGCCGTACAGTTATATGTGCCGACTAAGTTTAACATTCAAATCCAGAAGAAAATGAACATTCAAAGCCGTTTTAGAGTTTTTTTAAATCTAATTTCACATGCTATATATATTTTTTTTCAAATGTTCTTTATGAAACAAAAGAAATTAAATTGTTATTAACACACTTAACAATGGTTTAACATATCTTTTGTACTTAGTTTTGTTTTTACTTTTTTTATGGCTAACTAGGATTTTATAAAGAATGTGAACAATATGTATATATGTATCGATACATATACCTTCCAAAACCCGTAACTCCATGTACGTCCGTCACCAAATAAACTTGGATTCACCTGCGCAGAAAATCAGTGCATTTTTAAATTATTTTATATAGAAAAAGATAATATAACACCAGCATCAAAATTACATTCAATAATTTTTTTTCAAAAACAAATTACCATCCAACCGGTTTGGATAGAGTTCTTTTTATTGTTGGTTCCGCTTCCTACATATATGTTAGTATAAGAAACTTGATCTTTACTAATATTCAAATCATGCAAGCTCATCCAAGCTGCCAAACCACGGTAACCTTGACCTTGTGAATTAACTCCAGCGAACTTCAAATGTCCAAACAAATATATCATAAGTATTTTTATGATATACATCTTCATAATTTAAACAATTAAAGTAGATTTGTTTACATGTGTTCCATGACTTTCAGCAGTGAGTGGATTAAAGTGTTTTTCTGCCCAATATTGAGCATTCGCAGCATATTCTTTTGTGTTCCTCAGTATAGGAACTGTTCCATTTGGACATTCGATAATTTTGTTGCTTTTACTTTCACCTCTAATATTATTTTTTGGTTTAGAGATCGAAAAAGATGGTTCCATCTGTTCAAAATTATATTGTCACGATAGATACATAATGTGAAAACTAAACTTTACTAGACATTATCCAAAAAGCTTTTTGCACAAAACAATATTTTACATGAATTGAATAAAGTTTGGAAAATAACATAAATAGGTTTTGATAAAAAAAAAAATACCTGAATTTTATGATTTTGGAGTAATGGATGAAGTAAGGAAGGTTGTTTATATATATCCACACAATCATATATCATTTTCTCATTTAACTATAAAAAAAATATTCGTAATCAGAACCATAAATCATTATACATAATCTTAGTATGAGATTTGAATGTCTGTGTATATGTATGCATTATTTTTTTAATTTACCTTAAAACTTTTTATATTTTTGATGGATTCTCTAGATTGAACCACATAAATTATGAATATGAATGCAACAAGTCTCAGAATAAAATCCATAGATTATATATTCGAAGTTTTCTTGATAATATTTTTGTTAGATCTACATTTTCATCCTTTAGGTATTTATAATTGTTAAGAAGTTCAATTCATGTCTTTTCCTCTTTACAAAAATTTTATTTTATTTTCTTATTTATGGTTTTTATTAATAATAATATCATATAAATAGATTTAAAAAAAAAGTTTGATAATCATATAATAGAAAACAAATTCACTTTTTACATGTGTCCATGGGAGTTTTACAGTCCACTTGGATTTTTTTAAAAAGGGATATTAATCAAACACTAATGTTCTCAATCTGTTTGTTTTTCAATGTTTGCATCATTATTTAATAATTTATTATGTTTAGATATCATCATATATATATATATAAAATAAATATTTTCTATCTTTTATTGGCCCCATGTAAATTTTTTTAATAAAACAGTATCAACCCACGTAGATTTTATTTTGACCGACCTAGATTTTAATTTATAATGTGTATATTGCATTGTTGACAAAAACATTTTTACTATCTCTATATTGGTCCACTTTTATTTTAACAAACACTCTTTAAATCCACCCAGATTTTTTATAAGAAAATAAATATACTCATTTATTTGATTAATTTTTGTATAGGTTCTTGGTTTAGTTCTTAAGTTTTAGATTTTTATTAAATGTTCAATTTTAGATTACTTCATTTTGTTTAGTTTTAATATACAAAGAAAAATATATAATCTCTTCGTAGTCGTCTCTTCTATTAGACTAGTCCACTTGGCATTTAGAATCTGCAATTAAATTTGATTAGCTGTTATGGGAGTTTTTTTTTTCAAAATATTGTTCTAGATTTCATTTTCCGATTTTTTTTTTAGAACTATCGAGAATTTTGGCAACCCAATAACCAAACAATTCATAGATATTAAACCATTGTATTGTATGTATCTCCTACACTTGGTTTCTGAGTTTGGAATCACATAATTAGTATCCCAACTACCTAGACAAGAAGAAGACCTCTGATGTCTCGTCTGATCTTTTACCAGAGGCCAGCGGCTGATCCGTTAACATCGTCGAGCCGCTTCATCATCCAATCTATGATATCACGACCAACATCCTCTCGCTCGGGTTCAAAGAGAAGGTCGTGTAAGAAACCATCGTAGAGTTTGATGTCTTTGAACACTGATGGTGCCTGATTATACAAGTCTTGTGAAGCTAGTGGATCAGTGACTTTATCCTCTGTACCATGGAGGACAAAGAAAGGCACCGTAACAGATTTGAAGTTCCGGGTCAAGTAGGCTGTTATGCGGAGAATCTCATGGCCAGTTCGGACTCTTATGGGGCCGGTGTAGACTAACGGGTCAGAGTACTTGGCTAAGAGAGCTTCAGGGTCTCTTGAGACAGGAATGCCTCTCTTGTTTGCTCCTTTGAATTGGAACCTTGGGGCGACCAACGAGAAGAATGGAGCAATCGCCTACAAAAGAAACATAGTATGACTTAATGAATGATCGATCACCTACTAACATTTTCCAAAGCATCTAACTCGATTTACCCCGACAATAGGATGAGCAGGTTTGACACGAAGTGCAGGCGATGTTAGGACAATACCGGCTAACATATCTTCGATCGAAGGTGATGAAGCCGCCTACAAAAGACAAGCCAGACCATAAATCACTAATATAACAATATCAAACAAAAATTTTTTTTAAAAAAAAAACAATTCTTGATTAAAAAAACCAGTTGTGCTAGGCCCCATTATAAAATATTTTATGATGTTTTTTTTTATGGATGGCCATGACCCCTCGTCCTCCTTGTCCCTTCTGACTGCATTTGTATATAACTGTTGTAAGATGATAATTCTTAGAAAAAGAAGGCAACAAAACAAAACAAAAAAGATGATAATTCTTTTTAACTGTTGTAATTCTGAGTGCATTATCAAAAAAAGATGATAATTATTTTTCTTTTTTGTTCAATTCTTCTTCACTAAAATTTAACTTACTACAATCAGCCCACTAAGAGCCTTTTTGGCTAAAAGGTCAGCCCTGCTATTAGCCACTCTGGAAATGTAATTGAATCAAAGTCAGAAGTGAGACTTCAGGTAGCATTAAATTTGTCCCGACTTCCGTCCTAATCAAGTACACATACTTACATCACTTAGAAGTATCGATTAAATAAACATGTATAATTAACAAAAAGAATTTGTAGCTATGCATTAGTTCAGTTACTAATGAGATGATCATATATATACCAACTTTGTACCACCACATAAAATATTAAAATTATAGATCACATGTCGAAAAAAAGGTTACCTTCATACATATAAGATTTAAATGCTTTAACATGAAACCTTTACTCCAAATTATTCATTATAATAACCAAAACATAACTTTTTAATAGTTTTAGATTCCACAAGAATTTCCTCCAGGTCCACCATAAGTGAACAAGTTGGATACTTTGAAGAAATATTTGGTCTTTCCATCTCTTAAGCCATAACATTTGTCGTTGTCTAATATTTTTTCTAACTTATATTTGTCACTTCCTTTGATTTTGAAATTAGAATCTATGATTTTAACGCTTTTAACGCGTGCAGACTCATCCTCATTTTTCGTTGGTAGGTGACCATTACCCATTGGTGGACTTATACCAAAAGGAGAAGACTGGACTGCTCCTGTAACTCCAACCATGTCCACACTTTTATCTATAAGATCAAATAGCTCTTTCGGCCAGTAACCAATACCTACATCTTTTTTAAAGTATCTCACATCTGTTGTCCACCAATTTCCTGTTTCCTTATCCTTTTTGTAAATATATATATATACACATATATAAAGAAACATACATGTTAGATTTGATATATCATGTAATACAAATACATATATATATACAGTTTGTAAAAATGCGAATACCTGTTGAACACTAGCATAAACACCTAGTTCTCCTTTGCGGGGATAAGGATAAGGCATACTTAACATATCGGTTTTTGAGACTTGAACAAAACCCGGACATATTGTATTATAACAACCAGCTCCATTGGCACCCTATCAGTATTTAGTTCCAATATATCAAGATAATTTATACGATAACAGAAAAAACTAGTTAAAATTAATGTATATCAAACGATAGAAACAAAAACACATACTTAAAGAATAACTGACTAGTTAAAAAAAAAAATAACTGACTAAGTATAAAGATGTATCACCCATAAATTTATTCTAGATTTTAAAATGTTGTCTAAGATGCTAACAACACCATTCATATCTTTTTCTTTTTTGGTCAACATGCATATTCAAACTAATTAATTTGTTGGTTAACCAAATAAAAGGAACATAGCTCAGAAAGAAAAAATCAAAAGTGTAAAATATAGCACTATTTACCATACAGTTATAAGCGCCGAACAGCTAAGTTTAACATTCAAACCCGGAAGAAAATGAACATTCAAGCTGTTTTAGAGTTTTTTAAATCTAATTTTACATGCTCAATAAATATTTTTCAAATGTTCTTTTATGAAACAAAAGAAATTGTTATTAACACACTTAACAATGGTTTAACATATCTTTCGTACTTATTTTTATGGCTAACTAGGATTTTATAAAGAATGTGAACAATATGTAGATGTATCAATAGATATACCTTCCAAAACTCGTAACTCCATGTACGTCCGTCACCAAATAAACTTGGATTCACCTATAAACTTAATGCATTTTTAATCAATGTATATAGAAAAAGATAAAATAACATTAACATCAAAAGTAAATTCAATAATTTTTTTCTCAAAAACAAATTACCATCCAACCGGTTTAGATAGAGTTTCTTTTGTTGTTAGTTCCACTTTCTACATACATGGCAGTATATGAAACTTGATCTTTACTAATATTCAAATCATGTACGCTCATCCAAGCTGCCAAACCACGATAACCTTGACCTTGTGAGTTAACTCCAGCAAATTAATTCAAATATCCAAATTAATATATCATAAGTATTTTTATAATATCCATATTCATAATTTAAACAATTCAAGTAGATTTGCTTACATGTGTTCCATGACTTTCAGCAGTGAGTGGATTAAAGTGTTTTCCTGCCCAATACTGAGCATTTGCGACGTATTCTTTTGTGTTCCTCAATATAGGAACTGTTCCATTTGGACATTCAATATTTGTTTTGCTTTTACTTTCATCTCTAGCTTTATTTTTTGGTTTAGAGATGGAAAAAGATGGTTCCATCTATTCAAAATTATATTGTCACAATAGATACATAATGTGAAAACTAAACTTTATTAGACGTTATCCAATAAGCTTTTTGCACAAAACAATATTTTACATGAAATGAATAAAGTTTGAAAGGTAACAGGAATAGGTTTTGATAAAAAATACCTGAATTTTATGATTTTGGAGTAATGGATGAAGTAAGGAAGGTTGTTTATATATATCCACACAATCGTATATAATTTTCTCATTTAACTGTTCCATAAATCAATATATATATATATATATAATCTTAGTATGAGATTTGGATATGTATATATATATATATGCATTATTTGTCTTTCAATTTACCTTAAAACTTTTTATATTTCTAACGGATTCTCGAGATTGAGCCACAGAAATTATGAATATGAACGCAGCAAGTTTCAAAACAGAATCCATAGATTAGATATTTTCAAAGTTTTCTTAATATTTTTTTTTTGTTAAATCTATATTTCCATCCTTTAGGTATTTATAATTGTTAAGAAGTTCAATCTCTGTCTTTTTCTCTTTTCAAAATTTTTATTTTATTTTCTTATTTATGGTTTCTATTAATAATAATATCAAATAAATAGATTAAAAAAGATTAATAATTATATAATAGAAAACAAATTCACTTTTTACATGTGTTCATGGGAGTTTTTCAGTCCACTTGGCTTTTAAAAAAAGAAAGATATTAATCAAACACTAATGTTCTCAATCTGTTTGTTTTTCAATGTTTGCCATCATTATTTAAAAATATATTGTGTTTAGATATCATATATACATAAAATAAAGATTTTCTATCTTTTATTGGCCCAATGTAAATAATTAATATAACAATATCAACCCACCTAGATTTTAATTTATAATGTGTATATTGTTGTTGACAAAAACATTTTACTATCTCTATATTGGTCCACTTTTATTTTAACAAAAACTCTTTTAATCCACCCAGATTTTTTATAAGAAAATAAATATACTCATTTATTTGATTAATTTTTGTATAAGTTCTTGGTTTAGTTCTTAAGGTTTAGATTTTTATTAAATGTTCAAGTTTAGATTACTTCATTTTGTTTAGTTTTAATATACAAAGAAAAATATATAATCTCTTCATAGTCGTCTCTTCTATTAGACTAGTCCACTTGGCATTTAGAATCTGCAATTAAATTTGATTAGCTGTTATGGGAGTTTTTTTTTTCAAAATATTGTTCTAGATTTCATTTTCCGATTTTTTTTTTAGAACTATCGAGAATTTTGGCAACCCAATAACCAAACAATTCATAGATATTAAACCATTGTATTGTATGTATCTCCTACACTTGGTTTCTGAGTTTGGAATCACATAATTAGTATCCCAACTACCTAGACAAGAAGAAGACCTCTGATGTCTCGTCTGATCTTTTACCAGAGGCCAGCGGCTGATCCGTTAACATCGTCGAGCCGCTTCATCATCCAATCTATGATATCACGACCAACATCCTCTCGCTCGGGTTCAAAGAGAAGGTCGTGTAAGAAACCATCGTAGAGTTTGATGTCTTTGAACACTGATGGTGCCTGATTATACAAGTCTTGTGAAGCTAGTGGATCAGTGACTTTATCCTCTGTACCATGGAGGACAAAGAAAGGCACCGTAACAGATTTGAAGTTCCGGGTCAAGTAGGCTGTTATGCGGAGAATCTCATGGCCAGTTCGGACTCTTATGGGGCCGGTGTAGACTAACGGGTCAGAGTACTTGGCTAAGAGAGCTTCAGGGTCTCTTGAGACAGGAATGCCTCTCTTGTTTGCTCCTTTGAATTGGAACCTTGGGGCGACCAACGAGAAGAATGGAGCAATCGCCTACAAAAGAAACATAGTATGACTTAATGAATGATCGATCACCTACTAACATTTTCCAAAGCATCTAACTCGATTTACCCCGACAATAGGATGAGCAGGTTTGACACGAAGTGCAGGCGATGTTAGGACAATACCGGCTAACATATCTTCAATCGAAGGTGATGAAGCCGCCTACAAAAGACAAGCCAGACCTTAAATCAGGAAACACGGATTAAGCTTAAACAAAACAAAAATCTCGAAGTAAGCTTAAGAGGTATAAAGTAATTCACCTTTAAGACCACAGCTCCACCGGTAGAGTGACCAAAGAGGAAGCACGGGACGTCCGGATTCTCAGACCTAATCTTTTCCAAGAAAGCTTCCTGTAGAATTCAAAATCAGCACACTAAATCATCACTAGCTCAACATATTGGAACATTACTCTACTTTCATCTCCAAAAAAGCAAAAACAACTAATATTTATAAGATTGTGGAGAGCTTACGGTGTCGGAAACAACATAGTCAAGAGAAGGAACGTAGCCATGTAAACCATCGCTCCCACCGTGACCTAATTACAACGTTATGGACCAATCAATACGGCGACCTGTTCAGACTCACAGTTTCAGAACAAAGATGGAAACGAAAAGGAACAAAACAAGCTCGTCAACATACCAATCCAGTCCATTGCGTATACGCCCAAGTTACTCGAGTTTAGCTGCTTGGCGAATTGAGAATATCTTCCACTGCAAATCAAATGGATTCACAGGTTGAGGAATTATAGAGAGAATACATAGAAGAAGAAGAAGAAATTGATCCGAAATAAGATTGATTTTCACCTGTGTTCATTCAGGCCATGGATGATAATCAAAATTCCCCTGGATACAGATAAATTCACAATCCCAAGTCATTATCGAAATCAAGATTGAGTTTTCACACCTGATTAAAAACTTAATCGGAGAATTCTGATCGTGCAAGCAACGCATGCAAAACAAATCAAAGGCTTACCTAAGTTCGCCGGAAAGAGGCAACCACGACCTTGAGAATAAAGCGTTACCACGTCGGCCGTAGAACAGCGAACTGCTCCAACGAGAAGGGATTTCGCCGTCGCCGTCGCCGGAGATACCAAAACCCATCTCAACGCCTTCAGCCAAGGAGCGACGCCTAGCCGTGTCTTCCTCCTCCAGCTTCCACGCCATCTTCCGCCTCCACCGCCTCGAAGGAGCGGGATTAGCCTCCTCCTCCGGCGATGGAAGAGGCGAAACGCGGCGACGTGGACGGAGGAGGAGGAGAAGAGAAAGGAAGAGGGAGAGGACGAAGATGAGGCACTTCCGAAGCGTTTTCAAAATCGGGATTATACGATTGCTCGCGCCTGATGTCAATTGCTCCATTTCCGCCGACGATGACGCCATCGCCGATCAATTAGAATCTCAAATCGAAGAAGAACAAAAAAATGAATGAAGAAGAAGAAGAAGAAAGCGTGTATAAAGAAAAATGTCAGAAATTTTGGGGGAAATGGTGGGACTCCATTTATAGGGGTGAATACTTCAATGAGTCAAAAGGCGACAAAATTGCATTAATCTGATGCAACGCAGGATCGTGTGAGTCACCACGTGGTTGTATTTAATTGGTTGTTGAGCTAACGAGATATGGGTTGATGATCTTGATTAATACTAATATTTTTTTTAACGGTCAGGTCAGACCATTCGACGGTGCAGATTCGATGTTTCTGGGAAAGTTGGTCAGTAACCGTTGATGAGTTAGACGGAAGGAAGATTGGTCCGTTCCGACATTAATGATTAATTTATTAGTTACTCGCAGACTCGGCTTTGCTCGGCTCTAATGACAAAACCGCGTGTTGAGAAAATGGAGTAATTACTAATTAGTAATATTATTATTTTCCCAGATTCTGAAATTTATAATTAAAATTGATATTTAGTATATATGAATATGATTTATATGTCCCTAGATTTATTTCCAAACATGTTACATCAAGACTTTGTAAAAGCTGCTTAGTTCAATATATTTCAGTTGTTAAAAAAAAAGTATATATGAATATGATATGGGCTTGTATTTTCACTCTGTATTTATTTACTTCCTTCGTTTCATAATAAGTGTCCTATACATTTTACACAGATTAAAAAATTAATAAAATATATAAATATATTCTTAATTAATATACTTTTATAACATTTAATTACAAAGACTATTATCTTTAAATAAGAGATAAACAGAAAATAAAGGTAAAAAGTTATATTGAAAATGCAGAGTAAAACTTTTTTGAAACAAAAAATGAAATATAAAACGACACTTATTATGAAACGGAAGGAGTATATAGTTCTTAAATAATACGGCTGACACGAGAAAAGTATACCAAAAAAAGCCGAGCCAAAGATAAACTAATCATTAATTAATGGCTTAATAATTGGGATTTTGGAAGCATTGGAACGGATTGCCTAGACTATGACACTAGGCATTATCTTTACCAAGTGATTCATTTTCTTGTTCACCAATTCAAAGTCGCACGTCTTTTACAGATAACGATAGCTTTTTTCACACAAGTACTTATTAGTTGTTGCTTTCTTTGCCTATTAATTTTGGAATGTTTGATAAAAATAAATGGCAGGTAATGAGATATATGATACACACGATATTTGGAATGAAGCTGCCGCACGATCAGAGCCGTGTTTACTATATAGTGAAAAAGGTTTTCGCCTCAAGCCCCCAAAATATGTTAATTTTTCAGGGCCCCCATTTTCTTAACAGGTGGTTGAGTGGTTTATGGTTGGCATGAGGTCCTTTTTACATAAGATGTTTTCTTATTTTTGTTTATAAGAGAGAGAAAAAAGAATAGATATAGGAAATAGATTAAGATTACCTTCTCCCAATAGTTTTAGGAAATTGATTAAGATTTGTTTAATTTATCGGCTTTATAACATCCTAAAATAAGACCAAAACCCTAAAGCCCAAAAAAAAAAAATTCATAGATTGCTTATCAGATATTGCTGACGATTCCAGTTTTAGTTGTCTTGGCTGAAAGAAGTTTTTCAAAGTTGAAGTTGATAAAGTCTTAGTTGCGATCAACTATGTCACAAGAAAGATTGAATAGCTTATCTATCATATCTATAGAAAGAAAACTAGTTAAGGACATCGATTATGAGAGTTTGATGAAAAAGTTTATTGAAAAAAAAGGAAGAAAGATTATGTTTTAATTAGTTTTTTAGATTAAAACTTTATTTTTGAATATTTTATATGATTTTAAAATTATATTATATTTTTTTGTTAAAAAACCTTTTTTTAAAATGAAAAAGACCCTATTTTTTTAGTTTGCCTTAAGTCCCTATAAACTTTCCACGGCACTGCGCACGATCCATCATAGATTCATATCAACTTTTATTGTAACCATTTAAGGAAGTATAAATTTTAAATATTTTATATCGAAGTATAGCATTTTGTTTTCTAAATGAATATTAACATTTACCATCTTATATCTTTTTCCTCCCAAAACATCGTTCGTTATAATATTTTTTAGTACAAAACAGAATCTATAAATTTTAAGTGTGTTTTTCTTTTCTAAAAAAGTTATGTGTGATTTTTTATTCGAACTTTTTGTACATATTTTATTTTTAAACCTTATTCGATGTTAATTATAGTCCACACATAAGGAAGTATAATTGGTTGTAGTTAGCAAATGAAAGTAACACAAGAGAGAGACGTAGGACCTCCGGCAAGCCTTGCCATTAAAAGTCAGGAAAACGAAAGGAACTAAAAGTCATAAACTGAGGTTACATTAACATCAAATTCAAGAATTCTTTCTCGAAATTCAAGCCCCACTACATTTACCATAATCTTCTTATCTCTCTATGGCACACAAATATTATCTATCCTTTCCTCAGGCGAGCCTCACTAAAAATGCCCATTATACGAAGATAGAAAAAACGAACGTGAGAGACGGAAATGTTTGCCTCTTCTAGTCCGATGATGGTGCGTTGATGTGTTCATACTGCTCTTGCACGAGAAGCCACCAAAATATCGTATATCATCATTTTCTCTAGCTATGATCCGTTGATGTAGTCAAGCAGAAGTCGATCGAGCTCAAAATGTTGACACAAAAGTTTCTGCAACATCAACAATAAGAGGATCTCTTATAAGGGATTTTCATTAAAGAGCCTTAAGAGAGGCAATGCAACCATTGAAAATCTACTTTTTCTATAAACCCGGCTCTACATATGTAAAGAAGCATGTAACCTTGGTTATAGGTAAAGACGGTGCAGCGTCGACATAAAAGTCTGGGAATCGAGAAACTTCAACACCCTTTTCAAACAATATGTATGTTGGAAGCTGAGACATTCCACCTATATATGTTACATAGCACATCAGTTGCCTGCACAACAGAGACTAAATGTGCTTTTGAGACTGTGCAAATGAATGAGTTCATGAAGGACTATTACCGGCGAGAGATATTCCAAACTTTGCTGCAGTATTAGGGAAAAGTCCAAGATCAATAGTTCCGAAAGACAAAAGATTATTTGAGTACCTGAAGATATGGAAGATGAATGAGCGTGTCTCTAAAGACGAAAAGTGAAATTAGGGCGTTTACTAACACAAAGCTTACGTTATGGAGAGCTCGGGAAAGCAGCGGCTTGAACGAACACACTTGGATGAACTACATGCGTAGAATTCTATCTGAAAAAGTTGTGAAAAACATATATCATCATACCACTTTGAGCCAAATTTTCAATTTCGTATGTTGTTTTAACTAATTTAGATGTTGCAGATCAGTTCTGTTTCTTACTTGATTGACCATTAAAGAAAAAGAAAAGAAAAAGACAAAACTTGATGTCGTAATAATATTGAGAGGCTATCTCAGTATCTCTATTATCTAGCTTCACAGGCACCATGCTATACTGGAACCTATCTGTAAGTTCTAAGCAAGAAAATCTTTTTAGTCACCCAAAAACTATTCCTTGGTTTTTGAAATGTATCACCTAAAAAATCACAACTTCAATATTTTGGAAACAGCAACAACATTATCTAGTAGAAGATAAAGCCAGTTGCAACGTACCAACCAGTATTTTGTTGTGGTTCCTTCTAATAGCAAATCCTCTAATTGCAAAGGTGTTAGCTTCTTAGCAGTTCCTGCAAACGTTTAAGCATCTTACAAGAACGTAACTTTTGATTCCGAAAATTCACAGGAAATAAAAACTTGAATCTTCCCATACCTAATTTACTAAATGCTGGTTGCTGAGCTAAAAGATATATGACTGCAAAAGTAAACATTTAAATCGAACTTAGAAAGATTGAAGGGTTTAGATCAACATTCAAATCTGCATCTCCCATATATATCAGAAAATTAAACAATGTAGAACTTGAGCTAAAAAAACAAAGCTTTCGTTTTTAGTGCGAATTCACAAAGGCAGACCTGAAAATGCGATACTAAACCAGATCGCCACTCGATAATCCATAATCAACGAAACCGCTATGAGAAAGATCTGCGCAAAAAAAATCAGCAGATTTCACATGGATTCCAAATAGTGACTGACAAATCAATTTCGATCGGAATCTGAAACCATGAGAGTTACCTTAGCATAGAATAAGCTATCTGCAATGAATGCCTCCCATGTTTCCTCTCTCACCATCTACAAAATATATTTTTTTGTGAAAAATCGATGAAGCAGGAAGCGAAGAAGAAGGAGATTTAAAGCAAATTCGAGCAATATGATGAAAACCTCAAACCTTAATAGCGGAAAACATGAGAAACGCTAGAAATGCTTGGACTTCTCTGTCGAAGAGTCGATGAGAAGTGAACTGTGCAGCGGAGTTGCGAATCGGAAGGTAAGAGAAGAAGGCCATGAAATGGAGGAAATAGTAAGGATCTGATACGATCCGACTCATTCCTTCGATTACTCCTTCACGCTTCTTCTCCATTTTTGCTTGCTCCCACGAATCTCCGTGTTGAAGAGCAGCAAATCAGCTGAGTCTCTGAGGTAAAAGGAAGGATTTTTTGAAAACACAGGAAACGTCTCGTCGTTTTCGTAGTAAGAAACGGCAAGGCGTTTATCCACTACCAGAGTTTTGTTTCTTTACCAAAGTTGTTGAGAGTCGACTATACAAACTTTTCATTTATCGTTAGGTCAATCTGATGGTATAGTTTTCACAGTGCCAATGTATTTCTACGATGACTAGACTTTATCCGTCCTATCATTGCCGCGACCTAGATTTTACACAGAAATTTAGATTATAGAAATGCATCTTTTTTTTTCATTTTAAAAAAAGAATTAGAACATTTGAAATACAATAACTCGCATACTCATTTTTTCAGAATAACTTAGCCAATGATAGAATACCAAAACCATGGCGTGATGTCCCTTCGAGAAAGCAATATCATAGAAGAATCCAGGAACACCAATGTCAGAGAAGAGACTATTATTGTTCAATCTTTGATGCGTTGATGATAGAAATCCAAATGAAATTGTTAACTTAATTGGATGAAAAGGAAACAGAAACTGATCTTGGTGACTAAATTAAGACCAGCAAAGCAAAAACGCAGAGAATCTGATCTCAGATGAATCCATTTTCTTCGAGTCGGGTCTCTTTATCGAGGCACGCTCAGGCCAAGCTCTGCAAGAATCGTGAGAGACATCAAATTAGATCAGCACATGTGCAATAGAAAGAAAAAAAACTTTGTTTCAGTTGCTTTTAATCAAATACTACAAGAACTTAAAAAGGAAGAGAACATGAAGAAAGAGCGGCACCAAACATTGCATATTTCATCTTCACGCCAATACAAAATTCTTATGCCAAAACAATTCTTGCAAAAGCTAGAATCCATATATGTTTAGGTGACCGAAGTATCTACGTCTCTGCAACCACTAAATAGCTCAGCAAAAGGGCTAGTACACTATACGAAAACTCCTGGTGAAATTACACGATGTGAAAAGGAATAGCAAAGCAATATCAAACCAATTTGAAAGTCGCATGTCTACGTTGATTCTCGGAATTCAATGCCAATAAACATTTTTGAGAAGATGGGAAATTAAAAATTGTAAAGAGCTATGAGCTATATCCAACTAAAGCAATCTCCAAAGGCGTCCGGTTACTAAACTGCTACAGATTCAGGTGGTACTGGGAATAGGTCGAACTAGAAATTAGGAGAACCAGAGCTCTAATTTGGTCGAACAAACTGGGTTTAGGTAGACTAAACAACGTGTAAGTTCAAAAATATGCAAAGATCAAAGAGTAAAAAAAGTTTGCTTACAGATATACTAAACACAAAACATTTGGAGAATATCAAACTCCTGGATTCGCACTGCAAAGCATACCCTGAGACAACGACCTAGAATTCCTCGAATCGATACCGAGGCACGAAGTCAGCCTAGCAGATGACACCGCACTGTACAATGGAAGTAGCGATTGAAGCGAGCCCAGCTGAGCAATCGGCCTGTCCAAGTCAAAAAACAAAACCAATCAATTACAAATTACACGTTCACGAAAACGAAACCATGACTTAAGGATCTGATAGAGAAAGTAGGAAGGAAAAACTAAGAGAAGAAGTGGTTAACCTTGCAAGTCCAGGGGAAGGAGGAGCACCGAGAAATGATGAAGCCGATTTGGGACGGAGAGAGGGCTTGTTCATTGCAGATCTAAAAACGGAAAACGCTGGTTTCGACAAAGATCGACATCGAGAAGCCATTTTGCCGGATAACGAAGCGATAGTGATGCAGAAATTTGATTTTTGATTTCTAGGTCTAGTGCGAGCAAGAAGATGGGTTTTCATGAGGTTTAGCCTAAACGACGCCGTTATCATACAAAAGTCAAAAGAAAAAAAACGGCATGCTGTGCAACAATAATAATTCAAAGAGATCACACGACGTTTAATTTACTTTGGTAAACTTTGCCTTCCGTGTAACGCCGTCTTTGTTATCTCCTACACGTCGCCGTTATTCCACACGTGTGCCAACGTTTCATACAAAGAATCTCCACAAAATACATATAACCTATACTCAACATGAAGATCACATAATTAAATTTTCAACTGTCATAACGGAATTTTCATAAAATTATGGAATCTGTGGGATCGAATCAAGTATCCCCGTACGTTAGTAATCGAGACCAAAGGCACCTCGTGGCACAACCGGTGGCAGATCGGATAATTCGAGCTCTTCATCACCGGATCCGTCTCCTCCATCGTCCAAACGCCGGTACATTTCACGTACTCGGTGCCACCTGTAACGTCTACACCGTGACGTTAACGGCCACGCCCACTTGCACTTGTCCCGACCGTAAGAAACCTTGCAAGCACATCTTGTTTGTCTTAATCCGAGTTCTTGGACTTCCTCTCGACGACAAGTGTCTTAGGCAACGGAGACTCCGGCCATGTATCCTCTACCGACTCGCCTCCGCTCCAACACGACCTGACTGCCTCGCCAGTTTCCACCTCCAGCAACGGTTTCTTCAGCTTTTCACCTCCGCCACTTCTCATTCTGGCGATACTAACTCCTCCTCCTCCACGGGTAAAATGGTAATTCTCATTCTTACCTTGTTCCTATTATTTTGCAAAGATTTATCATCAAAGAAAAAAGATTTCAATACACTTTTTTTCGTGGGTACAAAAATTTCCTATGGAATACTTTACTCAATTTTGGATTAAAAAGAATCAATAAAACCCTATAGAACAAAGATCTCTAAATATTAGAAAAAAAAAAGCTTTTTGATCAGTTATATGCATTATATAGAATTCAAACCGTAACAAATCAATAACACCATACATACCAATAAGCTACAATTACATAATTATCGTCTGTTTTTACTTTTAATTATGTGTTTAATTCATACTTAAGACGATTACTACGTCGTTTTTTAAACAAACAAATACATACATGTATAGGAATTTCCAAAACCTTAAAACATAATTTATGCATCGTGTGTTTCAGATTATCTCAAATCATCAGTGTTAACATAAAAAGAGTTTTTTTTTTTTTTTGGTAAATATATGATCATTAGAATACTTGTTGAATATTGAATAGGAAAATGAGACGGAAGACGAAGAACCGGCGACATGTCCAATATGTCTAGACGATATTAACGCCAATAAAAGCGTAAACGGTGAACACGTTGGAGGCGAGGAGAGAGAAAGAGCGGTGGTGAAGTGCAGAGTTTGCAAAAACAAAGTGCATGAAGAATGCATGCTGAAGTGGAGGACGAGTCGGGGACGTCGGCCGGCGATATGCGTGGTCTGCCGTGCACGGTGGCGAAGAAATAGTTCTAGCAGAACTCCTAATGTTGGTAGTAATTACGAGAACTGCCACGGTAATTGTTACTTGAATCTTTCTCCTTATGTTGATGAGGAGGAGGATGGGGTTGGCACTAGCCAACGGCCATGTTGATGAAGTTGAATGACTACTGATTATTATGTGATGTGTTCATTGTTAACAAAAGCTAATTGTAGATCTACATTAATTTGATTTGGTAATTAGCCCGTTTCATTTCGCTTTACTTATGTTATAGTCTTTTAGAATTAGAAGTATCAAATATTCTCCGTTCAAGTCTTCTTATATTTTGCTTTTGAGTAAACCACAAGTAACATTTTCTTTTTTGGGTTATATTTCAAGAATATTAAATTGGAAAATAAAAAAAGCCCGATGATACCGAGGCTTTCCATTTTTCTTGGGGAAACACAAAAAAATTGCAAGTTCCCATGCTTAGATCACGTTCCAGATGATAGTGCGGGGCGCAAGCGCTGACACTGGAAGTCATATGTAAATACAACTTCAGATTCATATAATACGCTCATTGTTTTGACTGAGTCGTTTATACATATTCTTGGACTCTGTAGATTACTATAAGTTCACGAAATATACTAATCAGGTCAATTACTATCAGAGTATAGTTACTTTGTTTATGTAAGAAAAAAACAGAGTAGATAATATTATCATATGGTTTAGATGTTGAAATATCATAGTCAGCTTCTAAGAAAACACTATGGGTCATAATTGATTAAACATAGATAATAAAAGGGGTGTATTCTGAAAATACGAGGAAAGTTATTATCATACCTTGTTGGCCTTATCAATCCAATACACAGTTTTTTCTTGTCGGATACTTAATTGATTAATCAAGACTTTTGATTGAACAGAATCAAAAGCCGTTGATTGCCTTGTCTTGTCTCTTTGCTTGTTAATTATTAGTCCAATTTTTCTTCTTGATGGCTCCAAGAAACTTCAAGGAAACGCTCGGATCGGACAGCTTCATATATATTAACAAAAGCTTATAATGATGTCTCTGTAAGTGACCAAGCTCTGTTTCTTGAAAAATCCTCGTAAATTTTATGTATCAGTTATAGTTGGTATATTTTAGTTTGGGATTTCGATGGGCTAATAAGACAACACAAATCTTGTTTCTACAACTTTAATTTCAACACAAATCTAAGATAGTCTTTTTTTTTCAGGTTGTGATGGATCAAACTCGGGTTTTTCGGTTTCTATGCCAAGTAGAAACCTGTAGAGTTGTTTTTCTTATGTCTCTGGCTGTCGCCTTCGTTTTAGGCCTTCAGTATTTCGAGCATGCTCCAATATCTATTGTTTCACCTGAAAACGGCACAGTTTCTGAATTCAGCGAATCTCATGATATCACCAAAAGTGCTGAAAACGAAACGTTTCTTGCACCTCAAGAAGCAACCTCAGGGTTTATACCGTTTAATAGCACTACGGAGGTTTTGAAGAGTTTAGAACACAAGTTTCTGAATTATTCTCCAAAAGCTTCTGGAGAAAGTAGAGGCAATGGCACTGCAAGTTCTCTGCATTCTCTTCAATCCAAGATTCCTCGAAACAACAACAAGAAACATGAGCACAAGAGGAGCACAAAAAAACCACCTTTAGTTGTCATATCAATAACCCAAATGAACAATATGTTATGGAAGCGGCATAGTGATCCAAATAATTCACTTGTAAGCAAATGATTTTAACACAAATTCCAATTGGTTATTACTCAACTCTTTGATTCTTTTTTCACGCTTTTTTTTTTAATTAATATTAATAGGCACCTCGCTGGGGATCAGAAGTGGACAAAGAGCTTAAAACTGCAAGAAACAAGATCAAGAACGCAGTTTTGGTCAACAAGGATGATACTCTTTACGCGCCTATATACCACAACCTATCCATTTTCAAAAGGTTTAACATTTACCACTCTAAACAATACCTATAAAAGGGCCTAATTGTGTGCATAAATACTTGTTCCTCTGCTTTTTTAATCATGGTTGCTCAAAATGAAAACACAAGCATAAATATTTACGTTCGAAACAATAGAATCCCAAGTAGATATTGATCTCTAGAGCAGGAGCTACGAGCTAATGGAAAAGACTCTGAAAGTGTACGTCTACTCAGAAGGAGATAGACCAATCTTTCATCAGCCTGAGGCAATAATGGAAGGGGTTTACGCGTCAGAAGGATGGTTTATGAAACTAATGGAGAGTAACAGTAGATTCTTGACAAAAGATCCAACCAAAGCTCATCTGTTCTACTTGGCTTTCAATTCCAGAATTCTTCAACAGAAACTCTACGTTCGTGATTCTCACCGTCGTCGAAATCTTGTTAAATATCTCAGAGACTACATCAATCTCATCATTTCCAAATACCCTTTCTGGAATAGAACCCGTGGCTCCGATCATTTCTTCACTGCTTGCCATGATTGGGTATGTATTTAAGGCCTGTAAGACGTTAGCTTGCATTTGCTTGCTTTTACAAGTTTTGATAATCTGCTAAATGAACCATTTAACGTTAAGTAGTTTTATTATGATATATTTTTTTGCTAATCCAAGTTCATAATTGTTATAGGCTCCAGCAGAGACTAGAGGACCATACATGAACTGTATCAGATCACTCTGTAACGCCGATGTCGGAGTAGACTTCATAGTCGGAAAAGACGTCTCTTTGCCGGAAACAAAAGTCTCTTCATCCCAAACCCCGAACGGAAACATTGGAGGTAACCGCCCTTCCAAGCGAACCATCCTCGCTTTCTTCGCCGGAAACTTGCACGGTTATGTCAGACCCATCTTGCTTAACCAATGGTCTTCGAGACCTGAACCAGATATGAAGATCTTTAACCGTATCGATCATAAATCGTACATTCGGTTCATGAAACGCAGTAGATTCTGCGTTTGCGCTAAAGGGTACGAGGTGAATAGCCCCAGAGTGGTCGAGTCTGTTTTGTACGGTTGCGTTCCGGTGATTATCTCTGATAACTTTGTGCCGCCGTTTCTTGAGGTTTTGGATTGGGAATCTTTCGCTGTGTTTGTGCCAGAGAACGAGATTCCGAATCTGAGGAAGATTCTGATTTCGATTCCGGTGAGGAGATACGTTGAGATGCAGAGGAGGGTGTTGAAGGTTCAAAAGCATTTCATGTGGCATGATGGTGAACCGGTCCGGTATGATCTATTCCATATGATTCTTCATTCGGTTTGGTATAACCGGGTTTTTCAAACGTTTTAGCCAAGATGAAATATAATCCGGTTTGGCAATGATTAGGAGTTGGATTATATCCTTTTTAATTTTGGTTGTTACATTAATCTACACTTTTTGTTTAGTTAGTTTTTTTTTTGGTGGGACAATTATATTTAAATAAAGTTTTTGTAAATTAAGAATGCTATTAGTTTGTACTTTTACATATAGATTTTGCGATTATAGAAGTTTTAGCTGATAAACAATATTTTTTGTTTTCTAATTATCCAATAACACCTTCAGTCAAATAAAAGTGACACTGGAGAACAAAAATCTTCAATATTAAAACTTATTAGACCAGGTCCATTGAGATATTATAATTGGGTTTAAGCGGGTTTCATAGAGAATCTTGGGTTTAAAAAAAAAAGAAAAAAGTCCACAAGTTATGGACCGATCCTTGTAGAAGGATTATATGGATCGATCCATAAACTATTCCTTAGTACACATGGCGACTCAGCATTGGTTGAGAGGAAAAAAAATGGGAAGCATTTTGGGGTCGAGCAGAATTTCTCTCTCCCCGACAAACCTCATTCTCGACATATTTTTTTCTCTCAATGGCGATTTTTTGGTTCCTTCGACGAAATCAACAAATTTCCGATCAATCCTCCTAAACGACGATATAATCCGAGCCTCTATGAAGAATGAAGTCATATGCGAACATCGGTAAGTTTCTTTTAACGATTTCGAAGTAGTTTGGGGATTTTTGCGAACATCGGTAAATTAGGGTTCTTGATTGATTTGGGGATTTTTCTTGTAAGTAAAATTATGCTAAATTGAATGAGTAATAGTCTATATTAGGGTAGTTTACAGACATTTTATGCATATTTTGGATGTAATTGGTTTGTTATTGGCATATGATCGGTTTTGTTTGTGTTTGCATATACTAATTTGTTTGGGTATATGTTTTTGACGAGGGTACATGGATAAACAAGCATAGATGGTTCATCAAGCAGAGTCAGATGGCATGTTTTTGACGAGTGTATCACATATACAAAGGTAAATCAACATCAGTTGTCCTTGTATAATTTCCGATGACATTTTTATGTGTCTAAGTATGAAACAATGCAATGTTTGGGTTTGTGTTGATCCTTATTCTTGTTTTGTGGCTAGGTTAACTTGGGAGACAATAAAGAGCTGATGTTGGAAGCAATCAAGCATTCTTTGCAGTGCAAATGCAAGGTTAATTTGGTTCATACAAGTAACTAGTTGTTAGTATAGATAGTTAGGCTTAGAAGTGCATCGGTTGAACATTGTTTTGGTGAAAAGGGTTCAAAGATATTTGTTAGGTGAAGGCTTAAGTGTTTTGTTATGAATGCTTGATTGATTGAAACTGGTTTAAAAGAGTTAAAGCTGTTAGGTGAAGAGTAGAAGCACTCTTTGCATTGAAAACACACAAAAATTTAAAACACATCTATTCTCATTAAACACATTCATCACTTTTCATTACTCATTTCTAAAACTTTTAAACTTTTAAACTTCTATAAAACCGATTACATATAGAAAGTTTTTAGGTGAAGAGTAAAAACTTTCTAAAACTCTCAACTCTTCTCATTTCTTTCACTCTTTTAAACTTTCTAAAACTCACAAATATCCTCATTTCTTTCACCTCATTTCTTTCTAAACCTTTCTTTCCACAAACTTTCATTCCTTCTCTCAATTTCAATCTCATTTCTTTCACTCTCATCTCTTAAACCGAAGAGTCTTTCTCAATACCATGGACTCTTTTAACAGTTCACAGGGGTTTGTAAACCTCTTGACAAGTCAAGAGGAACAGACATTCTGTTTTTCACAATCTCAAGACCTTGGATCACATGAAGTTCCAAGGTTTAGCAGCCAAGTACCTGATCAGCGAAATGTGAAAGAGAGGAGGAAGTGGTCTCCTGTGGAGGATGTGGCGTTGATAAGCGCCTGGTTGAACACTTCTAAAGATCCAATCATCAGCAATGAGCAAAAAGTAGATGCTTTTTGGAAAAGAATAACCATCTACTTCAACTCTTCTAAACAGCTGGTTAATGAGCAAGATAGAGAGTCTGGTCAGCTGAAGCAGAGGTGGCAGAGGATCAACGACCATGTCTCCAAGTTTTGCGGCTGTTATGAAGCTGCACTGAAGGCTCAAACCAGTGGGCAAAATGAGAATGACGTGATGAAGACAGCTCAGCAAATTTTTTACAATGATCACCAATTCAAGTTCAATCTTGAACATGCTTGGAGGGAACTTAGACATGACCAAAAATGGTGCTCTGCATCTGCGGTTAAAGATGGTGGAAAGGGGAAAAGAAAGAAGCTTGGTGAGACTTCAGCTCACACTACAAACTCACAAACCCAAGACCATGGAGATGATGTTAGCATGGCTCGGCCACCTGGTGTAAAAGCTGCCAAGACTGCAAAAAAGAAACCGGTTGGTACCTCTGGTGGTAAAGAAGCAGTTAGTGGGCTGAGTGACATAAAGAGCATGTATGAAATGAAGGAGAGAAACCTTGCCATGAAGGACAAGATTACTAACAAAAAATTGCTTGATAGTCTTCTGTGTAAAGCTGAGCCACTATCTGAGAGAGAAGAGGCCTTGAAGACCAAGCTTATTAATGAGTTGTTGGCTTAAAGCAGTATTGTATTGGTTTCATAATTTTAACAAAGTTTGTGTATCTTCTGATACATTTGTTTTGCTCGGCTATGTAGTTCTATGTAGTTAGTGTTTAATTTTTTTTGTTTTCTTTTAAGGTTTATGTTGCTCGGCTATGTAGTTCTTTTGTGTTTGTTTTTTGCTATCAATGTATGGTTCTCGGCTATTAATGTTAATGTTATAGTATCTTCTTTTATGTTTTATGTTTATGTTTTATGAATAATTATTTATGATCTTTTTTGGTGTAGGGATATGATGGAGTAATGATCGTTGGTTTTGATGACTTCAATGGGAAGATGGCTTGTATTTGATGGTGTGGGATAAGATGTCGGTCACGAGTGATAAGATTTACTAGGCTGAGTTTTAAAAGCTTTATACTCCACATGTTGTTGGATGAATATTTTACCCACATGTATTTGGATGAGATTTGTAAGCCACAACTTTATGTTTTGTAATTGTGTACCACAAGTTTCAAACACAACTTTTTCTATATATATGTCTACAACCAATATAGTTAACTACAATAAAGACCTCTTCTTCTCTTTCTCATATATCGATTTGAAAATTTCATCTTCTTCAAATTTCTGCTATTTCTAAATTCTACTATTTCTAAAATTTTGTATTCTCCATCAAATTTCTTCAATTCCTAAAGTATAACCAACTTTAATTTTCCATCAAAATTTTTTCAATTATGGCATCATCTTCCAACAATGGTTTTGATGATTCTTTTGATGACATTATTGATGATATTATTGATCAAAAATGTGACGATCTGTTCGACGCTGTTCTTGATCGTCATACCGCAGCTAAGCAAAAGAAGAAACGCGCATATATTGAAAGAGAACGCGAACAAGGTCATATCCGCTTATGGAATGATTATTTCTGTGAAGGTGCAACATACCCGCCTCATATTTTTCGACGCCGTTTTCGAATGACCAAAGACTTGTTCTTGCGTATTGTTGGTCGCTTCTCTAATGAAGTTCCGTACTTTCAACAACGAAGAAACGCTCACAGAAGGTTTGGTCTATCTGACTACAAAAGTGTACGGCAGCAATTCGTATGATGGCATATGGTTGTGCGGCTGATGCGGTTGACGAATACCTCCGACTAGGTGCAAGTACTGCACTATTATGCTTGGAAAATTTCACAGACGGAATAATACAATTGTTCGGAGATGAATACTTAAGAAGGCCCACAGCAGATGATCTTCAAAGACTCCTCGATAATGGAGAGGCGCGGGGGTTTCCCGGGATGATAGGAAGCATCGATTGTATGCATTGGGAGTGGAAGAATTGTCCTACCGCTTGGAAATGACAATATACACGTGGTTCTGGAAAACCGACAATTGTTTTGGAGGCAGTAGCATCACAAGATCTTTGGATATGGCATGCGTTTTTTGGACCTCCAGGTACCTTGAATGATATTAACGTTCTTGAACGTTCACCTGTTTTTGATGACATTTTACAAGGTCGAGCTCCAAAGGTGCAATACTGGGTGAATGGACACAAGTATAAATTGGCTTATTACCTCACAGACGGTATTTACCCAAAATGGGCAACTTTCGTACAATCTGTTTCACTCCCTCAAGATCCAAAATCACAGTGTTTTGCTACTTGCCAAGAATCCGTCCGAAAAGATGTCGAGCGTGCTTTTGGAGTTCTGCAAGCTCGATTTGCAATAATAAGAAATCCAGCTCTTTTCTGGGATAAGGTAAAAATTGAAAAAATTATGCGAGCATCTATCATATTGCACAATATGATTGTAGAAAACGAACGAGATCACTACAATCTGCATGATATAGAAGAATTTCAAAGAAGTGAATCAACCAGAACTTCACAAGTAGATATGGAATACTCTACAACTATGTCTACAAACATCCTCAATATGATCGAAATTCGAAATGAAGTCCGTGATAATCAAATACATGAACGATTGAAAGCGGATTTAATTCAGCATATCTAGAACAAATTTGGTTCTTCTGAAGAGTAGAAATAAAGGTTTTACGATCTATATATATGTATTTTGTATTCTTAAATATCTGTAATGTTGTAATAATATTGTTTTATATGAAATGTATATTTAAATTAAAAATTAAGTTAAAACAAAATTAAACAAAAAAAAATAATAATAATATTTTATTCTTAAGACGGGTTCACTAATAGACCATTAAAATGATCAGAGTTTCATAATTTTTCTTAAAACAGAAAAAACTATTAAAATATTTTTAAAGATTCTTAAGAGGGTTTGTCTAATGGACATGCTCTTATGAGCAAAGAAAAAAAATATCTGATTGGCGAGTATTAAGTTATTTAATTTATTATTGAAATTTATTTCAATTTATTAAATTTCTCGTGTAAATTTAAATTACCGTTAAAACAGTAACCGCAAAGTCGTTCGTGTTTGACTTAACAATTTTTACCATTTCATTACATAACCATGAATCGGCAAAACTTCATCGGAAGATCGCATCTCTTGTCTACGAATCGTTGTCGGCTTTTTCGAGCAGAAAGAAGTAGTTGAGCTGAATTTTAGGAAAATCTGAGCTTCCCATGGCGACACAGACGAGACCCAGTTCTGTAAAGAGCGAGTCACGCGATGGGTCATCTTCTCTTGCTTCCAGAGTCAAGATCGATCCGTCTTTTAAGGACAAAAAGAAGATCGCGAGCTCTAGCAGACCGATTATGTCGGATACCAAACCCAGATCCGCTGTATCTACCGTCACGGCCAAATCCGAGGTATCAATCGGGAAAAAAAACTCTGTATTTAAGATCTGATCGCGAATTTCTGAGGTTCTTATAAAACAGAGCGAAGAACAATAGGGAATTATCGAAAGTTGCCTGATTTGGGTTTCTCTGAAATTAATTGTTAGATGTAAATTTGTCAACTTGGATCCATTTTCAAGATCGAAGTTTACATTTGACGATGAAATTGAAATTGGGCTGATTTTCTGCATCATGTCGTGATCTCGGGTATTTTTGGTTTCTAGGTCGATAATATATACTGTACAACCGAACTTAGTAACATAATTTCTGCAAAACTTTTGTGAAGGCAAAGCCCAAAATACCCGTAAATTCGGTAAAATCCACAGCAACAACATCTGCAGCAGCGACCTTGGCGAAAGGTAAAGCGAAAAGGGAGAAGAAGGTTTATCCCTTACCCGGACAGAAATATGATCCTCCTGAAGAGGTTGGTTATACACATTATTGAGTCTCTTTTTGTAATCATGTTTTGATGACTCTCGGTTTTTCTGTCTTTGGCATTTGCAGAGAGAGCCCTTGAGAATATTCTATGAATCATTGTCGAAACAAATACCAGGGAGCGAAATGGCTGAGTTCTGGTAAAAAAAATTACTATTATTGACAAGTCTTTTTGATGAACTTGAAAGCATTGTTCTTGGCTCATTTTAGCATAATACTTGAATGGTTTCTTGCTAACATTGGTTTCTCGTTATGTGTTGGCATAGGCTAATGGAACACGGCATGTTGTCTCCGGAGAAGGCGAAGCGAGCCCATGAGAAAAAGCTAAGAAAGATGAAGCAAATCCGGATGGGAACACCTTCTAAACCGACTCCATCATATTCTAGTAAACCGGAGAGTTCTCAAAGACCATCTACGTCAAAGAACATCGGTTTAGATGCGAGAAAGAAGAAGAAAGTTGTCGATGATGATGACGATGATGATAATTTCATCCTAAGCCACAAGAGAAGGAAAGTGTAAACCGTTAAAAAAAAAATATTAAAAACGCATTCGTTACTTTGGAAAAATATCCAATAATGGATGTGATCAAGAACCTTATATTACTCCTTAGTGTTAGTCGAATTAGTGACGAAAGATCGTTTCTGTATGAATCCTTAGAATGTTGTTCATGGACCATTGAGGATGCCCATGACACAATAATTCAGTTTGTGTAGAAGCAAAGAAACATATGATCATACAGTTTTAGTAAATTTAACCTAACATTTCCAAAACTCTTTCACTAGGAATGCGTACGTTAAGCAATTCACTACAAGAATCTGCTAAATCATTATTGATACGATTTTGATGGCTCAAAGACTCCATGTTTGTAGTAAAGTTTTGGGTATTTATATGAACCTGTGGAGGAAACAGAACAAGAACACTATTTGACGTCAACACACAAAAAAAAATTGTAATGCATTCAAAAATGTTATATTTGGTTAGAACAGCGTCATCTTTGTTCCACATAAAATCTGGAACTCTAATTAAACAAAAACCGATCCCCAAATCACAAACAAGCAGTTAAATCGATCTTTAACACACTAGATTGGGCTACCAAATTAATCTTCATGGCGTACAAACCCTAAAAATACGTCTACAAAGTCTCAACTCAAATCGAAAATATATTCCCGTCTGATTTTCCAAACAAAATAAACTATACACAAAGAAGTTTTAGTACTATGCTAAATAGCTTTATCTTAGGCGACTTAAAACAAATCAACTCTAATCACTCGGCCAAAAAAAATATTATCTAGCTACCAATTAAACTCATAACTCTTTTTTGTTGTAGCAATTAAACTCAGAATCTATTTTGTAATATGAATTAAACTCAGAACTTTCTGCCTACAAACTACTCGTTTGGGAGTTTCTGATCAAAGAACACTGTGTGGTTATATCATGAGCCAGGCAGTCGCATGTGACAAACAAGCTCTGATAGTCAGATAGTCAATATCTTCACTTTCCTTGATTAATGTCTTCTTTATATTAATAATAAGAATGTTGACCAAAAAATAAGAATATGATATGTTTGCCGAAAATTAGGAGTAAAATAAAAACTAGAAGAGGTCATTAAATGGGGATGGTGATTTTTGACTGGTGATGTCTGATGTACTTTTGAGTCAGAATCATGTTTTTCTTTGTATGTTTTGTCTGTCTCTTACACAAGCTTATGGTTTCCAACTTTTCATCATTTCAACTTTTCATAATTATATATATATATATATATATATCTGTGTGATGGATTAGACAAAGGTAAGTGAAGAATGATCTAATACATCGAAAGGTCTAATCTTAATAAATGTTATATAACGGAAAATAAATGAAATCCATAGACTGGTCACACTATTTTTGAGACTGGTCACAATGATCTATCAACAATCTTAAAATAAATAGTGTCAATCAAACGATTACACATACATTGTCGATCCCAATATGATTTATAATATACACAAGCATCTTCGTAGAGCCTACCTCGATTCGCAACTGCAGTTATCATTTATAGATCAATCCTTTACCGCGTTTTCTAACACGCGTGCTTGACACCTGGTTGTGTTCTGGCTAGAATTCTCTTTACTTTCTTTTTTACAGCCATGTCGGTATTTTTAGATTTTGGCTACAACTTTAGAATATTCCCTATTATCAAATCATCCATTTTCCCCTAATTAATTTCTTTTTTAAATTTGTTTTCCAAATCGAAAGCACTTACAAGAAAGAAAAAAACTACACTCTTATAGTATTAATTTGAAACTGGATTATATTTGGGCCATGACAACATTAATACAAAGGATAGATATAAACACATATAGTGTTGTTAAATTAAACAGGATAGCTAGGATGAGTATTTTGAAGTAAATTAACATTATTTTTTCATGTTTCATATCCAGATCAAATTTGGTTTTAAAATACTTTTCAAAATTCCTCATGTTCATACATTTCTCCCAAAATTAGACCCATAGAATAATCTAATGAGTCTAAACGACAACCATTTGCGTGTTTCGTTGACCATATATTGTAAAGCAAAAACATGTTAAGAGTAAATGTCCTACCCCTCGAGTTGTCCTTTCTTTTCTCTCTGTCAATTTGTTGTCTCTCTTATGAACATACTGAAGATAGTGATATATACGAACATATATACTCTGAGTAGGGAATAAAAACTACCCACCATATGATATCAGCTGCAGTTTAATTATAGTATATGTTTATTCGGAGAAGATATGAAGGGAATGTATTAACTTCAATATAATTAAATGTGTGTTATTATGAAAACAACACAATAAATACCTCCGTTAAACCACTTCAAGTCTAAATAATATCCATAATCCATCATTGTGGTTTTGAAGTTAATTGGTCTGACGACAGGAAAAAAGTGTTAGAATCAATTGTAAGAAATTCAAACATATTATGCTTTAAAATAAGCGTAAAAAATAAAAACATCGTGAAACAGAAATATCTCAATGTTTTTGTAATACATTGTTGCAATTAAAATTTTACTTTAAATTAATACTTATTTATTAGATAGAGAAAAAAATTGCTACATGTTATGTTTAACACGTGTGGCTAGATTTTCTATAAAACTATAAAGAAAGTTTTTTTTTGCATTGCTAAAAAAAAAATCGTTAAACAGTTTGATGATTTCACATAATATATCCAAAATACCTGGGATTTTTGCATTGCGATCGTAATTGAACTTTGACCCTATAATTGTTAACGATCCTTTATCCCATGAGGAGAACACAAAGCAAGAAAATGTCTCTTTTCTGTATCAAAAGAAGAAGAAAATGTCTTTTTGCCAAAAGGCTTATTTTGGACCCTCTTTTCAAAATTTCGACTTTATAGTCTCGGTACGCATTATAAACCATATTTGGAAGATATTGATATTTGGTTTTGTCTGCCTAAAATAAACACACATAAAATTGACCCAAAAATAAATACACACTCGTAAAATTGTTTTCTCCTCTTTAATTATAAGTGGGTCCGTTTCATTTATTCAGAAGGTCTCCCATTCATAATCAAAGAAGAATTTCTGAAATGATAAAAGAGAAGCTTGGATGATCTTGTTAAAGGGAGATAAGGAAGCAAGTGACCTAATTTTAGCTTGGCACGTATAGCATTGCTAAAACATTTATATGATCGTACAAAAAAAATTATTTCTGTTAAAATTCCTCGTAGCTAATGAGATATTAGGTTTTATAGTCCGATTGAGTAATGGGTTGTTATCGCCTCGTAGTAATATTTCCAAGATGTGAACAGTTTCATCCTCATATCGAATGGATTTGTTAAAATCTCTCGTATAAAACGTTTTAACATAAAATATAAATGTCATAAATCATTATAAATTTATAACTATTGCAGTCAATCAGTTTTGAATTTTAAGCTCGTAATTCATAAATATTCTGTTAATTAATTAATATCTTTGATTCGAGTAATGTGTATAATATATAAGATGAATATTATACCGAAACGAGAGGCGAAGGAACAAACAGCGTCGTCAATTGCAATTGCTTAGTTATTGCTATTATCTGTTAATATAAGAAGCAATATGATTATTAGAATACTAACTTATAATAGTATATATATATATATATGCATATATATTGTGTGTGTTTGACAAGAACCCGTCCTTATAGGTACGCAAATACGGTCCCATGATTGAACAAATTGATGTCCCTTAAATTTTTCTTGAAGTTTCTCGCTACAGATTTCTTTTCTTTATTTGTATTATTACACATCAAAATGTACTTCTTTGTCCGTTTGTGCGCTTGGAACCAGTAACCTTCTTCTTCTTTTTTTTAATGAACGGAGCCAACTTTAACCTAATATGCATTGGTTGATAGTGTTTTTTAATGAAACAAACGCCCATAAATGTTCTCATACCAGGACCAAAAGATGTCTTAGTTGTCATTCGATCTGTTAGCGTTAAAAGTCATTTCTAGTTATAATTAATAGTTCAATACCTACTCAAATCTTCAATAATTGGTATTTGTCGTATCCTCACGAATGAAATCAGTACAGTTAATCACACTATTTGATGCAAAATTTTATGGGTTTGTTATTTAAAATCAAGTGACATTTACTAGATTAGTTTACATTCCTTCTTATATATAACTTTATGTTTCTTCTTTACACGTTTTTAATTACGAGATTATAGGACATGCAATAAATCCTACATGAGCCACTCGACAAATTTCGTTTTGAGAAAATGTTAATTTTGTGAGATTTTAACTAAAAAAAAGAAACATTTTGAGAAAATGTTAAAACTGAGCTTCCAGAATCCAGACATATGGTTAAGAAACATTTCCTTATTAAAACCCTGGTATACTAACTAAGATAAACAAATTCAAATGCAACGATTTTTTTTTGTTTATTAATTATTTTCAAAAACTTTATAACCACAAAATAAATCTCAGTATCAATAAGTTAGTACGTGAAAGTTATGATGACATTAAGAAATAACATTTTTCTGTATTGCAAGGATTCATAGCTGGGTAAAATTGGTTTTGATTTTAGAGTTCGGGTCGTTCGGTCTTCTATGGTAATCGTTTAGAAGTGTCTAGAAATTGATTAATACTTTGATACCATGGCAAAATTATCAAGAGATGAAAAATAACTTTAATTTTAATTCTTTTATATCATATATCTATGGCTTTAAATACATGCTTATATAGAAAACCACAATCTGAAAGACAAGTAGTATGCACTAGAAATAATATAAAATTCTAATTAAAAATATAATGCCAATCATGGCATGGATTTTTTTATTTATTGTTGTCAATCATACATTTAGATACATAGATTAGCTTCACATGAGCAAGCATATGCAAGTATATCATATATGTATGTAAATGCGAATGTATTATATATATGTTCTTGTCATGAAAAGCACTATGATCGATTGAGTCGATTGTCAGGGTAAAAGATAATAAAATAGTCAAACTTGGGTGAAAATTTCCTTATCACACAAATAAAAGATAAAAGATAAATATCTTAAAAAGCTTGTCTCACCATGTTCCTCTCGGAGACAAATTTTATAAAATTTACGTACCCGGGCGGGACAAAGTCGTTGTTCTATATATATATATACTTCAATATATTGCCATTCTAAATGTGGTAGTCTCGTAATCTTTTTCTAAAAGAAGACTGATTTTTTTTCTTTTTCTTAAACCCGGAAGATATCAAAGCAAACAGTGACTCCAAGTGTGTTGTTTTATACTAATAAATAAATTTAGAGTGGGTCTGTAAGAAAAACAAAACAAATAGAGTCACTGGGTCCATTTCCTTTATTCAATAGACTTATTGCATTGTTTTGGTCCCATTCCCTCGCTCTCTTCCAAACCATACCCAAAATATTAATGCATATAAATATTTTGAGTGACTGAGAAAAATGATAGACAAAAATTTGAGCAACATTTCTTCTTCTTCTCATATCAAAGTTGTTTCTCTCTCTCATTTCAGCATATCACTTCACTGCCCCTGTTTTTTTTCCTCATTTTGAATAGTTCTCAAAACTTTATTTTTCCCCTGAAGATCTTTCCTTTCTTTGCATAAATCTCGGGATCCGAATCATAAATAACAAGCAAAAACAGAGACTGTTGAATATTACAATGGCTGCATCAGCTTCAGAGAGTACGTTCGTGGAGGAATACTACAACCTCCGCTCCGAGAGAGTGCCTCAGCTTTCAAACTCGGCGTCTGACTCAGCGAGTCACGAGAGCAAAACAGAGCAAAACGAGAAGAAGACGAAACGGGCTAGAGACTCCGGTAAACACCCGGTTTATCGCGGCGTGAGGATGAGGAATTGGGGCAAATGGGTGTCGGAGATTCGTGAGCCGAGGAAGAAGTCTCGTATTTGGCTCGGAACTTTCCCGACGCCGGAGATGGCGGCGCGTGCACACGACGTGGCTGCTTTGAGCATTAAAGGATCCTCTGCTATACTAAACTTCCCTGAACTCGCCGAGTCGTTCCCTCGACCCGTCTCGCTAAGTCCTAGAGACATTCAGACAGCAGCTCTCAAAGCTGCACACATGGAACCACTTACTACGTCGTCGTTTACGTCTTCTTCATCGTCTTCTTCGTCTTCTACTTCTTCACTTGAGTCTCTCGTGTTAGTGATGGACCTCTCGAGGACTGAGTCAGAGGAGCTCGATGAGATCGTGGAGCTGCCAAGTCTAGGAGCGAGTTACGACGTTGACTCAGCTAATATCGGGAGCGATTTCGTGTTCTCTGACTCAGTGGACTACTGTTTGTATCCTCCGCCGTGGGGGCAGTGGTCGGAAGAGAATTACGGCTACGGAAATATCACTAATTTTAACCAAGGCTTGTCATGGGATATCTAAGTCTAACGACGTTTTTTAATAATTTTTTTTTGGTATCATTATTATATAACTAATGTCTTGTGTAATCACGTCTTTGATTATGAACCCTTTCTTTTTTTATTTTGTTTGTGTTAGCTAAGAGAGGGGTTTTTTTTTTTTTGGGTGCGTGTGTGAGCTCCATAATGATACGTGTACAAAACTCTATTTGTGTTTTTTTATATAAATTAATATCGGTTTTGTTTGTCGGAAAAGAAGAGGAAAAAAAAAGTGATTTTTTTGTAAGTATCATCAAGTGAATAAGCGATAAATAAAAGTCCACTAGCTTTATGATATTGCAATAATACAAATCATTAGGAGTTCACAACTGTTGCGTGTTTTTTTTTCTTTTGACAGATAAAAACAAAAAATTACCTTTAACTAGTAATCATAAATCAGAAATCACTATCATTAACTTTGGTTTGGTCGGAATAAATGGAATGGAGAATGTGAGATAGGGTAAAAAAAAAAGAAAAACACAAAGCGAGAGCAACTTGTCCAAGCTGACGCAAACATCACGTACACAGCCATATACATCCATGCAATATATTGTTATCATATCAGTGATATCACTTAGTATGATTATGACCAAAATTCCCACTTATATATTTCATCATACAATATCGCCTACAGAATAATAGCATCACACAACTCGTTTAGTTTAAAATTAAAATTAAAAAGAGGACGGAAAGCTTATGCGAAACGATATCTAATTAGCTAATAGCTAGCTGACTCCACCGATGATTTTAATTTTCTGATTTTACGAAACTTCAATTCGATTATAGTGTGATATATATGTTAATACATATATAAGACTCTTTTTAATTATGTTGTTCATCAATATTTTTAAAAAACTTACATGATCAGTAGTACTTGATAAGTAAAAGAAAGAAGAATTTGTTCGGTAACTTCTTTTCGTTATTTAATTTACCAATACAAAACAAATCTGGTTATGTCTAAATAATTGTTTGGAGACAAAATATATTAAAAGAAACAATTTTCTAAAGTTTCCGATTTTTTTTTTTTAATTTTCCAAACTCTGTAAAAGTTTTAAAAATTTTGAAAATTTCTAAGAACATGTGAACATTTCGAAATAATTTGGGAATTTCCTAACTTTTTTCTTTGTAAAATTTTGATAACTATTACTACCGAATAAGCATGATGAATAGTATCTACGAATATTGGTTGAAAACGAATGTTTCGGTAAAACTCAAAGGCACTTCTATAAAAAAAAATGAAAATGTTATTACTAAGACAAAATAAGAATGTTTTTATTTTTGAATCGAATGATTCTAATATGGGGAGGATAAAGAATGTGACATGTCTAGTCTTTTCAATTTCCAAGATCTCGTTTTAAGAACATTATAAATTACAATCATGGAAAAGAGCTGTGATGATTTTTAAATTACTCGTTCTAAAGTGGAATACCCATGATATTAAACTGTCTTAGTCATTCAAGTTTACATGTCGATTTATGCTGGATTTACTATCTCTTTAGACTTTAATCAATGTAAAACGTATATAGCATTTTGCAAACCCCAAAAGTAAATTGTATCCAACAGTTTGCAAACTGCAAAAGTTTGTCTAGATTTCAACATAATATTTCTTTGTTGAAAATGATTTTTCGACTTCATACTACTATTTCGAAGCTTCATTCATCCTATGTGGTGGATAAAGACTAATGTTATAAACAAATTAAAAAATACAATATGATGTCACTGGCAACCATTTAAAACGTATATGAAAGATTTTCGATTTACCCCTAAGACTCTCTTGCGAGAGAGTGTGGGACATGGAATAATTATCCATACTATATCTTTGTTAGTTAGGAATTGGTGACTAATATATGCCATTTTTTAGTCAACAGAGAGAAATCAGAAATATTTAATATTAAAATATAAAATGATAGACGACAAAAAAAAAATATATATATATATATATATCATATATCTAAAAATTTAAATGATATTTTTCACTGTAAGTTGTTAGATGTTTTACATTGCCTTTTCAATTTATCTTTGGTGGATATTCTTTAACGGATTTCATCAGGGTTTACATCCAAATATCCTTTAGTGAATATATATGATCATATAATAAAGAATGAACTAGCCGACAAAACAAAAAGAAAACAAAGCATGAACTTTATATAGACTATATCATCTTACAGTTGTGCATGAAAACGTCCCCTGATACTTCGAATACCTTATTTGGACATCAAAACGCGACATTTGGGCATATGGAAAAATAGAAAAACGTGATTTATTTAGAAACGGATACATATGCAATAATGCAGGCGTACTATTCTGACGTACAAGCGAGCTTTGAGGAATAGAATCCATGCTTGACAAGATTATAATCACTTCCCACTTCACACCAATGCTACGAGCCTACGAGGCACGAGCCAGTTGATGATCTCGAGTGATATAATTCTATATAAGTCAGTAGAAGCAAACCATTGCATAAGAATTATTGGATTGAACGTGATAGTATCTTTAGAAGAATTTATACCACAGCGATGTTTAACAAAAAAATAAAAAATCAACGATATCTTAGCTTTACAGTTTTCAAGTATTCGAATCACCTCTTCTCTTTCTCCTTTAAACCGTAATTTTTAAACCTTGAATCTCCGACATGCATAACCTACAACATTTTTTAAAAATGTATAATCTAAATCCCAGAATCCAAATGTAATAAATAGTCATCTTTGGATTTTTATATATTTTCTATTGTTAAAAGAGGTTCCTCCGACAGAGTTTTACAAATTGTCTGAATGCATATTAAATGCGTATCAAAACACTGTTTCTTTTTCACCGAAACTACAAAGGTACAAAGTTCAAACTAACGGTTAAAGATTTAATCAAAGCAGCGGGATATATGGTATTTAGAGATTTGCTATGCTTTATTCTGATACTAATTGCGATTTAGTTGAAAATATGTTAGATTATATAAATATATCATGCCTGAAATCCTGATATGTTTTTGATTGGTTTTAATTAATTTTGGATTTTGATTCGTCTAATATAAGTTGATTCGATGTGATCAGTTTTCTTACTTCGATTTGATTTTGGTTCGGGTTAATCTGATCAGTTGCATTTGATTTTAGATCCACATAGCCTGATAGCCCTACCTATTCACCCACTAACTATTGTATATGTATATTTATTCGTTTATGAATAAATGAATTTATTCCTTGGTTTAATTAACCGACATTATACCACGCAAATCTAGGGTGGATCCGACATAACTTTCTTGCATATCTTTTGTGAGGTGTTGAAATTCTTAAATCAAAATTTATGTGTCTAATGACGGTACTATGCATAACTCCAAAAACGGAAAAGGAATCATTGACTCCTTTATTACTTTTTTTTTAGGTTTCGACCAAAATCGTCAAAAATGACTTTACAAAATGCTGAAAATGTTATATAAATAAAAGGGTATCTGAACCACTTGATATTCTCCACTAAATATGCTTTGTTCTAAATATCTAAAGATCAAGTAAGTCGGCAGGTTAATCACGTTTATTCGATTAATTTAATTGGCTGTGACGGATGACCATTTGTCTCGAATCTGCGTAAATAATTAGAATAGCTATTAAAACTGATTTAACGGTCGGTTAGCGCGCCTTGTAGATTAGTTGGCTTATTCATCCGGTTTACGAACCTGTAACCACACGCGCCATTGCAATTTGCGTTTACACTTGGTAAACCTTATTTCAATTTTTTTTTTTTTTGAGTTCAAGTTTGGTGAACCTTCTTTTTTGAAACTTATAATGTTCAGTTTAAAATTTCATATTATAAAGAAAAAGTTATCATATAAAGGCAAATAAAAAGTTAACGTTTGAAACTATCTCAACCTACCTAAAAATGTAGAAACATATGTTTAGAAATCACCTTTATCTTATGAATAAGCCAAGCCCATCAATGGAGTTTAAGAATTTATTGTCCACTGTCTTTCTGTATTAATAAAATTACAAATATATACTTATATTGTATTTTGAAATATATCATAATTAATTTTTTTCTTGTCGTATATATGTAAAATATCACGAAGAAAAAAGAGGATACTGAGAACAACAGATTAAAGACGCATGGCAATGATCAAGTGCAATTGAATAAACTCGAATACGTGCCTTTAAAAGACAGTATTATTTGTGGAAAGCTTTTTCTTTGCCTATTGCCATTTCAAGGTTGCTTTTAATTATTGATTTGTATAAATATCTTGGGTTAGTGCTACTTGATTTATTAATGTTACGTCTTATTATTATATGCAAAACCCAATGTCAAAAAAGTGCTAGACAATAGAGTAGTATTCAACGTGTAATGTCTAACCGGTTATAGGAGAATAGTTGGTAGACAATCATAGATTAGTGTTAGGAATGTCAAAAGAAAAAAAGATTAGTGTTCGGAAGGATAAATTTAAAATTGAGGAAATTACCATAAATAAATGGCAATTTCAATGACCATTTCTATTTTATTTCTTATTTTATATCATCAATACGATTTATCAAATTCTAAATCAAACTAGTAAATGACCCCTTTCACGCTCATTTCAGCCTATAAAAAATAAGTTAGAGCATAAAATATTAAACCAATAAATAATATGTATGTATATTATTAAAGTATTTTTTAATGTTATAATGCTTAATGAATACTAAAAATAAATTAAATATATAACTTAAAATCCAAATTTTTATTAATCAATCAATTATATGACTAATATTTGAAATTAACTATTAATAAGAAAATGTGTAACTTTTTATAAAGGGTTTTCTGTAAAAATGCTTGAGAGAAAAAAACATGCGAGTTAACTTTAGACTAACTGTACAATACTTATACAAAACCATGAACGCGTACATTATTTCTCTTTGAACGTTAACATTTAACTTCGAATGAAATATATAGATTTGTATTTTAGATACATTAATAATGAGTTGGCAATGAATTGATTAAATTGACATTATTTATTGGAAAATTTAATATGAAAGGACATTGCAATGGTTGTTGGATAAATTTCTCTTGTCCTGCACTGGTTGTTGGATGATGTGATACTACAGTGGCAACAGTTTTTTTTATAAAATATAGTAAAATAAAATATTCTGTGGACAAATTCCCAGATAAGGATTTCCATGAAGCATTCTCGACAATACCTTTTTAGTTTAGTTTTTCCAAAAAAAATTGAAAATTCACTAAAATAAAAGGACTGAAGTTTGTAAAACTCTGTACAAAAAAAGGAGAAGTTATGGAACTATTCAATAGTAGTATACTAAAACAAATTTCTGAAAATTATATACATGATGAGGACTGAGGAGGTTGTGGAAGAACTTAATTATGAGAACGTAAGAATGTGTCATCCACGCTTTCTAAAATGATTTACATATATTTAATTACAAGTTAATTTGATAGTATAAGGCATATGATTACACAATGCTATCAATAATAGTGACAAATTTTGAGAACAATTTGCTAAATTTTCATTGGATATTCAACTAAAAGAGTATTTTTAAATGGATTGATTATGAGAACAATTTGCTGAAAATTCATTCCATAATCAACAAATTCTAGTAAATTATACGAAATGATTTTTACGTACATATGTTCTCTGCTTCTTGAAGAAGGTATTAGGCTATTAGCACACAACAGGTGATACTATTAGTGTTTAGATGCTGAAGATTGAAGACAATCTTTCATAATCTCCTGAATCCTTCTCTGCAACACCTTGTCCTTAACCCTACCAATCATGTCTTCATAGAAAGCTTGAAGCCTCATAAGCTGACTCTTATCTGCACTCTCCAGCATCTCTCCCCACTCTTTTCCCATATCGAAATACCCAGAAACCCGTAATGAATACGGGATATCTTCCTCTTCATTAAAAGGTTTTCCAAATATGGATCCATGAAGTATGCTTGCATATCTTTCCATCACCATTAGCTTTGATTCAAGCCGTTTAATCTCCTCCGTTGATGAACTTTTGCCAGCATCAGGTTCAGGTACTTGTTCATTGTCCGGTTTCAGCTCATTCGGCCAGAAGACGAGAGTAGGAACATAACTGTCCATAACATTCCCGGTCCCGAGCACTCCATTTCTTCCTCTTCCCCAAGACCACAGCTTGTAACCACCATTTGCCACAAGAACTGTATGTGCAGCTCCGCAAGAAACCTGAACCGGGTCACGAAATCTTGACACGCCTGAAATCTTTCTTGGTACACTGTCGTCTCCTGCTTCCACTTCAGCGAAATTCACATCAGGGCATAACCCTAGTCCTCTCTCCATTCCCCACGACCACACGTATCCCTCAGATGACACCACGCTTGTGTGGAACAACCCACAGTCTACAGAAACTAAGTAAGCGTGTTCCGAGAGCTCTGAAACTGGCACTGGAATCGATGAGCTCTTGGTACTTCCGTGACCTAGTTGACCATTTTCTCCAAAACCGAATGTCCAGCAAATGCTTGGTCCTTTTGGTGTTTCCTTTCTGTAGGTGAGGAGAGCTGTGTGATGAGCACCGCAAGCTATGTCGTAGACTGTAAGACCAGAGTTCTGGTTAAATGTCTCGACAATATGAGGCCTTGCACGGCTTTCTTTATCCCCAAGCCCTAACTGGCCATGATGATTATTGCCCCAAGAATACAACACATAATCATCATAACCATTGTCTTTATTAATCACCTTGGGACCAACAAGGGCAACAACATGTTCATCCCCACATGCTACCTTCAAAACAGTCTGGCCATGGAACTCGGGTACAGGAAATGGAATCGGGATGCTTGTAAAAGACAACCGAGGCTCAGGTTCCCCGTTTTGAGGTGGAACATTCCCCCACATCCACAGACCCCCGAGATTATCAATGGCAAGCGACATCATGGATCCAGCCTTGACAGCACAAACCTACCAAGCGTAACGAAAAATCGTTGTGCTTCAGGCTTCTGAATTATAAACCAACACTAAGAAAGCGTTTCCAGGACCATACCTTTAAATCTGATCTAGCTTCTCTACCTGAATCATTGAGTGAAGAACTAGATGCTTCTTGTTCTAAGAAATTTTTAATCAAGCGTGGTGCCAAGGAATTCTCCCCATCAAAACCTAGTTGGCCATCTATTTACCAGTCAAGGAATTATAGATTGTAGCAGCCAATGCAGACCAAAATAAAAAAAATGTATTGATAAGAAAAAATCATATCAAGCTAGACATGGTAAGATTCCTATAAAGGATACAAATGTTATAACCCCAACACCAAACCGAGCCATCATCTGCCAAAAGCTTACAAGGCAAAAGAAACAAAAGACAAGAGAATGGTCAATACAGATCAATATCAAATCAGGTTCAAAAACATACACATGAGCAAGCTTACATTCGTTCTTGAAGTCCATGATCCTATACACTAAACTCACAAGCCCTCTCGATTAACAAAATGTAGAAACTCCGACACAACCAACAGATGAAACTCACAAGAACGAAGACTTAACTAAGCTAACACATCATCATTATTACCATGATTCGTTCATAGATGCAGACAGGGGAGCTAATTTCATGAAACAGAATCTTTCGATCATCATCACAGTCACCAATTTCTCAATAAAACATCTGATCAAATCAGGAAAAGTGATTCAGACATATGAATAGAAGAAACCACCTGAGAAAGCGAGACTGTGATACGCACCAGCAGCAATACCAACGATTCGAGCCCGATCTCCGATCGCTTGATCTGAGACTTCGAACTCGACTCGAACTGGAACAAGCTCGTCCGATTCCATACCCGTGCCAAGACGCCCGAACATCCCCCTTCCCCAGGAGTAAACATCTCCGTCGCCTGAAATTTTTACCAAGAATAAAAAATCAGCTCAAGAAGAAAAAAAACATAGGAATCTCGCTATCTACTAAATGAAGCTTTGGAATTTTGTTTACCAGTCAGAGCAATAGTATGCGCTTCACCGGCGGCGAGAGAGACTATTTTCCGGGATAAATCTTCAGAGATCAGTAACGCCGGCGACTTGTCCTCCATTGCCACTGCTCGAAGATTTCTGGAACGGATAAGGTTCGTCGTGCTCAGTTGCTTTCTCTAATCCTTGAGGCTTCACCGCTTCAGCAATCAGCACTCGGCAATCTTATTATTTCCTATTATTAGAAAATACTAGGAGATACGTATGCTTGAATTTATATTTTAAATAATTTGTATTGAACTTTAAGTTTATTATTAATGTATTTTTGTCTAAAATAATTATATTTTTTTATATTTCTTCTTGATGATATATTATATGTAATCTCCTTTACACCAGTTGTATTAAATAGTTTCATTTTTTCTTCGATCTTTATATTCTTTTTATTCTTGTAAATCATATTAATATAATATTTGTTAATTTTTTTTAATTTAATATTTGATTTTTTTTGGTTATATATATTTTATTGATTTCATCTTTTTTATTACTTAAAAAAAACCATAGATGACATTTTTATGTGGATATCTTTATTTTTACTATTATTTTTAATAACTTTTATCTTTTTAATAGTTTATTAAATATGTTTTGTGTTTTATAATTTTATTAGTTGAATTTTTGTATAAGATTATTTAAAAAATTTTAACTTATTTAGTCTCATAATTTTTTTTTCACTTGCATTAAAATTTAATTATATTTTTAGTTTATAAATGAAGTTTAAAACATTTAAAAAAATAGAATTGTGCATTTAAAAAGTCTTGTATTATATAATATTTATAAGTTTGTATATAGTTAAATTAAATTTGAATTTATTCTAATATAAATATATATATCAATATTTATTTATGTTTTTAATGTGTTTTAATATGTTTTTAATATGTTTTATTGTGTTTGCTTTAAATATAATTAATTAACTATTTTATTAAATTTGAAGATGACAGGTGGCGTTCTCTCCAGCGCTGATGTGTCACTCAACTGGAGAGAGTTGGCCAAGTTTTATATATAAGATGATCACTCTAACACTCTCAGACTCTCAGCTGCAATGGCATGGGCCTGTTTACTTAACTAGGCTGATTATGAGGGTTTGGAAAATTAGTACGTACTAATTAGGACCAAAGACGCTACCTAAAATCATGTAATCATGTATATCTCATCGTAATTAGTCTTTCCGTTGGATTATTATTACTAACGGATATACAGAATAATCCGTCGTGATTAGCTTTTCTTAATTCTCTAATTTCGGTTATTGCGCCTTTCGCAACTTATTAATAAACATAAGATTGTTGGAGAAAGAAATGATTGTATGATGATTTTTAATGGAGAAACCACATAATTATCTCAATCTTTTTTGGTCAACAACACGTCTAATTCTTAGATATAACCTTGAAGAGGGTTAGGATTAGCTAGGATTAATATATGTTATGGAATACTATTTTCATTACAAAAGAAACACTGTTGTTATACTAATGCAAGTCGCCATGGTTGTAAAGTAAATATATATATTACTCAAAAAAAAATTACAAGAGATATATTTACTTTATTTTTGTTGGCCAAGAGAGATAATATATCCGATCTAATATATATTTTTCATGGATTATATCCGATCGAATAAAACAATTAGAAAGGTGGAGAGAAAAATCTTGGCTTGCGAGGCCAACAAAATAAAATTAAAATTTTATTCGCTTATTCGTCAGAAAAAAAAAAAAAATCAAAACAAAAAAAGAGAGAAGACCTTCGCTTGTTAAAGCTCCTCACGATTTCCTTCTAGACCAAAACTCACTTCCCTCTTCCAGATCTGCTGGTTCCCACTTCCAGAAGAAAATTAGTCAGCAATCGCCATGGCTATGGCGATTAGGTTTACTCTTCTCCTTCTTCTCTTCTTATCGTCTGCAATTGTATCTTTCTCCCTGTACGAAGATCAAGTCGGCCTCATGGATTGGTAACTCGTCTCTTCTTCATCCGATTTCTTCTGTCTATCTCTATTTGTTTCTATGGAGTAAATTAGCTGAGAAAGTTCCGAATGCTTACTACTGCTATGTGAAGTCTTCGAAACTTTTAATGGTTTGAAAGTTTGGATTTAGAAGTCGAACTATCAATTTCGCCAATCAGATTAATCCAATCCGTAGTGTATCTATAATCTGTCAGTTAGTATTTTAGATCTCATTAGCTAGAGAAATTGTGTAACAATATGGTTCATTGAGTTTTCGATTGCCAGTGAATTTGAGATGCGATCGGGCAAAGCTACTCTCTATTTTTGTTGCTGTGTATGGATGTTGCTTTCAAAGGAAATAGGAGTGAAGGAACTAAAATTTGGTGGAATTGTAAGTGTTTAATTGAAAAAAAAAATCAAATTTTGTTTTGCGTAGGCACCAACGTTACATTGGGAAAGTGAAGCACGCAGTATTCCACACTCAGAAGACTGGGAGAAAGCGTGTAATCGTGTCAACCGAGGAGAATGTTGTTGCTTCACTTGATCTCAGACATGGGGAGATATGTAAGAATAGTGATGTTCATATATTTGCTATCCATGCCGATTCTTGAAATATCTTCCACTGTGATTGTCACCGCCCTGTCTCGTTTTTTTTTTGGTTCCTTATTATTTACTTTGCTTTCTTGTTTGCTGTGCAGTTTGGAGGCATGTTCTCGGGACAAATGATGCTATCGATGGGGTTGATATTGCCTTGGGAAAATGTAGGAATTTTGTCTGGATGTACTAAACCTTATATTTGCTTTCACGTGAAACGATATTGTACCACAGTCTTCAACTTTATTTTCTTGGCTTCACATTATCTTTTCAGATGTCATCACACTTTCATCAGAAGGAAGTGCTTTAAGAGCCTGGAACCTTCCTGATGGCCAAATGGTTTGGGAAACTTCGCTGCATGGTGCACAGCATTCAAAGTCACTGCTATCCGTGCCGGTTAGTAATATAAGCCTACTAGTTTTGTTATATGCTTTAAAAGGAGGGCAACTGTTGTTATCATTTTATCATTATAAGAAAACTACTTCGATCTTTAGGGCATTGAAGAGCGACATTTCTGAAATCTTAGTTGTGTCATCATTTCCTTGGTTGCTTGTTTATCAATTAGAGCTATCTTGCAGACAAATTTGAAGGTTGACAAGGCCTACCCGATCCTTGTTTTCGGTGGTGGGTACCTTCATGCTGTTTCTGCTATAGATGGTGAGGTCCTCTGGAAAAAGGATTTCACAGCGGAAGGGTAATGATAGCCTTTTCTTTATATTTGAATTAAGTTGCTTCAAGTGCAGACTGCAGATATGCATATTATAATACTATTGGCGTTTAGTAACATTTTCGATGTGCTTTATGGTGCCTCCTGCAGGTTTGAAGTTCAGCGGGTTCTACAACCTCCTGGAAGTAGTATAATTTATGTGCTGGGATTCGTTAATTCATCTGAGGCTGTTGTTTATCAGATTGATTCCAAAAGTGGAGAGGTAGTGGCGCAAAAAAATATGGCGTTCCCTGCTGGATTCTCTGGCGAAATTTCATCAGTTTCAAGCGATAAAGTTGTTGTACTTGATTCAACGAGGTCAATTTTGGTTACTATTGGCTTCCTAGATGGAGATATTAGCTTCCAGAAGACCTCTATTTCAGATCTTGTTGAGGATTCTGGAAAGGCTGAGATTTTATCACCTCTTCTTAGCAATATGCTTGCTGTAAAAGTCAATAAACGCACTATATTTGTGAGGGTTGGTGGCGAAGGAAAGTTGGAGGTGGTAGACTCATTATCTGATGAAACAGCCATGAGTGATTCACTTCCAGTTGCAGACGATCAGGTGGCCTTTGCCTCGGTTCATCATGAAGGGAGCAAGATTCACCTCATGGTGAAACTTGTTGATGACTTGGATACTGTATTGCTTAGAGAGAGCATTCAAATGGACCAACATAGGGGGCGTGTGCATAAAGTTTTCATAAACAACTATATCAGGACTGATAGGAGTAATGGATTTAGGGCGCTTATCGTAATGGAAGATCACTCATTATTGTTATTGCAACAAGGGGCGATTGTTTGGAGCAGGGAAGAAGGCCTGGCTTCAGTGACCGATGTTACAACGGCAGAACTCCCTGTGGAAAAGGATGGTGTATCAGTGGCAAAAGTGGAGCACACTCTCTTTGATTGGCTTAAGGTATGACTATTCTTAGATTACTAAGTTGGTTTTCTTAATTTCCCTGGAGTTGTGCATTTGACGTCTTCTGGTTTTCTCACCCTAATCAATTGAACTTTTTCTGGTTTTGTTTTAAGGGACACATGCTGAAGCTCAAGGGAACCTTGTTGCTAGCAAGCCCAGAGGATGTGGCAGCAATTCAAGAAATGAGGATGAAGAGTTCTGGGAGGAACAAACTTACCCGTGACCATAATGGCTTTCGGAAATTATTCATAGCACTTACTCGAGCTGGAAAACTTTTTGCTCTGCACACTGGAGATGGGAGGATTGTCTGGTCTATGCTATTAAACTCTCCGAGCAAATCAGAAACCTGTGAACGCCCAAGCGGTATTAGCTTGTACCAATGGCAGGTCCCTCATCATCACGCCATGGACGAGAATCCCTCTGTTCTTGTAGTTGGCAGGTGCGGATCAGATTCAAGTGCGCCCGGTGTACTTTCATTCGTAGATGTGTACACGGGAAAGGAGATTAGCTCATCAGATATGGGTCACTCTGTTGTGCAAGTTATGCCTCTTCCATTTACTGATTCAACGGAACAACGTTTACATCTAATAGCTGATACCAATGGGCACGTCCACTTGTACCCGAAAACTTCAGAGGCTCTCAGCATCTTTCAACACGAGTTTCAAAATGTATACTGGTACACTGTTGAGGCTGATGAAGGTATTATCAGAGGACACGCAATGAAGAGCAGTTGCTCTAGTGAGACTGCAGATGAGTACTGCTTTACTACCAGGGAACTTTGGACTGTTGTGTTTCCTTCAGAATCAGAGAAAGTTATTTCAACTCTAACACGAAAACCAAATGAGGTATAAATATTTGTTTCTAAATCAGTTTTTATCTTGCTTCTTTATTGATTGTTAGTGTTTTTTCTCAAAAACATTTACACATATTATGGTGTTTCCTTTTGTGAGTAGCCATTTCTGGGAAGTTCATTAAATGTTTCGTTTATTAATTATGACCTGCGTTTGATTGTATTTCCAGGTTGTTCATACACAAGCCAAAGTCAACACAGACCAAGACCTGTTGTATAAATATGTATCAAGAAACTTGCTGTTTGTGGCCACTGTGTCACCGAAAGGCGCTGGTGAGATTGGTTCAGCTACACCAGAGGAGTCAACACTTGTAGTATACCTCATTGACACCATCACAGGGCGTATACTACACCGTTTATCACATCAAGGCTGTCAAGGGCCGGTTCATGCGGTAAGTGCTCATGCAAGTTCATCTAATTTCTTGTAACAGATGCAATGCAACTTTCTTACCCTTGAAATGTTTGCAGGTATTTAGTGAGAATTGGGTTGTTTACCACTACTTCAATCTTCGAGCGCACAAGTACGAGGTTACAGTCGTTGAGATCTATGATCAGTCTCGGGCGGTATGAATTCTAACCAAAACAAATTAATAGCTGATTGAGTGTTCTTCGCTCTGTGAAACCAATATAAATTTTATTTGCAGGAAAACAAAAATGTCTGGAAACTCGTTCTGGGGAAGCACAATCTAACAGCACCAATCTCTTCATACTCCAGACCAGAGGTATTTACAAAATCACAATCATACTTCTTTGCTCAGTCCGTGAAAACCATCGCGGTGACGTCAACAGCAAAGGGTATAACTTCAAAGCAGCTTCTCATTGGTACCATAGGGGATCAGGTTTGCACTTTTTTTTTTTTTATATCATATATAGATACCTTTTCCATGGATTGGAAAACTGATACTTAAAACTGTTCATATGAATGATTAGATATTGGCACTTGATAAACGATTTGTGGATCCACGCCGGACACTTAACCCGTCTCAAGCTGAGAAAGAAGAAGGAATCATCCCTCTCACAGATTCGTTACCCATCATCCCTCAGGTTCGACATATACCCATTTTCCATAAGTTTGTTAGGAGTGGGCAATACCTGGTTTGGTTTCTTTGCCCAGTCCTAGTATTAGTGATTGTATTGATTCTGATGCACTGGCCATATTTGACAGTCGTACATAACACATTCCCTCAAAGTAGAAGGTCTAAGAGGCATAGTAACAGCTCCAGCCAAGCTAGAGTCAACAACACACGTATTTGCCTATGGAGTGGATCTCTTCTACACAAGGCTTGCTCCTTCAAAGACCTACGACTCACTGACCGATGATTTCAGCTACGCTCTTCTCTTGATCACGATTGTAGCACTTGTTGCAGCTATCTACATCACTTGGGTCCTTTCAGAGAAGAAGGAACTGAGCGAAAAGTGGAGGTGATTGGATCGTTAAAAGGTTTAAAACCCTCTGTTTGGTTTTTCACACTTGTAGAATGTTTATGAATTTTTTGGCACTCTTAGAAACAAACAAAAAAACCATTGGCTTAACTAAATTCTTGATGTTAGGCTTTGGAAACTGAGTTTACAGACTCTTACTTGTGACCTTTGTCACATTCTAGAGTTGCGCTGAACCTTCTGAATTTAAATTTTTATAGAAGCCTCTTTTTAACGTTTTTTGGTTGCAGAAAGATTCTATGTCTGTGATTGCTGACTAGGTTAATCAGCCTCTGCCTTTTGTCGACTACAGATAAAACCTGCCTTTTTACAGTACTTTATATAAGCTTAATCGTTACCTCAAACTTAATTTTAACAACCGTAAAATCGTCATCTTATATATTTTCTTGGACAATATTCTCCCTATATCCCACGCACATGATAATAATAATATTATTTTATGGTTTAATGCGAGAAATAATAATAATAATAATAATCTTTAGGGAGAGTACAAGTGTTACGCCTGACAAATTTGGTGCGAATCAATTATTTGCTTCCTATTTTAAAAAGGAGACGCTTCGCTTCTTCTCACTTCTCTGTTCTCACTACACTTACATTAATCTCTCTGATCCAGCGATGATGAAATCAAACCAGAAACCGAAACCCCACGCGCCACCGCGTCCTCTCTTCTCCTGTGGCTTCTTCCGCCGCTGCACACAATCCGTCCTCAGCCCCACCTCTCCTCACCAGCAACCTCGCCGTAAACCCACCACCACATCCTCCTCCTCATCATCCTCCTCAACCTCCACTTCTCAAAGCTTCACTCAATGGCGTTTCCCTCATCACCTTGACCAAACTCCATCCACCGTTACTCCTCCTCCTCCTCCTCCTCTTCCTCCTTCTCCGCCGCCTCTTCTGGTCACCACCACTCTCCAAGAAACCTTCCAGATCGCAGAGCTTCACCTCACGTCCGTCTCCGAATCCGACAAGCTCCTCGCTCTTCAGCTACTCGAACGGGTCGTCGTACCCGACCCGCCATCCGATCCGACTTGTCCTCCGGGTCTCATGCGAGGCCTCGTCTCTTGCCTCCGTAGCAACAAGATCGTAACTGCCAAATACGTCACCAAGATCCTCCTCGCGCTCTGCCTCGCCGAAGGTAACCGCCACGTGGCGGTCGAGGCGGGAGCCGCCAGAGCGGTGGTGGAAACTGCGGCGGGGCTAGAGATCTCTGCGGTGGAACGCGCCTTAGCTGCGCTTGAGCTCATGTGCACGACGGCGGAAGGCGCGGCGGAGGTTCGTGCTCACGCGATGACGGTGCCGGCGATGGTGGCCGTGATGGCGAGATTAGCCGGGAGGGGCAGAGAATACGCGATAAGCATACTTACGGTGGTATACGGAAGAGGAGGAGTTTCCGGTGAAGAGATTGCGGTGGCGCCGGCGGAGGAAGTGGCGAGGGCGGTGTCTCTGGCGCTGGAAGGAGAGTGTACAGCGAGAGGAAGAAGAAAAGGGGCCCACTTATTGAAGACCCTTGAGGAATATGGACGGTTGGATCTGAGTCAGAATGGTACATGAGGAAAATAAAATCTAACGGTGGAGATTATGTCAGATAAAATAAATCTGAAAGCTAGTTTGGGGTCACGGGCTTGTTGTTCTTTTGTTAAAGAAGTGTGGGCCTTCGTCTCTGTCTCCCCTATCTATGTGTATATATATATTATATAGTCGCTTTTTCCTATATATATTGTCTTAAACTACGATTTATTAGTCGACAAAAAAAGAAGAAAAAACTACGATTTATTAAGTAGTAAAATTCGAACGACCCAAAATCATATTAATTCTGACAAAGAAAATACATTGTGAAACCATCTTTAGATTGCATGACAATCAAACTCATTTATATTACTTCTTCTAAATAATTTTCAATGCTCAAGTTAAAAAATGTTAGAACGTTGTTAAATATGTATGATGTTACTTGGTGGAGATGGTTTGGTACGTAAACTTTATACATTTTTCATTATATGTAGTAGTGATGGTGAATTTGATTGATAGCATGCTAAATGGTGAAACGATTATGTGATTTTATAGGCCTCTACCGGACTACCAATCATAAAACAATTATATTTGAAAGGGGTAGATATATACACATATATATATATATATAGCTATGAGTCTATGACCAATGACACTGTTAATAAATAACGTAAATAATTGGAGAACTATCTAATATCTATCTCTAGAATGATCTTTGCATGTACAAACATTCTTATGTTAATCCTAGCTTCTCAGGCGTCTATATATAGATTCAAGTAACCATATGGTTCTGGTCTGATGAAGTTGCATCTTACAATGAAAGAGAATATATACTTTAGAAATAAGAAAACTCATGTGTTTTTGCCTGTTCATGGATTGGTCATCTTCCGAGTAACTAACTATTAGCATTAACATATGTGGTGGTCTCTGTTTATAGCTGAGAGACAATTCCACAGAGACCGGAATATGTCCACGTCATTTCATATATTTAGCAATACTGATAATATACTAAATAACAACACTTAAATCAATAACCAAAATGATTGAAGCTTATAATACGAATTAAATTGATTCATGCTCTAAATATCCAGGGGAAAAAATCGACTACATTTCGGTCTATCCTGTAAAAATCAGAATTAATGTACACGAACGTCTTGTTTAATTAAATTAACGTACATCTACATTGTTTGACCTAATACACGTTAAAGTATTGATATATACATATATATATATATTTGTATATTATACACATAACTAATACATAACTAATACATATATCACCAGCATAGTATAAATAACAAAAAACTGATATAGCTTTTCTTCAAATTGGCATTTTTAGGATATAAAAAAATTCATGACCTACTGATCCTCAAAATTTTAAAATCGGTCCTACAAGAGCTGGACCGGAATCCTTCCCACAAGAACATCTTTAATTAGAATTATAAATACAGATTGGCCAGGGGGAACAATGACTTTAGAGGGTTTGTTTGCCTTTTACTCCATGATACTGATGGTACCAATACGCTGGATCGGAGTCGATCGGAACCAACTGAACATTTATTATATTAATCTAGTACTCTTAACTCCTAACACTTTCTGAATAAGCAATCACCAATGTTAAGAACTTGCAAGTCATAACCCTCGCTCAAATTCTTAGTTTTGTTAGTCTCGAAAGTATAATTTTAAGGTTAAAAAAAAAAAGTATAGAATATCTCTAGTATAATTACATCCATTAATTTATCGATTTTATTTACATTACTAAGTGTAGATAATTTGTAAAGAACTAAATTAAAATTCATTAACATCGATCCTACATATTTTATATTTAACTAATGCCAAACATTTTTATTGTTGACAATTACTAATTAATATCAAATATTAAACTAATTCTATATCATCATTCATTTTTAGCTCTTTATAACCAACACAACATGCTTTCACTTTGTGTACTATTTTGTCAGACCAACTCTTTGTCAATTTCCGCTTTTTCAGTATTTAGAGTTTAGACCCTTTGTATTCCATATAATAAGCTCTACAATAGTTCAGAATTTAAACCTACAATATAATATTTTCCATAATTTAGATCTTAGATTACTCGAATTTTTTATTCTTATCCAATCAGAATAAATCACTGGTGAAGAAAAGGAAGTAGTCTGTCACACAAGAATCCAAAAAAATGATATATTAGGGCATCTCTAACCCACCTCTATTTTAAAGGTGAAAATAGAGATTATACTCTAATCCACCTCTATTTTCACTTTTAAAATAGCAATCTCTATTTTAAAGGTGAAAATAGAGATTATGCTCTAATCCACCTCTATTTTCACTTTTAAAATAGAGATTGCTATTTTTTCCTCCAAATATATAAAGAATTCTATTTTTTTTTCTCTATAATAGATGTAAACTTTTTTATTTGTAAAGTAGTCCTTTAACTTTTAAATCTTTGGAGATGATCTTAGCAAAATATATATTGATTTTTTTTTTTTAACATCATTGAAAAAGATATAAGATTCGAAAATTATTAATAGAAAGATCTATTGCCTTCAAAGCAATGTTCTACATCTCCAAACGCATCTCTAAAAAGTATCAAATATACCATAATCTCCACACAAAAATTCACAGGTCCACAATCTTTCCGAATTATAATCATGTGTTTTTCTCATACATTATCTCTTTCAATTTTATGTTTCCTCGTCACTATACAGACCATCCGATCCGTACCACCACAACCACCGGTTCGATGCGACCAAACCGGCTGCACCATCTCGAACGCGTACGGCTCGTGGCCTGACCGGAAAAACTGCAACGCGGCTAACGTCACATACCCAACGACGGAGGAGGAGCTTCGTAAAGCCGTGGCTTACGCCTCTGAGCACAATCTCAAAGTCAAAACCGTCACCAAATTCTCTCACACCATACCGAAACTCGCTTGTCCTTCCGGTTCAGACGCAATGTTAATTAGCACGTCAAAATACAACTCGGTTATCGAAATCGAACCGGATCGATTAACGGTTACGGCTGATGCCGGAGTTTCGTTGAGAGAGCTGATCGATAAAGTGGAAGGAGCTGGGTTTAGCATCGGAACGTCACCGTATTGGGAAGGAGTGAGTGTCGGTGGGCTGATTAGCACTGGGTCCCACGGAAGCTCGTGGTCGGGACGAGGCGGTTCGGTTCACGATCATGTTGTCGGAATCAGCCTTGTTGTTCCCGCGAATTCATCGGAAGGTTTCGCAAAGGTCATAAGAATCGAAGAAGGGAGAGACGATAAGCTTCTTAACGCCGTTAAAGTGTCATTGGGTGCTTTAGGAGTCATCTCAAAGGTATATAACTTAACGCCGTTTACATTGCTGTGTGTGTGTGTTTTTTAATTCATTTTTTTGTTTGTTTGTTGCCAATTTTATAATTTTTGTAGGTGAAGCTTTCGATAGAGAAAGCCTTCAAGAGAAGTATTACGTATAACTTCACATCTGACGTGGCTCTTGAAGACATTTTCATGGAGCATGGGAAGAAATTCGAATTCGGAGACATAACTTGGTACCCTTCTAGAAAAACTGCCGTTTACCGTTACGATTTCCGATCACCAGTCAACGTTCCCGGAAACGGAGTCAACGACTTCATTGGTTTTCAGTCCAATAACATCTTGGTCTCTAAAGGTGTTCGAGCATTAGGTCAGTTCCTTTTTTTTCTTCTAGTAGACAGCATTGCTATATCCGGTTTAACTAGTAACGGGTTAGATGTTCAAAATCAAAATTTGGATTTTTGAAAATTACTGTTCCAGAGAAGGCGCTTGAATCTAGTAAGAACGAGAATGGGAAATGCAAGACCGCGGATACTACGTTGGCCTACAAGAAATTAACCGGGAACGGTCTAAAGAACAATAAAGGTTTAATCTTTACCCGTTATCCGGTTATAGGAAACCAAGGTTTGATGCAGACTTCTGGGTCTTGTCTTTACTCATCTTCCAGTAGAATTGATGTCTCTTGCCCTTGGGACCCGAGATATAACGGTCTTTTCTTCTATGAGACGACTGCGATATTCCCCGTTTCTAGGTTTAGAGATTTTCTCCTTGATATAAAGAAGCTACGAGACTTGAAACCCGAAAGACTATGCGGCATCGATATCTATAACGGTATCCTCATACGTTTCATCAAGGGCTCAAAGGCTTATCTTGGCCAAACAGGGGATTCTGTAGTCGTTGACTTTAATTATTACAGAGCTAACGATGCGTTGACCCCAAGACTGAACCAAGATGTGATGGAGGAGATGGAGCAGGTGGCGTTTGTCAAACACGGTGCGAAGCCGCATTGGGGGAAGAATAGGAAAGTGGGTTTCTTTGGCGTGAAGCAAAAGTTTGGACCTAACTTTGATAAATTCCTGGAAGTGAAAAACAAGTTAGACCCTAAGAAGATGTTCTCTAGTGAATGGTCAGATGAGATTCTGTTTGGAAGAGAAGGTTCCAAGTATGACGGATGTGCGCTTGAAGGGAATTGTGTGTGTTCAGAAGACAGACATTGTAGTCCTTCCAAAGGTTACTTTTGTAGACAAGGTCTTGTTTATACACAAGCTAGGGTTTGCAGATTCTCGTCGGCTCAAGTTTCAAGGGCGTAATAAAATTTTATGTTGAATATCATGTTATTCGTGAAGAAGAAAAATTATTCATCCAGTGCCGAAAAGATAGAGAATGAAAAATCATTCTTCATCATGAATGTATTGTATTAGTCTCCTCTCGAAGATCATTATTAGTTAATAATATTAATGTGTTCCTTGAATTTCCATAAATGTTGGGATATGTATATGTTATCGAATATGTTCTTTTAGGTATATAATAATCCGCATTTACCTCTTTCGAAACAGACATTATTTTTTGTTGGTTTTTTATAGATTGACATGTTTGAACAATCGACTTATATATATTATATAGTAGTTGATTCACTTTTGATTTTTGGTTGACTTTTTTTTTTAAAACAATCAATTTGTATTTTGGTTGATTGATTACACAGTTTTATTTTAACCTTTTTCTATTCATTAACTGATATTTTATTTTCATCGATATATTTCATATGATAGAATTTTATTATTTTTTGTTAGTTTCTATAAGTTCTACTTATTTGCGAAATCGACTAATATTGTATACTAGTTGACATAATTCTGATATTGATTAACTTATAGTAAGCAATCAACTTATATTTTGCTTGGTTGATTTTTTTTACAAAATTGATTTATTTTAACCAATAACTTCATATTTTTATTCGTCGACTTATAATTTATTTTTGCTAACTTATTTCTTATGGTAGAATTTATATTTACTTCTATTGTATACAGTAACTAAATTTTGATGTTGGTCGATTTATTTTTAAATAAATATTTGATATTTTGGTTGATTGATTTTTATAAAGTCAATTTATTTTAACCATTGATTTATTTTTTCTACTACTCGACCTATATTTGATTTTGATTAACTTATTTCGTATTGATAGATTTTTGTGTGTGGCTTATTAATTATCCGTTTTAATCTGTTGTCTAAAAAACCAATAAAATATTTAACGCATTTGCTTCCGACCGTTATGGGACCCCACTCCTATTCTAGATAGAATAGGAAACTTTTTTATTTTCTTGCATAGAAAAGGAATTCTCAATACCTATTTATTTGATTATATTCTATACGATTCATGATTAATCAAAATATCTTGACCCATTGATTAAGGTCTTACTTGTACTTTGCATGGTATCAAATTTCAGCCAACACAAACAAACTATAGCATATTTATTCAACATCCTACACTCTTCCTCGGCAATGAAATATTTTTTCACTCGCTTATTCCTATATCCCATCTGATATTATTGACTTAGAATTAATTTGTTGCTGTCTTTGTTATCTCAGTGATCTTATTGGTTATTGCTACCACAGGCCACAAGCTAGCGATCCGCCATGCAAATGAATTTTCTTAAGGTACCCTACAAACAAATGTGGATATCGTTGCTTAAGTTTGAAATTTCGAGCAAATCTTCTTTCCTTGTAATGTTTTATTTGATGAATTCGTCTTTACTTTCTCCTCGCTCTCGGTTCCAATACCCATTCAAGAACCATCTCTTCTCTCTTCTACTATCCCTCTCCCGTGCCATAAAATTTAACAAACCAAAAATATTTTCAACGTATTCGTAAGTAAACTAATACTTCTCTAAGTAACAATAAAAAAATTCTATATTTTACTACCAATCTATTTTTTGTTTTAAATTAGTCTACAATTTTGCATGTTTTTGTTTTTTTTGCACGTTACTTTACCACTCTTGGTTTTTTAATCGACAACTATTTTTAATATATGCCTTAAAAATTCTGGACTTTGGATCACAGTCTCCTTCGCTATATGAGACCAACTGTTGATAATAACATATTTAAGACGAAAGCTTTTCTCTCCAAAAAGGTTGAACTAGTGACCTTGAGTATCTCAAGAACCAGTATAACATTACCTCCTTGTTAATTAATTAATAATTGTTTTGCAGAATCTCTTTAAGTTGGGCATTTTACTTAGCTTACTTACTCTTTTGTTAGAATTTTTTTCAGACAAATGAAAACTTAAGATGGTTCATTTTTAGGTTTTCCTGTGAGTTTGAGAAAGTTGACATGTAAAAAGACACTTCACACCGGCTCGAACGGTAACATTTCGACCCAAAAAGAATAATGCAACGGTAAAAATTTATAAATCTGTATAAAATAAAACGCAGCTAAAAGGTATCCCAAAAAACGAAAAACATACAAGGCCTAACAGGGGCAGTTAATGTAGTTTTTGTTGTTCAAAGGGTAGTAATGTAATAAAGAAATGTCTATGAAGTAAAAAAATCCAAGAACTGGAGGAGGATTCACTTTATTGTTTCCTGTCTGAGTTATTCTTGATTTCAATAGAAATGATGTCTCTTTTGTATCCCTCTTCGCTTCCTCTGTTAATCGCCCAGTATCTGTTTCACATTAGCAAAGTTTGTTAGAAGTGGAGACAAAGATTCCAAGGAAGAGCTCTGTTCTGGAAACTAAAGTTGAAAATAAAACTCAGTTCTAAATAATGGCATTGCAGAAGAAACACTAATTACGTTTTCATGAAAGCCAGTTTTTTTTTATGAAGTCATTGATTTTGAGATGAACCAAGCAAATTCCAATCTTAAACGATGATAATTAAAAAAATAGGTGGTCGTAGCAAACATACCTGCACAAATCCCCCTCAAGTTCTCTATCATTAGCCATTTTCTGTAGAAGGACCACCTTGCTTCTTAGCCAAGCTTGTTTTCTTCTTGTAAGGTGCGCGTTTTCGAGCCTGAGAGTTCTCACCCGTCAACATTTCACCCGTCAACATGTAAACATTCCCAGGCTCATCAAGAGTGGTGAAATCAGCAGGGTTTCTGTTTAAGCTGCACTCCATGGATCCAGAACTGATCTTCAGAGGCCTCGTAGAGGCATTACTGCTGCTCTCTGCTTTTCTCTTCAGTTCCTTCTCTTTCTCCGCCATGTGAGACTTCAATGGGAGAATCAAGGAACCTGATGCTCCGAGAAGCTGGATCCTCCCTTGCTCGTTTCTCCTAGGAAACACCTGGTTTTCAAGACTACCGTAAACCGGCGCGACTGTGTCTGTTCTCATGGATCTATTCACTTGATGTTGTTGACTCCATGAAGGCTCTGCATTGTGAATCGAAAACGAAGGCGGCGGTCGAACGATGGGGAAAGTCGTGCGTATAGGCTCTGGTGGTGCGACTCTGTTTCCGTAGGGATCAAAAGGTAACTGCTTGGTTTGGTAGGCTGACCTGCTAGACTCCCCTGTTTGAAACTGGTTAACCGGAGGAAAATGTCTCCTAGTGAAGTTAGTGTTCCCGTGGTGGCCAGCGGGAGTGTTTGGTCTCACCCGAGGATCCATATGGCTGAGTAACTCCATTGCCGGCATAGAGCTATCACTAGCAAAGGCGTCCATTGTTCTGCTGCTATTAGCCCTAGAAGCCCCAGAAGCAGCAGCAGCAGCATGTTTGCAGCCAAATGATAAATCTGGAGTGTACCCACATCTCTGCATCCCATTGAAGTTTAAGTTCTGTGGATGCATACCAAAATATGGTTGCTGCTGCACGTTGAAAGATACAGGCCTGTGTTGCGGTGGCATCATAGAAGATGGCCAGACAGGCTGAGGAGCTGCTGCTGTTTCTCTGTACGGAGGAATGCTCTGGCATGTGTTGCACGGCCGTAGCACCCGGTATGAAGACGGAGTTGGGACCGGATTAGGAGCCATCGTAGGAAGATTCCCATGCCACTGAGAGTTGTGACCAGTAAACCGGATGGAGCTAGGACGGTTTGGTTGGGGAGGAGGACGTCTCGCAAACGGAGAAGGCACGAAGGGCTGACTTACTGGGGCAAAGCCAATAGATCTCTGCTGTTGGTTCCCAATCGGGAAACGTTCTTCCTTCCTTGCATTGCTCTCACTAGGTTGTGGTGGTCTTGATGTGTTGTTGACATTGTCCTCAAGTGAGTTGCCGTTATCGTAGGTTTCGTTGAGATCAATCAGAAGACCATTGGATTTGGGTGGTGCCGTTTCTTGTGGCTGCTTGTTTCTGACGTCATCTTCTTTGTCCGGAAGAGTCCTCTCGTACTGGTTTTTGGCCAGCAGCTCGAGTACCTCCCTGGGAAAGTTTCGCTCTTGATCAGTCGTGATCTCCTTTACAGAACCATCCTGCCAAGTAAAACGATTCCGTTATTATTTTGGTCTAATACAAAGCCTTACCTAAAATCATATAAAGAACCAAATTTTGGAATAGGAAGCAAAGATAAGTTTTACCATTTGCAGCTCACAAGATGGACCTGCAATCTCTTGACGATAGTTTGCTTCTGCTTCTTTTGACCTCACATGACCACTGCTTTGCAAACGCAAGGAAAGGTCCGGCTTCTCCTTAAGCTGAGGGACAGATTTTCTGACATATCCTTCTGAGGCCAAACGCTCTTCAAACGAACCGCCCACACTTTTCTCATTCAATGAATCTCGAGTAGATTGAGAACTTGCGTTTATGGAAGGACCGGTTCGCGGTTTAACTTGATTTCCTCCAGAATTAGAACCGATGGGGGTACTCTTCCCGTTATCTATTGCTGGCTTGTTGTTCTTCTTCTTGGACGAAGCGAGCTTCTTCTCTGGTCTCTGAGAATCTTTCTCCTTGGTTAAAGACTGCACAGGAGTTGGTAAAGCACTCTTACTAGGACCTGCATCAGCGTCACGGATCCCCTCTTGTGAAGTTTCACAAGGAAGCGTTGGTAAGAGCTCGTCAACGACCTGAAATCTTCTGTTCTTCTTCTTACCCCTGATAGGATCTTCTTCTTCAGTTAATTCAGTATCACCTTGACCAGCGTCTTCACAGCTTTTGGATGCATTCTCAGAAGTTGCGCCGACTGTGCTTAATTCCCGCCTGACATAATTGTTTTCAGGTAACAGCTTTCTTTTCCTACCCCTACCAGACTCCATTTTCGAAGAAGAATCTTTGGCTCTGATAAGATCAATAATCTTGGTCTCATCGTCAGCAAGCAAGTCGTCCATTCGACGAACCTTGCGAGTTTTCCTACGCTGCAACTCACTTACACCTTCTGATGACACGTTATCGCTTTCCATTGGAACACGACTTCCTCTACGGTTCTTGGTTGCCTTAGACGGCGCATCCTCAACCACGCCAGCTATCTCAGATGACTCGAAAGTTGTCACAGCCTGATCCACATTTTGCTTCTCTTTCCTGCTGCTAACATCCATTGATGGTTTGTTTACTTTTTCTTTCAGCTTCTTGTTGCTTACTTGCTCTGGACTCGCCACCTTTCTGCTCTTGCTCCTAACAGTAGATACATCCGTAGGTCGAGGAGGAGACGTCCTGATGACAATCCCAGTAGCTGCAACTGTTTTAAGATTTTAAGATATTAGTTTTCCGCTTCACGCGCACACTTTGATTTTAATTTGCTCGACCTGAGAAAACAATTACCTGGCTGATAATTCTTCTGAGATCTCTCACAGTTAACATCCTCATTCTGCACAATAGCTTTACCTGAAGGAAAAAAAATGATTATACAAAAGTGTTTATGGTTGCTATGAATTACGAAAGTAAACCTAGCAGATGATGCGTACCTTTAATAGCAGCTCTCCTTTCTCTCTCCTGATCGATGACAGTTTGTGAATTCAGTTGGCTCTGAGTAGGGATAGCAGAAGAGCTTTCACCGAGCTCTCTCTCGCCAATGGTTCTTGAGCTTGAAGGCAGTTCATAATCTGAAAGCAACCCACATGCATAAGTTCAACTAGACAGCACTATATCTAATATGTATATATAGACACATAAACACGATATTTGAAATGCGTTTCACCACCACCTTGTGTCTCATCAGCATTTATATCTCTGACACAGGGCGTACAACGCCACCATTTGAACTTTGGACCAGATAAAGAAGGGAGATAATAGTTTTGGTTCACCAAACGAAGACTTTCCTCATCAAACGGCCAACATTTTCTATACTCTTTCTGACGGGTTTCAGCTACGAATGAACTGCATGAATTAATAAGAAGAAAAACTCATTATGTTCATGTCATTTCATCTTGTACCTTGCTACAATATATATGCATCTGGAAGTCATCACATCATATATAACAGACATATAAATATATACATATATATATATATATATATTATAATCTATCAAAGTAATTGAAAACAGAAACATACTCTAACAAGGAAGGAAAGTTGATAACATAAGGTCAATATAGTAGGCTCACCGCATGGAGAAGTGATTACAATTTTCCATGTCAGTCTCGTTGGCAGCGCCTGCGAGATCTACGGATATCGAGTTGATGTTAATGGAGGGTCTCATTGATGTGCTTGAAAGAGATTTTATGCCTTAGTGATGATGATAACGTCCATAATTATACGTACGTAACGTACCCACTATTATACTCTTCACAACGTACTAGAGCTGCAAATGCCATGCATAATAATATTCATTAGCATCACGAAGCAGAAGCATTTAAGTTATATAGATCATAATGTATAATAACAATAGTGCATGATGATGAAATTGTTGTTGCGTATAAAAACGCAACCCTTCAAAATCTTTACTTCCCATATATATGACACCAGAAATCACTCTAAATTGATTAAGGGCCAAATTAGGCTAATATATACCATAACGCTCAAGCATATCCCATGTATATCCACATAAAATAACATTCATAACAAACATATATTAACCCTACAATTTCATGGAAATCAAAATTTTAAAACCCTAAGGTCTTACATAAAATCAATAACCAAATTCTTAACCAGCATCCCATTTCATAAAACAAAAACTAATCATTCAAGTGATTTTTCGACATCTAACACTCAACATTAACCTATCTATAATCACCGACCAAAAATTAGGGTTTTCAGACAGCCCCAAACTGTAACATATTTTTCAGACAGCCCAAAAAAAAAATATATATATAATATATCACGGATCCGTTTCATTTTGATGTCCGAATTACAGACTCCAAGAAACGTCAAAATCAATCTGAGTAAATTAGGGTTTAAAATCAAATTATTTAGAACCCGATTAACAGATAATAAGACACAAAAAATTAACCGCATGTGATTAACAAAGATAGCGAAAGACCCACCAATTAATACGGGTCAGATCTATCCGCACGTGAACAGTCCCTGAAGAAAAAAAAAACAAAAAAAAATGTAAGAACAGCGAGTTTCGAAGAGACGTATAAATGAACAGTGAAGAACCCTTAAAAATAAAAAACGCGAAGTCAGCTATTAGTCAAGCTAAATCTCGGCCCACAAGATCCAGCCATAGCTGAAACCTTAAAATCGAAAAAATCGGAGATCTGTGTCGGAACCACCCACCTGGAGAGATCCGACCAGATAAAGGGCAAAAAAAGCGATGCGAGATTTGAGCTCGATCTTAAGCGGCAAGCGAAAAAAACAGTATCGGAAGATTGAGAAGGATCTGGATAAGAGGATTAGATAAGGTTTAAGGATTGATTCGTCGGGAGATGAGCAGAATTTGACTGCGATTTTTCGAGAAACCCTAGAACGCCGTTTCCTAGCGAAAGGGGAGAGAGAGAGAGAGAAAAAGGGGGACTTTTTTTTTTTCTTTGGCTTGTAGAGAGAGACTGTTGAGAACAAAGAGAGAGAAAGTGGAGGTCTCTTATCCTTGAAATGAGGTTGTTTTACGTCGAAATGAGGGGTTAATTTATAAAAATAATAATTTATTGATAAACACAAAATAATTTATTTAATATAAAAACAACTCATCTATGGAACATGACACTGCCATGTCACCATCTGGTCTGCCTATTTCTATTTACACGAAACAGTAGTACGTATCTATATATAATATATATGTATATATTGTTTACACGTATACGAGCTGTGTATTATGTGTCAATGGTTAAAAAGGATACATTTCTATCAATGCAAATATATCTTTCTAATAAGTGAAAAAAATCTACATTAATGGAAACAGCTGCATTAGGGTAACAGGTATCTAAAGAAATAAACAAGATAAAAGAGAAAATAATCTTTTGTTAAGGGAAACATTTCATTTACGTTAAAAAATCTAAAAATCCTATATACGTTTTGGGTGTGATAGGATGGGGCACAAGAAACCAATGAAAAATGTCCACGTGGCCGTAATGTGCGGTTCTTATCACAACCCATTTGTTGTGTCCAGAAAAAGAAAACCCTAGGCGCGTGTTAATCACGGTGTTTCCTTTTCGCGTGTGTGCACGTTTCGTCCGTGGCGCGGATCGGAAAGCGAGCGTCGGCACGGAGGAGGAGAGAGATTGGAGCGTGTGGTTCACGTGAGAGGAGAGAGACTGTGGAAAATGTGGGACCACAGAGAAAAAATAAAAGCCCTAAAAGCATGATAATATTGTATGGGTAGGTGATGTTACCCTAGATGAGCCCATTTACTCAATAAATGACGATATATATTAACCCTAACACCTTTTTTCCCCCAACTAAAGTTTACCACAGTAAAAAGATAAGAAAGGTTTGGTTCACATAAACCAGATTCTTTTTCTCTTTTTTTTTTGTATATACTATTTAGTAATTTACATATATATATATATATTGATTTCGTTATATATTTATTACATAGTAATGCTGGTGTATTTTTTTAATTGTTTCTGTCTTTCGGTGGTAGAATCATCACATGGAACACCAACCTAATCGGATACCCTATGATGTAAGCAATGTTTAACAAAAAAAACCAACTTCGTTTTTTTCATTAGACCTTTCATATTCGATATATACAGCAATTAATTGGATGTTGAGTCGTTGACTCTTTGTTTTTATCAAGTTCGTCGGTATAATAAACTAATTGCATAATTGAGATACAGATTGGGATTTAACTATTAGACCGCTAATGCGTTTTTTTCCTCTTTAAGTTTGCACGTATTGGCACACACATATATAGATAAGTGAGTATCATCAAGTTGCGTTAATTATTTACAAACGTATACTTATACATTTATACTAACATTGGTGAAAATAATATACTAGATCAGGTAGATATATATTTATATATTGCCTCTTAGAAAATATTATTATACGGTTAGATGAGTGATGGCCTTTAGACTTTAGTGGGCTTTATCTTTTATAACACATTTCTCTCTCCTTGTTATACTATATTTTCATAATATTCTTTCTTCGGTAAATTGGATTTTTATTTTTTCCTAGTTTTTGTCGGCTTTGATGTTCTTATAATACTATTCTTTCCATAGAAATTTAGGTTTGTTACTTTTAGTCTATTTTGGGGGAAAATATAATCCCCTTTTTCTTCCCACTGACATATATACATATATATATATATATGTAATTTACTTTTGCAAAAGATCAAATTTCTTGTTTGACGCAATTAATTATGGGTTTGACAAATTGTGATATATATACCAAAACGTGTTAATGATCCATTTTGATTTATTTGGATTTATTATCTACCTTTTTTTAACGAAGATTGCACATTAACACACCCCCTCTAAAGTTTCTGGCTAATTTTCATAATGTAATAACTTTATGGAAAAAGAATTGAGCACATATTCGTGATGATCCTTATTTTGAGATAAAAAGCGAGGAACCTATCTTCAACCAACCAAACATTTTATCTAGACCATATAAATCAAGATTCATATATTTTGAAATATTATCCACACGTATTTGGAACTCTATGAAGGATATTTATTAATATATAATTAACCGATACACTTTTAGGTTTACATACGTGCACAACTGCACATTTGTAAGTTTATATACGCAAGTTGATATTTATAAATACAAGCCGATACAACGTACATATATGTATATATATGTATAGATAGAGAAAGAGAGAAGCGGTAGAAAAAGGAAATAAAAAAAGAGGAATTAAGATGAAAAAGGACAGCTTTAAGGAGATGCTTTGGCCACCAGCGATACCATCATTTAAGCTTTGCATGTGCCTCTCTGTTAGCATCTCGACAACCACATCAACCTTCTCTCTCTCTCTCCCCTTTTTATCTCTTGGATTTTTACTTCTTACACACACCCCAACATCATCATATCTATTTATACTTATATATGTGTTTATATATACACTTAGTTTCATGCATCATCTCTGTGTATCACCCATTATATATGTTGTGGATCCCTTCGAGTTTATTTGATCTTCACTTACAAAATACTTCATTTTTAACTCGAAAGTTTAGTTGGGAAACACACAATCTTCTGGCCTTGATGTTTGATACATCCATTGATCGATGAAAGCTTATCTCATTTGCTTTATATTAAATAAACTAACCTAAATTCTCTGTAAAAAAATTGATTAGTAGTATATCTGCTATCAATGATTCAATGGTGAGACTATTTGTCAAAAGTCTAAATTTGCTATCAACAAAAATATGTTAGATGCATTCTGTGATTGACCAAAGTTATTAGTTTTGATCCTATAGTATTAATTAATGATTTACGTATTCACATTTATCATCAATTATTGATTCTAAATCTAAGACAGTTATATCTTGAAGATCCGAAATTTCTTAACTATAAAAAATTGTAGGTGATGAGAGTTTCTTCAGCGTATAGTGAACACCAGATACAATGGAGCAGTTTTAATAAATAAATAAAAACTCATTGATCAAGTAAAGAGTGGTGATATTGCCTGTTGATTTGCATCGTGGGCCATGTAAGACTATTCAGATATTGGCTATTCGTATTTAATTATACACGCATTCTCTGTGGGCCATTAAAATTCCTTATAAGCATTCGAGCTAACTACTAGTTAATATAATGGATGAGCGATATGTTTATGCACGCAGATATACACTTGCGTACGGTTCAATATGCTGAGATGTGTTAGTTCCTAGTCAACATTCAAATCACTTATCAGAGATCTATTTGGTTCTCTGGAGGGTCCAAACATGCTATTCTATATGTAAAACAAGAAAAATCATAATTTTGGATATAATAATTCTCATTAAACGCATGATCAAACCTCTTATAAATGTTGTTAAAGAGTAAATCATTTTCCTCGGGAATGAGCTTGTATTGTTTCAAACACAACTTACATGATAAAAACATTTTCACATTAAAGATATAAAAATTTTGGTATTGAATTGGTTAAAAAGGAAAATGTAAACGCCAAACGAAAACGGAGCTTCTTCTAATTTCGTTGCATTTGGCTTTTGTGATGAAGATATAAATATGCAGAACAAACACACTAATACGTAAACATAAAAACAAAAGCAAACAAATAATAGAACACACTACGTACTATATTTTGTTCCAAAAAAAAACATCAATACTATTTCAGTTAACTACGATAACTATTCCTGATGGATACGGACAGATGTAATATTTTTCTTTTAGAGTATAAGAAACAAGTAATATTTTAAGAAAAAGAGGACGCTTTGAAGGTTTATAAATCTATCGTGGAACTATAAGCCACGTAAATTTAACTGAGGAGCGAAAGATCGAATGTTATTTGTGAAACCAAATCGGAAGATATTTGAGGGTGATTTCCGGATTTCAAATTTGAAATTTCACGAACCACAATCTCATCTCAGCTTTTCTTTCGCTAATCATTATTTTTATTTTTAGATCGATGCATAATGATAATGCATGCATGTGTGTGTTCGTTACGTACGTATATGCCTTTATCTAACTAATTATGATATTACTAGGTCGTAATTATGGTGGCAACGTAAACCCTCAAGACACGATGATATCATATATTAGCTCCAACTTTCCACCAAAATCCATAAGCAAAGCATGGAAATACACGCCTGTGTTTTTGTGTGTCCGATATTTTCGATGGTATACTAATAGAAAAATTACGAGAGAATGTAAAAAAGATTTGAACTACCTAGATTTTCCTAGATCATTACTACGATAGTATTAATTTATGGATGTATTTATTATTTTTACCGCAACTTCACTAATTTAAAAGTACGTATACAAATTTTACTAAACTACGACGACATGAATTAATTAAATAAAAATTATACGTCTAACTTTGATCTTATATTGAAACTGAAACTTTTACCTTATATTTATAAAAACTAAGTGTTTATAATGCGGCCAACAAGAGATACGGTCTCGTCGTCTCGATCGTAACAGAGTTATACCATTCCATCTAGTAAACTAAACGTAATATGAAGATAATTTATATTGAAATTTTGATGGTGTCACTTGATTCCCCTAATGTTTTTAGTTGGTCCGCCCAGGGTAATATGTGTATGATACATAAATTATATATCTATATACATATATATGTATGTAGTTGTATGGATGGAATGTGATTATAAATGTTGTAGATATATATGATTCAAAGAATACTTTTTTGTTCACAAAGAATAGACAAATATTATCTTCCATGTAAAATAATAACAAACCAACTGACGATGAATTGGGATGGATAGAATAAATACCCAAAAGGTGTTGCCGATTCGTTTGCTCCATATCTAAGGTCTCACTAGGAACCTAGGTTCTGACTATCCTGGTTCAGCAAAATAAAAAACCCAATAAACGATGATTATTCATCAACTGGTTATTTGCACGTGCAAACGATGGCGAATTACAATTATTGAGTGAATGTAATATGTATCTGTAAGACAATCTGTTTATAGAAAACTCGGTTTCATCGTTTAAAATTCTATGTTACTTAGTGTAATTTTATTCTTTAACCAAACGATATAATTATTATATTGTCTTCAACCAAACTGCTGCTTGCAAAACATCAACAGATCTTTAATTAAAAAAACATCAATACATACTTGAGTTTTAATTTTATTGGTCAATGCAATTAATGGCGCGCTGACCTAAAAATGGAAAAAATGATCAATAATTTGGACCGTATAATACAAAAAAAGAAATTAGAAATCAATAGAGACGGGGACTGGATTTCCTAAATTCAAGTTTGACCAACAAAATTCTTTAGATATGGTTTAGACCAAAAAAAAAAAAAAATTTCTTTAGATATGGTTTTTCTATCCAGGAATATCTGGAATTCCTAAATTCAAGTTTACCACACTACTATCCAAAATTTTGTGTGTTTGGTTTTTCTATCCAGGTCTAAACAAATCATTCACTAGTATGTAAACTATACCTTAGTAACATTGCGTAAATAAATTAAAGGTGTAGTGGCTTAGTAAAACATATGGAAGTTGGTTAATTGTACACCGGGTTCAATTCTCTTTGAAAGAAAACCCATTTTTAAAAAATAAATATCTGAATACTGACTTTGAACCCCCGAGAAACGACGGATCAAAAGTCTGAAACTCATTGTTTAAGGGAAATTTGCTTTGTAAATAACTAAACAGCATCTTATTAAGTAGAACACCTCTAGGCTATCATGCATTTGTAAACTATAGACAAACAAAGTTGTCTATCGATTAGATTTTTGTGGTCAATTGTTTTTAAATATACAGTAGAATCATTTTTGAAGGTCTTATTTAGAGTAAATAGCTTATAGTCTTGTACATATAATAACTTGATTAACAGAGTGTAACCCAGCACACATTGTTTCACTATCAATAATTTTGGTTGGTCATACTGTCATACATAAAGATACCGTTCGTAATGTATTAACGGACTTACTATGATTGGCATCAAAATTAAATAAGAAATTAAGAACTTTGATTGACATCACAGATAAATAAAAAGTCAAATACCGCTTTAATGGCAACAATACTTCTAAAACTTTATCATATAGTATTTTAAAAAAACAGTAACTTTGGTAAAAGGAACATAAAATGTTAATTATCAAATACTTGAACTTTGTAATGATATCGTTTTTTATCTAATACCGTTTACCTTTTATTTTGATATTTTATTTTAAAATATTAGAGAAATTGGTAAAACTGTTTTTTTTTTTACAAAGTTCAAGTATTTTATTAAAAAAACTTATCAAATTTTAAAAAAGTTTCAACAATTGATTAAAAAAACGTATTTATATGCTTGTCAAATTGTTTAGAAAATCCCCTAGCCTATGTAAATACCTTGCTTTTTTTTGTCGACAAAAAACAAATACCTTGCTTTTTAAAGCCATATTTACCTAGGAACTGGGTTGAATCCAAAAGGCATTTCGTATGAGTCACACGATCCAGCGCATCTTTGTTCCTCAAAGAAGGAACACAAACATACCTGAACGTAATTGACCAAGTCAGATATTCTTTAATTCTTTTATCTTACATACAAACATTTTACCAAAAAAACATTTTAAAACCCATAGTTATCTTCGTTAGAAAATAAACTATTATCAAAGTTAATTAGTTTGTATTATATAATTTTTACTGATAGTCGTAGGCTCTTAGCTGAGATTTCACAACTGGAAGAAGGATATATTATATGTAGAAATTTAGCTGGATAGTCTCTTACCGAATTTTGATTTTTTCTTCTTCTCATTACACCTTAATATTGCGAATTCCATTGTCATAAACCTTGTCACAGTTTCACTACACATGAATTTTATACTAATTATGACTACAGCTTCCTAGTGATTTATATTAACTTTACTATTGTATTATAAATCGAACTTAAATCTGGAAGTTTGTGTGAGCTGTAGATGACAGAAAGGTCCATTATAATCAGATCGTTAGACACTATTCCAAAACAATATTAAACATTTTGACTATCTTTTATGCTACCGTGAAATATTTCTAAACTGTTGTTAATGATAAAATTCTAATAAAAACAGTGTGAAAATATAATTAAGTACATAAACAATTTTTTTTCTTTGACGTTGTCTCCAATATTACCAATGCACATAGATTTGGTAAGGAAAATGTTTCTAAAGCATCCTTTTTTTTGCCATTTTTAGATTTTCTTAAACAGAACAAAAAGTTATATGTATATATGCTCCACTAGTAAGTAGGTCAAACATAAAATTGGTCAATTTATTTTTCCATAGAATTACTGTTGCTGTCATTTCGTAAGATCCAGTTGTTTCTTGATGAACTAGAAGATTAAATCTTGAAAACAAAAAAATAAAAGTTGAAGAAAAATTATCAAATGATTTTTTTTTTTTGGAGAGAATATCAAATTAAATAATTTTTGGTTACTACTATTACTATTTTGGATTACACCTTAAGTCGTGATCTATAAACTAAAATATTGTGAAATGATGAAGGAGGCAATTAACTAGAGCTCAAACGAATTACAGCTCAAACACGCCATGCATGATCTGTACCGTTGCAATATTACATCACAGAATCACAAACTTCCAACACTTTCATTTGTCGTGTAAGTAATTGAGTTTTCGGGTTTCCTTTTCAGCATTTATGGTTTCTTTTTACAATCAAAAGAATTTTAAATCTAACGACCCATATAGTCTCTTCGGTCGAAAACTAAAATCGACAAAGTTGAAAGATGCTGGTTATATATGTAAATACACTATAATATTTCTTATATACATTTTAATAATATACTAAATTCATTTCGAATTTTCATGGTTTCGGTAAGTCCATATTCTACTGCAGTAAAAATGGCTTGCAAATCGTTTCTTCTCCATTGTTAAACTCAATTACAATTTGGTGTTAAGTATATTCACACCATAAGTTTCCCATTATGAGATAGATATGAACTTTTAGATCCTTTGAAAAACGGAAATCGCGAATTAACCACTCTAAATTGCGGATTTAATATATGGATTAACTTCCCAGATAAGTGGGTTACCCGCGAACCATCAACACCTAACCAGGGAGAGAAAGAGAAGCAGATGGGTTGCACATGCATCTAGTAACATTTAGTTTTTCTTTTGTTTTTACTTTTGTAATGTAGTATGAAAAGAATTCATTAGAAATGTTAACAAAAATCTATATATTTATATTTTTGGAAACTTTTTTGCATAAATAAAAATGAAGTAAAAGTGCTCACCAATGTTTTACAAAAATTTTCTTATTACATCCAGTATATCGATTTTATATATTGTATGCACTCGGTAAAATGTATTTATGGATCCGTCCTTGTAGCTAACCGAAGACGGTGCATTGTACGATCATATATATACTCGAAAATATGACTTTATTTCTTAACGAATACAAAAAATGTAAAAAAAATAAGAAAACGAATACAATAAAATGTCCGTATCAACTAACCTTGAAAACATATATTACCTGCTTTTGGATCGAATGTTTTACTTGGCGCAATAGCTTTATTTTGGATTTTTTTTTTTGATAAAATGTATTGCTCTTATTTTGGATTTTTGCTTCTGGCATTAGCCAAACGGTTCCATAATCTAATTTTCAAATATATCAAAGTAATCTAAAATAAAGTTTCAATTATATCAAACTTGAGCTATGAGCTATCAAACTTTTTAAGCTAGTTTTTGGGATTGGTACGTAACACCTTCTATCATCGTAATTTTTTTAATTACCAATAAGAGAATTCCACGTATTCTAATGACAGCAAGCTTCATCAAATCACCGAAATAACAACCGTTATTTGTCGTAAAACCTTTCGCCAATGTTAAATAAGATCTTCAATCTCTTCAAGTAAACTCGATCGTTGACAAAAGAAAAAAAAAACAAAAAATCAAATACGGATCTTGATCATCTTGTCGCAAAGTTTTTTTTTCAATTAATTTTGTACTGAACACAAGCGAAAATAATGAGCATTCCAAATAGATAAATAGTTTTAATGATTGGATTTATCAGTTAAAATGCGAATTTAACCCCATTTTAGGAGTATTTATTTGTTTATTTTGTTTTTTCCCGGGTTTTAAGGATAATCTTTGTAAGACTTTTTAATATCTTGATGATGGACCCTTATCATATCAACGTAACGCAGGCACGCAACTTTATGCTAAGCCTACGTGGCAGCAGGATTGCGGAATTAAAAAATATATATATCGAAAGTCCAAATGTTTTTTTAAGGGGAATGAATGAGAGATATTATTAGTTCGCATTCCTAGACACAAAGAAAAACAAACAAAAATGAAAACTACTGAGTTCTCTTCTTCTTCCTCGCCAAGCGATCGCAGGATCGGTGCTCTGCTCCGTCATCTCACCGCTGGGACAGATTTTCCGATTACAGATCGTCTGAGCTCCGTTTTCGCGTCGCCTACGTCGGGAGTCACCGGCGGTTCTGTTTTCGCTCATCTTGTTCAAGCTCCCGAGGATCCTATTCTTGGGGTACCTTCCTTCTTCTTCTTCTTCTTCTTCTTCGATGTATTTGTGTGTTATATAGTTTTCAAACATACTCGACGACGATTTTAGATATGTGTGTCCTACGCATTTGGTTTTATAGTCGGTTGTTTCCTTCGTGATTCTGGATTCCGTTGAATCGGCTATTGGTTAGCTGGAATTCGCGATCTGACGGTAGATTACGGAATGGTGTTATGATGATAGATGAAATTAGAGAAGATTTGATGTTTCTTCTTCTGATTTTGGCTCGCTAATTCGTAGAACTTATGGAATTCTCTTAATTAGCTTTTTTATCACCGATTATTCATTGGAAAATTCAGAGTCATAGGTTATAAACTGATTTATTATCTCAGCTCTAAGATATATTCTGATATTTGTTTTGAACAAAAACAAATAGGTGACAGTTGCATATAACAAAGACCCAAGCCCAATTAAGCTGAATTTGGGAGTTGGTGCTTACCGAACTGAGGTAATATGATCCTCTTGCAGTGAATCTGTTTCTGCTCTTTCCTCTTAACTGTCATTGGAAAGTATAATTTTTATTTTTTTTAGGCATTTTTGGTTTTGTATTTTTTTGTTAATACTTGAAAAGAAATGGTGTTTTGTGTTGTAGGAGGGAAAACCTTTGGTTCTTAATGTTGTGAGGAAAGCAGAGCAGCAGCTTATCAATGACAGGTTTAGCTCTCTTTCTTTTGGGTTGACTTTCGTTATACCCATATATGTGTGTACTTGATGATGTTTTGTGTGTGTTTAATCTGTAGATCACGAATCAAGGAGTATCTTCCCATTGTTGGGTTGGTTGAGTTCAACAAGTTAAGCGCTAAGCTCATATTAGGCGCTGACAGGTACATGTTGTCATATTATCTTTTTATGTTTTCGTCAGTTTTTGTCTTCAGACATGTCTTTTCTGATTGGTGTTTTTACTCATGACTTAGTCCTGCGATACGGGAGAACCGGGTTACTACGGTGGAGTGTTTGTCTGGTACTGGTTCCCTGAGAGTTGGAGGGGAGTTTTTGGCCAAGCATTATCATCAGGTAGATGCTAAAGTCTACTATTCCCGTCTCATTCATTTTCTTCATCCTAGTGAACTTCCCATGTAACTTTGAAGTCTCTTTCTTTGCTTTCCAGAAAACAATTTATATTACTCAGCCAACATGGGGAAATCACCCGAAAATTTTCACACTGGCTGGTTTGTCAGTGAAAACTTACCGCTACTACGATCCGTCAACACGAGGGTTGAACTTTCAAGGTGAGAATGCTGTGGCTTTAGAAATGCTGCTGAGTTTTATGCTTTCACGTTTCTCGAAATTGTTGATCAGCTTTTTAAAAAGTTTCAGAGTGGCCAACGGCAACACTTTCATCTTTTGTTCACAGGTTTATTAGAAGACCTTGGTGCTGCACCACCTGGTTCTATAGTGCTTCTCCATGCCTGTGCTCATAACCCAACTGGTGTTGATCCAACCATTCAACAATGGGAGCAAATCAGGCAATTGATGCGTTCAAAGGGATTGATGCCATTCTTTGATAGTGCTTATCAGGTACACCTGATTGGATCCTTTTCTATAAGATCACGTGATGATAAATGGTTAATACCTTTCTTCCATTTTTACTTATCCTTCTCTTTTTTCCCACTGCAGGGCTTTGCGAGTGGAAGTCTGGATACAGATGCAAAACCGATTAGGATGTTTGTTGCAGATGGCGGAGAATGCCTCGTTGCTCAAAGTTATGCAAAGAACATGGGGCTCTATGGAGAAAGAGTTGGAGCTCTCAGCATTGTAAGATTCAATCTAATTAAGAAACTCTTACGAAGGAACTGTGAGATGCTATCTTTATCGAAATCGGACAATGAAAAGGGGCATTGTAGGTATGCAAATCAGCAGACGTTGCGGGGAGGGTTGAGAGCCAGCTGAAACTAGTAATAAGGCCAATGTACTCAAGTCCTCCGATTCATGGTGCATCTATCGTGGCTGTAATCCTCCGTGACAGGAATTTGTTCAACGAATGGACGCTAGAGCTGAAGGCAATGGCTGATCGTATCATCAGCATGAGAAAACAGCTTTTCGAGGCATTACGTGCTCGAGGTAAGGTCTTGTATTGATGATAGTAAACAGCAAAATCACACTGTAACATCCTGACATAGCTAATAACAACACTGGAAATCACGTGACACAGGCACGCCTGGAGACTGGAGTCACATCATAAAGCAGATCGGTATGTTTACATTCACAGGGTTAAACCCAGCTCAAGTCTCCTTCATGACTAAAGAGTACCACATCTACATGACATCCGACGGGTAAAATTCTTTATTTTAATCTGCTACAGTTTATTTTGGCCACCCTTGAAGTCGGCTAACTTGGTTACTTGAAATGAATAAAAGGAGGATAAGCATGGCTGGTCTGAGTTCAAAAACAGTACCGCACCTTGCAGACTCAATCCACGCTGCTGTCACCAAAAACGTCTGAAAAATCTCACAACACCACCACGCCTACGGGTTAAATGGTTATTCCTAAATAAATGATCTCATTCTGTTTCTTTTTTATAGCATTCCCGACAGTGAAAGATAAATGTCATGATTATTTCATTAAATAAACGACGCAAGAGAGTTCTGCGTCTCTTCTATATTTCATTAGTGCACTATTTTTGTTTCTAATCACAGCCATTACATTCTATTTTGTTACTTTTTCTTACAGCAGCAACCTATTTTTAGTCGGACTTTTAGCAAAACCTGGAACTGTAGTAGAACTTACACAGGAAAAATATGTTACTGAAAGGCAATAATATGAAATATGTGTGTGTATATATATTAGATTCAACACAGGTGTGATCATGATAAAAAGTTTCGAGAGGTGAATTGGTGATCAAAGCAGCAAGAGAAACTTTAGCATATATTGTATATAGTAATATATTTTTAAGTTTTGTTGTAACTGTTACATACATATTGAATGACATAGGCGAATGTTTCTTTACGTCTTCAGTAGGACGAGACTTATGTCTTTTTTACCTACATTCTTTCAAAAGGTAGGATGAGACTTCCTCTGTTACTTTGGTGGGCGATTCACAATCGTTGAAGTCTAACACTCGACGCTCCGCCTATAGATATGCGAATGTTCCAAAACCCAAAACCAAAAAAGTTAAATCATTTCTACTTGTTTCCAGAACCATAAAGTCATCAAGACTGTCTACTTAAAGAATGGATGATTTGTAGAGTATACGTACCAGTAGAGGATCATTATTCTCTTTGTCCAATTCCTTCTTCTTCTCTGCATCATTATCACTTGATGAAAGTGAAACTTCCATTGCATCTTTGAATGCTGCAAATGCACTTGTTTGCTCATTTTTCTGTGTCATCACTCCTATGCTCTCGAAGCTTCTCTCCCCAGGGCTGAAAATGTAGCCCATGTCCTGAAAAATATGCACAAATAAACTAAAGAAAAATATGTCTATATATACGCACGCACATATGGCCTAAAAGATTTCGACATTGATATACATGTGTAAGAAGTTGAATTTAAAAAATAAAAAGAAGGATCCTAAGCCATTATGAAATACCTCGATAGTTATTTCTGTGTCAAACCTTGGGCTGGACAAGAGAGAGTTTATGTAAAACGGAGATTTCCAGGCTGAGGGAGATTCAAGACCTCTCTTGAATGGAGTTCCACAGAATCTGTAAATGGAGGAGAAGCAAAATCATTGTAGCAAGATTTGAAAAGAAAAATGAACAAGTTAGTAAAAGGTGGCGGCATAGATGTACATGCTGAAATTCTCATTGCTCGTCTCGTTGTCAACAAGATGACCCTCGGTGTTTATTCTCGCTCGAGAAGGCGAATTGATGACCAAACAAAGACTTGCAGAAGAATGTTGTTCTTTGTTAGAAGTAGCCATGAGAGTTCTCTGCAAATGATCTCTTGGGGTTGAAGCTTGTGCCTTCTCTGCTTTGTTTACTGACTGATCAGGAGAAGAAAGAACTGGCTTGTTGGTATTGCTCTCAGAAAGAACACCGGAGAAACTTTCAGCCTGCATACGATTTCATCCGTTCACTATTTATAACATAAATGTAAAAAGAATTGCATAGAAAAAGAAATGACATTTTCTGTGATATATAAGTTACACTTCCGTTATGTACTGTTAGATGACCATGCCATGAAACATATCAGATTCATAATCAAACCGAGCACATATATATATTTGTGTAACTAATTCGCCAATTCCTCACTACCAAGTTTCATATATGTTCCGCTTAAATCTGGAGCATATCAAAATTGTAATAAAATAGATAACACCAGATATTCAAAGGAAAGAAGAGACTTACAATATATAGTCCAGAATCATCCTTTTCCCTGACATTTGCCTCCATGCAAGTTTGCTCTGGTTTATCAAGTGATATTCTGATATGCATGGTTTCTTCTGGCATCTTGTGACTATAGAGTGAAGAAGGCTTACCTCTCCAATTCTCCTCACCTTCTCCATTTAAAATTTGAAAGTTGTTTTCTTTATCTCCAAGATTGAAACCAGTGCTATTTCCAGAGATAGATTCTCGACTCTCACTCTCATCAAACATCACGTCCAGACGTGAAAAATCTTTTGCCAGACTGGCCGCTATATCAGTTTCAAGCTTTTTATCACTTCTTTTCTCAGATAGCGGTGTCAGAAGATCACGGGTGCGTTTCCTCAGGATTGACTTTGCACCAACCAACGTCTTTTTCCCGGTGGGAGATTCCCACAGTCGAAGGGGACTCATGCACGTCATGGTCGACATCAGTAGCTTGCGTATGCCAAGAGGGCTATAATCATGCAGCAGATCGTTTTTAGATTGTGAAATATCACAGTTGAAAAGAGGTAGGTCCAAGCTTGGAAAACAGAGACTTGACGATGCTCCCACATCCTCATGATGCTGCTCGCTTGTCATGTTTGACTCATGCTTAGGAAGAGAGTCTGGCTTAACTTCTGCCAGAGAAGCAAAATCGTTCACTGGAACCAACTTTTTGGAATCATTCAAATGATATGATTGGCCTTCTTCGCTGGAGTTATTAGGCCCTTCATCAACACAAGTGGAGCTTGATGGATCATCGATGCATATGAAGCTACCATTTTCATTTGTTCTGCAGTTTGGTTCTGTCTCGAAAGGATGAAATATCAATCCAGATGACTTATCGGGTGATATGATTAAGGGAGCTGGCCGTAGAGTTTCCTTTCCTGACGCGGCTGTTGCAGTGAACTTTGAAGAAGAGCTCTGGATTGGAGATTTTGTAGCTTCTGAAATCTGGCTGTCTGAAGCCGATGCACAGAAAATAGGATCTCGATAGTCTGCCTGATCAACCTCGTTTGGCTCTTGGGTCAGAGATCTAGAAACACTGAGCCCTTCACTCTCTTGATCAAGGAAAAGGACCCTGCAACATTCCGTTTCAGAAGTCGAAACGGTTGCTGGGTTGGTGTAAGTAGCCACATCTAAATTTGATGTGTAGTTTGGAGCTCCCCGAGTAGATTCCTTGCTCTCCTTGGTGTATGGCATCTGTACCTCTGACATATTATGCCTCATCTCCAGTGAAATATCCGATAGATCCTGAAAATCAAATTGGTAATCCTGGCTCGAAGAAGCCGAGACATTATGATCAGGAAACTGTGAACAGTCCTCCATGTCATAAGAGATCTCTGAGATGGAGACTGAGATATCTTCCAATTCTGGATAAAAATACTGATCTGATTGATATGCAGCTTGCTCATTCTGGTGAGAGTTTTCACAGGGGTGAAAATGGTGCTCCATATTTGTTACTCCATTTGGATAATCTCTTGCAGATAAAGAGCAGCCAGCCATGCTCGAATTCTGACAGTTTTCTGATTCTTTCTCTGCCTGTCCAGTTAGGCAGCCATTACCATCTATACTTCTCTGCATATAAGCAGATTGTAAAGTGGAGCTTCTTTCATAAGGAGCTAGAGGCATGGCTTGGTATTGATCCAAAAGGCCTGAAGACATATAGGAATCCAGTTTCTTCTTCACGGAACTGTGCCAGTGATTTTTAATTCCATTATCCGACCTGTTGATATCATAGCAACGAAAAAATATATTGCTAGAGCAAATAAAGGAATACCTCAAAACTGAATGAGATGTACGATTACTTTCAAATGACAGTAAATATTAGTACCTTCCAGGCAAGTATTTAGTTAACTCTGCCCATCTATTACCGTATACTTGATGAGCACGAATCAGAACCAGCTCTTCTTCTTGAGTCCAAGCTTCCTTGTTTATGGCAGGATTGAGGTGATTGTGCCACCTATATCAATTACAATCTTGGTGAATGCTTCGATTAAATTCTAGAAAAGAAGGACGAAAGCTTTCAAGTGATAATAAAACAGTGTTGGTCCTAGAGAAATATCTGGCTACATAAGCATACCTCTCTCTACATTGCTTTCCGATACGGCCAGGTAAAAATCGAGCAATAGTGGACCACTTCTTCGGCCCATATTTTTGAATTAACTGAACGATCATTTCATCTTCCTACACAAATGTAAAATGAGAGGAATAAGCAGTCAGAGGGGATGTTTGGAAACAGTAAAGTCAACAGAGTCAAGTATAAAATATGCAAATATGAAAGTAGTGAAGAAAAGCAATAAATGTCACCTCCTTCGTCCATGGCCCTTTAACAAGTTCAGGGTTAAGGACCTTCTGCCACCTGTGGAGGCACTGGACATCAGTTCGATCCTTGAAATATTCAGCTGGAAGTTAAGAAAAGCAGATCAGACAAAGATGCGACATTCAATTAGACAAGGACGTCAGCAAAGTATGTCAAATTGTGAAACTTACCTATCTTCTTCCAGTTTTTCCCTTTAAAATTATGGACAGCTTTTTTCAAAATCTCATCCTGAAAAATATGCAGATCAAAGAGTGAAAAATGCATATAACTAAATGTCCTCATCTTGTGTATCTTGGATTGAGTGCAATATATCTAAGCAAATGCACTTAAATATAAAGAACAACTGGTCATATGTGGCATGAGCACTGATATCATGCAAATGAATCAAGCACATGAAACCAGATTAACCGATAGGAATGAACACCATTGGAACAAAGTTGAAAAGAAAAAACCTGAAATAAACAAAAATACCTCCTCTGCTGTCCATTGACCTCGAGTTGAACGTCTTGCAGGACCACTAGTCCTCCTGTAAAATCCACAGAAATTGTCACATAATAAGTTATAAGTTAGGCCAAACATGTCAATCTAGTAGGAAGTAAGTAAATAACTTAAAACGATTTATAAGTAGTAAGTTATATAAAACAGAAGCATACCCGTGACGCGTTTTCGAGCTCCCATCAATGAGCCCCTCAGGAGGGGTTGAGATTGTTGCACACTCACTTTCCATATCTTGTCAACGAAAAAGCAAAAATAGTAACCCCAATTCCCATACGTTGCCTCTCTTCTCTGCAATGTGCACTCCTAAACATTATCCAACAAAGTTATTGTTCACTCCTTTGCACCATCTCTCAATCTGCTTAAGATTAAAATGTGAAGATCGAAAGGAATCAGGCAATTTATCTCTCAAAATCGGTCGGTATTAGGACTAAACATATAAGACTTCACATCTCGAACTTGGTAATAGATCCCAACGACTGAAGTTTCGTTGGTAATAAACTTTGATCAGACAGTAAATTTAAAAAAAATGACATCATATACCCAAATCAACCTAGATACGATTACGAAGCTTAATCAGACCTAGTTCAAGATCTCATCAGAGAACTCACCGACGCGAGCTTTAGAAAATGGAAGTAATCATCAGATCTCGAAGACAGAAGAAGATGATAGTCCGAAACTGGACAGACCAAAATGCCCCAATTAAACCCCAAATCAGAAACGAGAAATCTCTGATTCAGACCAGTAAAAAGACTTCAGAGACTGTCTAGAAAGAGAGAGAGAGAGGGATTGAGAAAAATTTCGAACAAAATGAGAGAAAATTAAAAAGAGAGATCTAAACGGTCGGCAGAGCTATTTCAAACATAAATGGCGGAAGTTCGAATTTTCGTCAACAAACCCTATAGAGTCAAAATTAACAAAACGTTTTTGTTTTTTTCTTGTATCAGCGGCTCTCTGAATCTGTTGTGATCTATGCTAAATCTCAGCCGTCCATTTTAAATACTATCGGTCACGTGTCTCCTATCTTGTTCAAAGACTACCACCACTTTGTTTCTCATTCTTTTTCCCTTTCTTTTTTTGTTTTTTCATTTTTTCGAATTTTCACCCATTACATTAATTTCCACAGACAGCTTAGTTGGACTAATGATCGTTGATACCAACTTTGGGGCCACCGATGGAATTATTTCAAATGATGGGTGGATAGCCAACTTATTTAAAAATATTAGCATTTTTCAAACCAGATCGATTATATAAAAATGGATCATACCTTGTGTAAATTAATTTGGGACTTTTAGAGCAAAAAGTAAAATCTATAGGGGTTATAAAAAGATTTTCAGCAAACACAGCAAGGCAGAGTCAACCATGATCGTACCAGATCACTGGTTCACCTGTGTATTAGATATAATAGGCTCTTCTTTTGTTATCTTCTGAAACATATTAATGGACCAAGGAATCCAAGAACCAAATTAGGGTTTTAGGTCTTCAAGACATTTTTAAAACAAAAGATGGAAACAGGCTAGTAGAACAGTACCCTAAGCCATCTTTGAAGGACAGCACCAGATAAGCTCTGGCAGAATGTTACAGACTCGGTTTGTTTTGGTCAATTCTTCAAGAGGCTTTTAGCCTTTTACATGAAATCGTCTTCGAGTTCTTGAAGCGATTTGTTGCTTGAAGCAATGTCTTTGTTGGATGTCATTTTATCAGTTACCATTAATCCCTTGTAACTCCTCATCTCTGCTTGCCTCTCCTTCTCAAGCCTATCTATCTCTTCACGTTTCTTCTGCAAGAACCATAAACAACGAGATATGAGCCAAATACCCTAATCAAAGTGTTTTCAGTAAAAGATGACGAGGACCACAACAGAAACTGACCTTCTCCCTCAGATGTTGCTTCCTCTCAGCTCTTTCTGCAGCATTCACTGCTTCTCTCTCGGCTACATTACGAACAGACATACAATTTAATAGATCTTATAATTATAGAAAAGCTATAGCCACTTAACAGACAATTCAAATGTAAGAACATTGTAAGAACGAGAAAGATAAATGTGTATGATCTCTAGCTATTGAAGTTTAAGGAAGAGCCCACAAACCAAAAGACTCACCTCTCAGATCAGGTGTTCTTTCGACTTTTGTTTTGTTCAATCTGTTAACTATTTCATTGACTCGCTTCTCCACTCTGATGGTCCGGACCTTGAAGAAAAAAGCCATGTCAGTTAGGTCCAATCCTTGCTCTGCAACCATACTTGAGCTGCACTCATGTATTCAAAACCGAAATTTCTTGAGAGATTGTGAAGCTTACCATCTTTGAATTGTGGAAACCAACTTGACCAACATCCATGGAGGCGGTTTTCTTCAAGTTGCACCATGGAGTGTACACAACATCAACATTGTTCACCTTGTTGCCTGGCACATAATCCCAGATACCAGTCGGTAAGAAAACAGTATATAGCCTATATGTGCCCTCCTTCTATACGAACTGAGAAATGGAAACAACTGATACTCCAAGACTAATGGCTACGTAAATGTTAAGTTCACGAGAAGTAGAAAAGGGCTTCAGATTTTACCTTGAATGGAGTTAGCTTTCACAAGCTGAGCACAATCCTCCAGCACACCTTCACTAATGTCATCAAAACTTTGGCCTTTGTGAAGCCTCAAGTAAACATGAGCTGACGACATTTTATCAACGTGAAACCTGCATCAGATGTAAAACTGCTTTTAACATTTGATCGCGAATCAACTTACTGATCCGAAAAATAAAATGCTGAGTAGGTGAACTCCTAGAGTATTTGAAAAAAAAAAAAGGAAATCGTCAAAGTAGAAGAGTAACAACAACACCCTATTCAGGTTTAAAGCCATCAAATATTCAGATTAGTAAGAATAGCATGACCAGAAGATAGACATGTGTATCCACAAGTTTACTCATACACCTACGTCATGAATCAACTTACTGAACCGAAAACGAAATGCTAAGCAGTAGCATGTGTCCTATAGTTTGTTCTTTTTTTTTTTTTAAGAAAAACAGGAAACTCTCAAAATCATATATACAAACATCAAAATTTGAATATAGCCAACAAAGCAAGCATGAGTGGACAATAGACATGCAAAAAGATCTATCTATCCCAGAAAATGAGATGACAACATTTCATGGTTGACCACCCTATTCTTCCCATTATTACCACATAAATCAATCTACAATAGATCATGACACAGCAAAACATCTGACCATAGACTAACTAGGGCTACAAACTTGGAATTCGAGAAAACCAGCTAAATTGATGGTGGGATCATCAGAAATTAACACCGATCCGATAAAGAAAACTACAGAAACAAAAACAATAGATGATCGGAGATATAATAAGGAATCGTGTCGCTTACCAGACGTCTTCGGGGAAGCCGTACTTGATGAGTTCCTCGTTCTCGAACTTATCAAGCCCCATGAAGATGGTGTAGTCGCCAGCATCTGGTCGGGCCTTGAAGTAGAACACCATCGCTTCGATTCGAGAAACGAACCAAATCGAATCTAGGGTTTCCCCCTCTCACTTCCCTATCTCCCCTCTCTTCCCTAGATGTTACGCCAATGAAGAAATCGTAACCACTCGAGACAATATAAAAACCATTAAAAAAAAAAAAAAGAAGAAGCAAAACTGATGACTTTTTTTATTTTACTCCGTCGTCTTAATGAGAAACAAATTTCCAAAACTAACCTTCATTTTTACAAATCTTATGATGAGAATATATTACATTTTCAATGTCTCTGCATTCCATTCGAGGTGACTTGTTAGTTGTTACAGCGTGTATTGAAGCTGTATCGTGAACATGACCAAATCATATAATTTCATTTGAAAGTTCCAAGTCTTAAGGATATAATTAAGTACCTGTCCATAACACACCCCAAAAAGGAAAGAATATCTCTATGTTCTTATAACACAAAGAACGAAACGAAATCTAAAGGTGAGAGAGCCTACAAAACTCAAAAGAGTATAATCGTATTTTACAACAAAATGTAGAGATCCATCCAGCGAATTCTATTGATACATAAGAGCTTTTCAAGGCATGCCAAATTTGGACAAGGCTGTTTCAAATACAGTTGTGAATGCCTGAGACGTACTCTGCTCGTCCGCTTTCACTTTTATCTGAGCTTTGGCTGATGACGTGTTTATGATACACTCTGTGAGATAGTTTGAGGGCTCTGATTCCTTCTGAGCAAAGAAGAAAAACTTGAAGTTTGGAGATTGACCTCCCGATGCTATACAGTGAATGGAATGACTCTGCATGTGTTTGATAAGTGATTGTGGAACTGTCAAGGCCGCTATTCCCTGGGGATTCACAGAACACTCCTGCACATGAATTTAACAAAGTTACAAATCTCTCATCAGTCAAAATCACCGAGGGCCTATGACATGTTGACTACGAGGAGTAAGAAAATAAATATCATTCATGAATTTTTTAAAAAGGGAAACAAACATTCAATATTACAATTCCAAATGCATCTAAACCGTGAAAGAAATGCAGATAATAGTTTCATGAATTAGTTGGTAAAATCAGTTCAAGCTATTGTCTTTCGTAAGGCTAGAATGTACTGGAAGCTAAAACGATAGCGTCGCAAGGTGCAAAATTGAGGACGAAAAGAAACCTGTGTTAATGATATTGGCAATTGGCGCCATTTCTGTTGGAAGGCGCCTGGATCTAGAGTAGCTCTTGGGTTCAGTTTCAAAAGAGGCGGTGATGATGTAGGAGCAGGAGCTGTTGATAAACCCAAACCAAAAAGATCATCAAATCCAAAGCTTGATTGTGGGGTAGTTGAGGACGTAGCTGGGCCGGAGATTGCGAGCTCTTGCAATTGTGAGGTTATATTAGATGAGTTTTCATATGAAGGAGCCGTGTATGCCGAACCATTGTTATTGGAAATTCCTTTATGGTCATCTTTCTCGTCAGTACTCAGAAGCAGGTCCTTGTCATTTGCCTCAAATTGCTGAGCTGGAACAATGTCGCTGGAGGCTTCAGGTGTGATGGAAATATTTCCAAGTTCGTCTGAAAACTCAAAGGGCCCTCGGTGTTCCTTATCCGTGAACATATATGATGGCTGCAAGGATAATTATTTTACTATCAAGGCAACTAAAGAAAACCTCTGAATGATAGTAAAGGCTAATTAATGCATACTACTACATTGGTTTTGGAGTAAAGTCAGAAAAACATACCTTCTGGTAGATCACAGAAAGGCTGTTGAACTCGTCAAATATACGGTCTTTGATTTCACTGCTTTGAGTGTCAGCAAAGACTGAAACCGCCTGCTTTGGAGGACTAACAACACGTTCTGCCACATGTACATCGTACTGCAGAACCCGATAGTAGAACAAGGCTCGATCGTGAACATCCTACTCCAATAGTGAATGTTGAATAAGTGATCTAATGGGCCAACGGTTTCGAAACAAGAGAGATACGGAAGGGAAAGATTGGACGATACCTGGTGAAAATCAGCGATCCCTGCAGCTAGAGCTATTCCAAGGGCTTTCTGAGTTTCAGGTGGCCTCTTGAAAAAGCATTTCATTGCTGCAGTTAGGAGGTGCAGCCGAACCTGCTCACGGAACAATACTTTCATTAAACGAATGTGCAAGTCCTCTTTCTCGCGCAAACATGGAACCATAGTTTCAGCAAATCCAAATCAAGAAAATATTGCTACGTCTAAATTAATTTATGGAAATCTTATAAAAATATTATTCTTCTCCAGTCCTCCTGTTTAACAGAAATCATTTTTTTGTTAACAGAAACCATTATGCATATATTTGCAGTTTGACATAGGGAAAAAAAGAGATACACCGAGAAACAAAGATGTGGAGATGCCAAGCAGCATTAATAATTAAAAAAAAAAAAAAAAAAAACAAGAAAAGTGATGCCAAAATACCTCAGCCGAATGCTCTTCCTCCCAGTTCTCTATCAGATTCTCCAAAATATAAGGAGCATCACTCATGTCCTGAGCATATTCACCCAACATCCATATAAGAGCTGCCTTGGCTTTGGGTTCCTGGACGTTTTTGCTGCTGATACCGCCAACAACAGAAATGCAATCATGGCTCCATTGTGGATACTTCCTTAGAAGGTCCTTCACAAGAACCTAAAGGAGGAACCAGAAAAGTGGATTCGTTATGAAAATGCAAACAATACGACGGCCAATCATCTCGGTGATTAGTACGATGATAGTTTACCAAAGTTTCAGCAGTGACATAGTCTTTTTCCATCTCTAGAAATTGAAGAAGTCTATCAACAATAGCATTAACATCATACTGCTGCAAAGCAATCTTCCCAACTGCCCGAATTGATTCCCTTGCAATTGCAATATCAACGTTTGCAGCATACTCGCACAGTTCCGTCACTGAACAGGAACAAAAGCACGAATCAGTCACATTAAAGAGGCAGAAAATAAACGTTTTCTCGTTCCAGTTTCAATGTTGACGTAGTTTCAAACCATTACCAATTTCGTAAGTGTTGCTCTCATTTGCAACAGCAGTCAACATCTCAAGCTTCAACTTTTTGACATATGAGGGTTCATTGTACTGGCAGTAGAAATGCTTATAGTCTGAGGCAAAGATGAATGGCGCACGGACAACCAAAAGATGAAGGTGGCTCAATATTGCATACGACTGTTCTGGACTACCAGAACTGACGAGAGTCAGAAGTGGGGATTTAATACGCTCATAAACCTATACAAGATCATTTGACATCAGTGAGGCAGTGATCATATTAAACGATAACAAAATTAATCAAGATTTCAAATTTCATTCAACAGTTATTACTTTGTTTGTTAAAGGTGCAATGTATCCTTGTAGAAATTAAGATCTGATTTTACAGCTTCTAGACTACGGAGTAAAAGTAATATAATGCCCACTTTTTGGACATTGCAGAAACTAATTCGAAAATTTATCATTACAAAATCCCACACAAACCTAATTTCATCAGGAACATTTTTCCATACTTAAGGATAAAGGAGGTTGACTTCGTACCTGTTGATGAACATCGGTCATGGAGAGTGTTAACTGCAGAAACACTTTGACAGTAGCCAAGACAACAGCTCCATTGGCATGCTGAAGTCTGTCTTCCAACAGATTCATAATGTCAAAAATATCATTACTATCTGACGGCACATATTTTACTGCCAACTCAAGTATAAGACATTGCGCCCACTCATTGAATTCCTTGATCCTGCAAGGAAACACCACAATGATGAAATTTGCTTCTCCCCTCTTAGATACCACTACAGCAACAAGGTATTGTGATTGAAGGTTGAAAGAGGAGCTTAGGGACATACCGGTTCAAGAAATAATATATAACTGGTTTGCTAAGCAAGGATTCCTTCTCTCGGCATGCTTCCTCAGAGTGGCTTGCTTCTAAACTCCAAATTTCTTGAAGTGCAGAGAGGCAATTGGCAACTACCTGATAGCATATTTTATATCAAAAAGGCACTAATCATACACAAGAAGTGAATGCTAGAGAGAATCTACGTCCAACTGCATCAAAAAAAATCGTCCACATACAAAACAAGATTAACCTGAGAATCTGAATCATGAAGCATCAAACTTTTCAGCATTGCAGGAAAGTCAGCATCGATGCATGTCGAGGCTGAGATGTGATACAGCTTTAGAACTCCAGTTACAGCGATTGTTCTGACATAGCTGTTATTGTCCTTTAGCCCGCTCCCCAAGGGACCAACGAGATACTCCACAAGGTTAGGCACTCGTAAGGAACACAAGCTCCTCAAAGCAAGCCCACGGATCATAGGATCCTCATCTTTGCAATCCCTTTGGAGAAAGTTGATTGTCAAAAGGGAAAGATCAGGATTACCCTTTGCATAGTTTCCAACATAAAGATAACACATCTTCTTCAGGACAATATCTGATGTTGCCGAGCACATGACCATTTCTCCAAATACGGATGAGACGTCGATGCCAATAGTCATGTAGGATATTACTTTCTTGAAGAGGTCGCGCTTGGAATCATCAACTCCTGGAGCTCTACTTCCAGCTAGCTGGCGAAGCTGAGATTTCAGATCTGTCACTTCGCTTTTCCTGATAAAGAACAATTTATAATTTCAGTTCACGCTTCATTTGCCTGAAGAGAGATCAGATTATCGACATAAACACTGCATCTTAGGGTAGAAAATCAAATGAATGGCCTCGTTAGATTCCACATTAGCTTAATTTTGACATAAATTAGCTCAGACATGCAAAACATCTGACGAGTGTTAATCCAGACGACATTCTAAAACTAGATCCGATACAAAGGAGCTTATGAAGTTCTGGATTTCCTATAGGAGCAATACAGATCAAAAAAATTCGAGAACTAAGGAGCTGACAACGCATGAAAAGAGATGATCGAATCATATAAGTGATCGCTGCTTTTTCTTATCTTAAGAATGCAAGGAAACAAGGTGAAATTCAGAGATATTGATCGAGAGATGAGAAAATGGCTGGAGCATGAGTTACCCTGAAGGTTGGGACGGTGACGGATAACGCTGCGAAGCGGCTGGAGGAGACATGGCTAATATGGTTCGATTTTGTCGCCGTGAGATCCAGCGGAGCAGGAACCACGATATGTCACCCGATCGGAAGGAATTCCACTGAGATCAGAAGCAGGCTCTGCTACAATTGAGAGAGATTTTGGTTCACTGGTCGAGTCTCGTGCGTTGAGAGAGGTGGGAGAAGATGCCAACGACCCGATTTGCTATGTAACTCCTCCTACTTTAATTTTTCTTCCAATTTACCCCTTTATTCATTATTTAGTCCATCGGAGAATTTGTCCAAAACGATGCGCTTTGCTGCGGATATTTTCTCCAACTTGCGCCTCCTCTGGGATTTCTCACTCCATCAGCATCCCGAGAGCTCTCTCCTCGAACATCCATGGCTGTTCTAAAAATCTAGAGGGAAAACTGCACATACGACAATACTTATAGAAACAGTGAAGAAAATCAATCAGATATGATTATAGCGCAGCTTCCAAGATTCCATTTCTCCATCTTCGCGAAATCCCATTTCTCTCTCTCTTCTTCGCATTTCAACTTCATAAACCCTAAGCCGCCGGTTACAGTAGCCAGAACCCTTTTTTCATTCGCGCTTAAATCCAACATCGCCACGGTTGAACCCATACCACTGCCGGTCTCGGATGCATCCGATCTGGATGATGTTCCTGTGGAGATTTCCCTCGACAAGCTTTTTATTCCGCCGGAGACAGACATCTCCGGCGACGACCCGGCGAGACTAACGGCGAGGATACTGAAGGGTTCGAACATAGTGCTCAGCAAGTATGCGAGGGACGCACAGGTGGTTCAGGCAGACTACGTGAAGAGCAGTGTCCGGACGGAGGATTGTCCGGCCGATGGGCTGCCGGAGTTCGCGCTCGTCGGGAGATCCAATGTTGGAAAATCCTCGCTCCTCAATTCATTGGTGAGGAGGAAACGCCTTGCCTTGACCTCTAAGAAACCTGGTAAGATGAGTTTTGCTCTGTTGTGATTACCATTTTGCTGGTGTTCGATTCCTTTATGGTCTTTAGATGTAACTAAGTTTATAGATAAATAGCTTCCACATTTGGTTTGGATAGTGGCCTTTGGCACTTGCAGATATACTCTTCTTCACATATATTGTATCTGGTTCACTAGATATATCAAGAGGATAACTGAGATTTTCCGGGTGAAATGTCTTGTGATATTTCTTGGAATTGTTAGCTGTTAGGATATCTGTATATCATGATCTGGAAGTTTTCTAGCAACATCTCATTGACGGCTTGAATCTTAATAGTGGATAGGTATTGATAGTCACCTATCTCGTGCTTGTACTGATGCTAGATCTTCCCAGCGTGCCTTGAGTGGATGAAAGATGTTATTTTTGGAAGTAATTCCACAAGCATATGAGTATATTTTTGGCAGTAAGCATTACAATGTTTAGAATTCAGGATTCAAATACTTAAAGTAGAAACTATTCTTGTGTCAGTATTGTTTTGCTCCAGAGTATTTAATAATGAAGCATTCTCTTGGTTCCGTTAATCTAAAAAAAAAGTAGACTTTGGTTCCCATTATAATTCTTGGTAACTTATCCTTCATGTAGGAAAGACGCAATGCATTAATCATTTCCGGATCAACGACAATTGGTACTTAGTAGATTTGCCTGGCTACGGGTAAGTTTAAACTATATCATTTTGTTTTCATTTGCTTATTAGACCATTGCCATAGCCCGTTAAATTGGCTCTGGCCATCAGAATCTGAATTAAAAGAATGTTCTGTGAAAGTGTCTCTCAGTCGTATCACATTTCATTTTCAATGATACGTACCGGTCTCTTTCTGTCCATATCTTTGTCTACGACCAATTTACAATTACAGCTTCTGTCCTGGGGAATTTCAAAGACTTTTGCTGTAAAATGAATTTGATGCATTTGGTAATTCCAGGTATGCATCAGCACCGCATGAACTCAAACAAGACTGGAACAAATTCACCAAAGACTATTTCCTAAACCGGTCAACATTAGTCTCAGTATTTTTGCTAGTTGATGCCAGCATTCCTCCAAAGCAAATCGACCTCGACTACGCTAGCTGGCTTGGTCAAAACCAGGTATAAGAAGAAAGAAGCTGTTCTTAAACTTAAAAAACCCACCGAGACCCATTATTTGTTCATCATGATGAAGATTTTTACTAATTATATATTTTCTGTGGAATGAATAATTGTTATCTGTAATCTCAGGTTCCAATGACTATGGTATTCACGAAATGCGACAAGAGGAAGAAGAAGAAAAACGGAGGGAAGAAACCGGAGGAGAATATAAAGGAGTTCCAAGATTTGATACAAGGATTCTTTGAAACAACACCACCATGGATTATGACCAGCAGTGTGACAAATCAAGGTCGGGACGAGATATTGTTGCATATGGCTCAGCTAAGAAACTACTGGCTCAAACACTAAGAACCCAACAACACTTCTCCAGATTGTCTTTAATAGGAAGGAGACTTTTATAACAAAGAACAACAAAAAGACATGTAGTGTACCAACTCTTGGGCAATGCTTTTGATTAATGCAACGCTAAGATTTTGTTTTTGTATTCTGCAGTACAAAATTCGTCGCGTCTCTCTTGATTTTTATCAAACCAAAATATATCTATGCAGGTTATTTAAATGACTGTATCATAATAAGTATCCTGAGGGGATAGCTCAGTTGGGAGAGCAAAGGTCGCGTGTTCGATCCACGCTCACCGCATTTTAATGTTTTTAATTCTGTGAAAGAGAAGAGAAAAACTAAGGTGTTTGGTTTACGACAGAAGATGCAGAGCCCATACATCACCAACCCAGTTTCACGCGCAACTCCAAGACTCGGCTTGATATGTTGATTTTAATTTCAATTTAACTCCAACTTGGCAATGAAAGACTCTTAATTTGTACCGGTCCACCAAATCAAAACTCATTCTTCAGAATTGTTTCTATCCCAAACCAACTATGATGAACAAACATATTCGTATACTCATCAACTTTTATCTTTCTACCGCTAAGTTTTGCACAAAACATATTCGCTATATTTTTGTTTTTCTTGATACGTGTAGTTCATTATTAAGTGATAATATCAAAACAATTCAGGGCCCTAGAGGAAACAAATTAGAGTTCGAATTTCATTGTTTACTACTTTCCTTTAACAAACAGAAAAGAATCTCATATTTACCGAGTTAACAAAATTACATGTTCCATGTCCGAGAAGATTATGGCTTAGAAAGTAAAATTTATAATTAACTACTTTTTAACATCTGTAAAAAAATAACTAGATTTAGATCCGTGCTATCCATGAGAATTAACTTATATTATATACACGGAATGAAAATTAACTTATAATATTAATATTAATGTTTTTAAATAAAATATATAATTTGGTATATTTATTTTTCATACGATAAGTTTATAATTTCATGTGTAAATCGTTTTTTCATCACTTTTATTTGTTTTCATCTCCTTTAGTTTTATTTTGACTATACGATTTTTTAAAATTCTATTTTATTTTTAATTTTCTAAAGTTCTACTAGTAAATATTTAACACTAATACAATGGTATGTCTTTCATTTTTTGTTTTTTTTTTAATTTCGAAGGTTTATGATTTATCAAAAATTTATCATTCGGAGAACAATAGTTTTAACTTTTCTAAAACCTAATTCTTTTTTCAACTCGTTTAAAATAAAAAGTACATGGACAATCCCAGACAAAAGGAAGGAAGCGCTTTCAAATTCACGAACTCCGTCTCCTTCCCGTTCTCTGGAAACTGCAACAATCTTCGACAAAATTGAATACCAAGAGAAGGGATTTTCTACAGAGAGATTTGTTTTGGACTTAATTATATATAAACTTGAGTGAGAGATAAATATGAGAGGGAGGAAGTAGCGTAACTGGTGAACGACGAATTAGGGTTCTATTATCGCCGTGATAACCTGTGTCTCGCCAATTCCTGTTTATCTTTGCCTAATCGAACTCGCGTTGCTCTGATTCGAGCATTGGTTTCTAGGGTTTGATCATTTGTTCGGTGACCCGGGAAAACTGTAAACTTGATTTCTTCAGTAAACTTGATTTCTTCAGTGAAGGTAAAAAGTTGTATTTTTGTTGAAACGACTTTACTCTTCTTGTTTCCCAGTTAATATTGTTTTTTTTTTTTAACACAAAAGCTTATCTCAGCCTACATTGCATGAAACTATAAAAATTTCACCTTTTTCCAGAAATTGCATAGTTTTGTTGATCTTTACTATGCATTGCGACTCTTCTGAATATTTTTTTTTTGGATGTGGTGTCTTCATTCTTTGGTTTACAGTAATCTGACTCATGAATATCACAATACTTATGGTTTGGTTATGGCATATATCACAATGTATTTGATTTGTTTTTTCGTTCTATGCACTTGCCTTCTTTACCACTGGATCTGATAGATAGTCAGAGTGATTTGGGGTTTATTGATTGTGATAAATGGTTGATAAGTAATCGAGAGTTGATATGTTAGTTATTGGACTGATTGATTTGATACCTCTTATGATGATGTTTTCCTCTGATTTTTTTTTTGCTTTTGCTATTTGATAAGTTCATGAATATTTGTATTCCTTTCGTTTTATCAATGCATCAATTCAGATGAATAATTGTTCTCTCCTCTAATCATTTCCTTGCATCAGACGTGCAATTCTGAATTCTGATTTGGTTGCACTATTCTGCTGTTTGTCCCAGGTCAAAAACTGCTTTTTTAGAGAATGGAAGAATCAGCAGGAGCTGATGAAGGTTTAGAATTTAAGTGGGGTAAAAAGAGAGGAGTTGGTGGAACAAATAAAGAGGTCCAATTCTATGAATCTTTCACCTTTGACGGTGATGATTACTGTCTTTATGACTGTGTCTTAGTAGGCGATGCCAATGAACCAGAGGGTGAACCCTTTGTTGGCAAGATCATAAAAATTTGGGAACACACTAATAAGCGTTTTAAAAACCCAAGGAAAGTCAAGATTCTCTGGTTTATTAAACCTTCTGAGATATCTCCTGATGTACTTAAAGGGGTCCCGGATCTACTTCCAAACGAGCTGTTTTTGGCATCGGGTGAAGGTGTCGGCGTCGCTAATGTCAACAAATTGGTAACTGATTGCCCTTCTGTACACTATTTTGATATTTTCAGCCTCCATATTACGTGTTGCGCATGATTTGGCGTTTTTTTTTTTGATATGCATCTCATATTATGTTGAGGACTGAATTTTCTTGTCTCTCCACTTTTATTTTGTTGTATATGTTTTTTTGCAGTGAATAACTTGTTCTATGTTCAGCAACATGTGTCTAGTTTTTTTTTTGTACTTTTGTCACCCTGACACAGATCTCACACCAAAGCTAAAGTTGTAGTCGTTGATAGGCAATTCGGATAACATAGCTTCTTCTGTTTTTGAATATTCCCCAACAGAAATGCGTGCTTTTATTTGGTTTCTATCATTGCTCCAACTGTCTTTCGATGTTGAATCAAACATGTCCTTGTGTCTCGATAGATTGACCTTTGCATCACTTATTGGTTGGAATGTTCGTTTAACTTTATGTGCTTATAGCTGGTGCAGTGGATTAGCTAGTAATTACACCTTCATGTGTTTACTGATAAACATTATTCCACTAGGAAGCAATTTGGGGAAAATGCTCTGTTCTATGCATTTCAAAGGACAAGAGAAATCCACAACCCGCGGATGAAAAAATCAAGTCAGCGGACTTCGTATTTCGCCGAGCATTTGATGTTGGAAGTCTCAAATTCTTGAATACGATAGATGATAAAATTGCTGGAGTTGATGGTACATTTTGTTTCATCTCATTTGCTAGCTTCGATATTCTCCACTGTGATCAATCGCTAGCTTGATTCTTTATTTACATCATATTTTCTGATCACTCTAATTCTTGCAGTGAAATTTATCTTCAACAGAGCGGGTAGTAAGAAAGAAGAAACTGCTGTGCAGAAAATTGAAGCAGATAGAAATGGAAATCTAGATAGTCTGAAACCAAATGGTCTTCCAGCTTGTGGCTCAGTTAGGAAGACTGAAGATAACTCTATTGAATCTTCTGACTGTAGAGGAAGCAGTTATGACCGTAAAGAAGGGAAAGAAAAAGGTCTCATTCAACTGGCTACGAAAGAATCTACACTTGCAGAAGAAAAGTCTAATAAGGATTCTGGTGTGCAGGAAGGCACGGCCCATAAAGAACGTGACTCTTGTGAAGCTTCTGGGTCAATGGGAAATCATTGTGATGGCAAAGCCCAAGATAGTGAAGTTAAAAAACAATTTACTAAACAAAAATCTATGCCTCCAGAGGAAAGATATAGTAACACTTGTGAAGCTTCTGGCTCCAGTGTCAATCATTCCAATGCCAAGAAAGCTCAAGTAAATGATGTCAGAAAACAGTTGACCAAACAAAAATCTATGCCCGCTGAAGAAAGATATAGTAGAGAGTCGAATGACAGGCCTCAAAAGAAACAGAAACTAGATGGTTGTGTTACAGTACCAGATGGACGAAATACAAACATGATGCAGAATACTAGCTCTGCTGGTAAAGGAGATAGAGAATCTTTCAAGAGACCTAGAGACAAAGTGACAGGAGATGGAGTCTCTCCCGAGAAGCCCAGTTTCGTTAAGAAGAAGCGAGACCTGGGGGTGTCAGTTTCTGAAGGAAAAGATGCAAATATTGCAACTGAAAAAGTTTTATCCAAGAAACCCAGCTTTGATGGTAGGCTATTAAAACGTGCTGAGGACAACATGTTGGCAGATGATTACAAAAGAAATTATCAAGTAATTGAAGTGAGCCGAAAGCCGGAAGCTGTAAGTATGCTATGACTTATTTTACGTTGATTTGAAACTGGCTGTTACATGAGATTTCAGACAGTGTGTGTTGTATGTAAAGTTTTTAGATGCAAGGATATGGTTTTGCAAGAACTTGATTCTAAAAGTAGCAGTTTTGTTTTACAGTCCTCCACTTCGTATGTTGTAATGTTCTAGTGATGTTCTGTCATCCCTCTCATCATGATACTTGTTACCACAGTGCTTGTAAGCATGAAGGCTCATCTAACAGTTTTTGTTTCCTTTCTATTGATCTCAGGTAAACAGCAAATGGTTTCGACCTCTTGTAAGTATTTTTCTCTTCATTACTTTTGCGCGCCAGTCCTTTGTCGTTTTGGTTGCCTCCATTTTTGTGTTAGACATGCTTGTTCGTAGAAGTTAATAGGGTGGCCTGTTAATTTGTTTCTGTTGTATAGTTAATGACTCAGTCATATGCTACTTAGAAAAGTAATATATTTTCTTGATCGTTTCTATGTTCGAGAAACTCGATTGTTTCTCTGATATCCACACTCAAATTGTTTCTTTTATATTCACTCTTTTTTTTGCCTGGCCATTTTAGGCTCTTCTAGCTAGTCTAGATGGGTATCAAATTCTGTACATCATATCAGAAATTACCTTTTCGGGTCGAATCTGAATTTACTTTTAAATTTATTAAATCATGGCCAGCCTTGGGAAGAAAGTATGAGGGAAGCAGAAAAGGAAGCGAGACTGGTTCTCCTTCAAAACTTGGATCCTACTTTTACATCTGATGAAGTGCAGGTATTAGGGATTCTAAAGAGTTTATTTAAGAGTCTCTTAAATGAATTTTGATCAATGTAACCTCTTGTAGTGCGGTTGTTTGCTGGTTTACTTCAAGCTAACCTTCCTTCTCTCTCTTTATATGTTATCTAAGATATTTACGAATTATATTTCAGGACATAGTTTATTCTGCTTTGAATGAGCAATGTACAGCGAGGATAATAGAGCGTACATCAGTCATTATTTCTCATTTTGGTAAGCTACCATTTTACTCAGAGGTTCCATATTTATGGTTCTCACGTACTAGAAATAGAATGAGGAGCCTTACTATGGCATCTCACATCGGATGATGTTACAGGTCAAGCTTTGGTCATATTCAATTCAAGAGAAGCTGCACAAAGAGCGATTGTAAGACTAGATGAGGGATGCTTGTTGCTATCAAATGGAAGGTAAACCGCGTATGACATATTCAGATTTTTCTCTGGTCTCCCAATGATAAATGACATATTCATATCTTATTTTTCAGGCCCCTTGTTGCTGCGTTTGCTAAGATTAATCCTCCAGGGAAGCCGCCATCATTCTGCGGCCATATCAAACCACTCAAAACTCAAATGCGACGAGAGACGGTATTGTGTTCACACAAAATACAAGTTAAAGTATATCATTCTTCTAACAACATTTTCTTGTTCATTGATCTTTAAATTTGTTTTACAGAGAGATACCGTGGCTACATCGCATTGTTCTCAGCCGAACACCCTTGAATATGAAATGGCAATGGAATGGTGCTTGCACCAAGCCAAATCCGACCACGCGCTTAAAGCGGTATCTAAGGTATCAAATTTGATAGAGAATTATTGCACTATTTCGACTAAAAACTTGAGTTTCTGTTTTGAGAAATGAAAGAAAAAGTATCCAGTTTACGCTTCCACAAATGAAAGAAAAAGTATCCAGTTTAATCTTTTAATCGCTTATTCAATGGCCATGGACCATAAATCTTTATCTGACAAAACAACTTCTCTCTTTACTTACTTTTGTTAAGCTCTCTGATTCATTAACAATTTTCAGTGTGTATTCTTCCAACTCCTTTAGAATAACTGAATCTTTAATCCTTTGTAGCGGCAACTGGAGGAGAGAAAATCGCTGCGGATTAACTTCAAGCCTAAACTTCCTTAGCTTCACAGAATCATCTCGTCTTTTCTTGCGTAAGTATTCAACTCTTGATGCGCCTCGACTAACATGACTATCATCTTCTAAGAGAGCCTTCTCTGTTATTTTATTCTTTTTGTCTCAGACGGAAACAACACCAACTTTACATTAGAACACAGGCTCTCTTTAAGACAGTGACTGGTGAATTTTTGCTATCGTACGAAGAATGTCATGCCATCGAATCCACCCAACTTTGGCACGGTAAGCTCCTGGTTTCTTGATGTTATTCAAATCAAAATTTGCAGGAAAATATGATTAGAATTTCACTTTTTTTCTTTCTCCCTTGTGTTTAGGAGAATGCTGATGCGGCTTCTGGTCAGCAATCGGACGACCATTTGTATAGATAGTTTTAAGAAGGTTAATTGTAAGTTGTAAATTCATTTTTGGCGACTGGTAGGGTTTTTATATTTTTTTTTTAATTAGAGTTTAGTTTTTTTTTATTGTTAAAAACATATACAGACAAAAAATCCGTTCACAAAAATATTTTAAAAACTTTTGTTGAGTCGGCCTAGCAGGTTATTTTATAAAATTAATCTGATACTTGACAATAATAAGGTTTTTTGTCAACATATTAATTGTTTCTTTTTTTAACATAAACCCAAAACGTATATCACCATATTTATTGGGAATTTCGCCACCACTTCAAATCTCAATATTGTTGGAAAAAATAATTGTCAATTCAAATTCTTGTACTTGTTCTTCTTTTTCAAGATTCTAACACTATGATACAAATACCTCAAAATCCCTGATTTTTCAAGAATATTTAAATCATCAAATTACCATCATCCTAATGTCCTATAATTCTTATAACGTTAATTAATGAAGCTTGTACTTATACACTGATAAATTGATAACCATACTAATATAAATTGGATTCACCCTTCTTTACTCAAGTCTAGCAGTTTTCATTATTAGATAATTAATACTGTTTAAAATGAAATGCAAATCTCAACAATCTACTTGACATTCGTTTACTTCGTTCTCCCGAACTTTTGTTGTAAGCTATACTCGTATTCGAAGTGATCGAATAATTCGTTGACCTTTCAATTACATTACAATATTCTGAAACCAAGTTAAATATTTTAGAATTTCAAGGTACAAATAGAACTATTGTCAGCCTTCTTTCGAGCAAGGCAAAATATTGATTTTTTGTGGTTAAAAAAAAGAAGAAGAAGATATTTTGTTGTGAAAAAGGATTATCACCGACAACACATCATATGAACGTACGTACGTTCCCCACGACCACGACGTTCTCATCCATTTGCCTTTAACATCTCTAGCAACCACAAAGGCTTAATCACTAATCAGCCTTGATTAATGAGTTATAAACGATCGTAAAACTACATTATATATAAAATAACAGGGAATTATCAGACACACACACCTCCCACACACAAATCTTCTTAAATTATTCACCTAGCCTACTGTTTAAAAATACTATACCCATATTTTAAATGTGTCTAATGTAACAAAAGGAACTTTTCGGAAGGCGTATTATAGATTATTGAAAAAATGAAAAGAAAAAAAAGTCAGGTTGTGAGACCAAACGCACCGTATTGAAGACTAGAACCTGTCACACGTGAGGAGAAAGGAAAGAAAAACGTGTCACCGTACATTAGAAGAAGAGATGAAATCTGAGTCAGCAGAAGACGACAAGAAGGAGGTAGATGTGTGTGTTTAACTATGGTTCCACTGCTCAGGTTATGGTAACTCGTGTCCACGTGACATATGTAGAAAACTCCACGCAGATAAATGATCTTGACGGTCAATCGATGATGACGATAGCTGGGCTTTTTCTTTAGCCCAAAACCCATCTGAATGTGACCGTTTCCTTGCAGACCGGACTGTCAACGTGATGACTTTTTCTTTTCTTTTCTTTTCTTTTTTGTTCTCTTTTGTATGATATTCCATGTATTAGTTTTTAATTTTAGGACAAAGAATGTGATTATAGAAATAAATCTACCTTCACTGTCAATTTGTACTCTATTACAATATGGACATGGTGTATTGTAAGTATCATAGCACATACCCTAAAATAATCCAAATAAAAAACACAATATTTGAATCAAAATATAAGATTAGCCTAACATGTCTCTTAACGAATTTGGGGATCTAACAGCATTCAAATCATTCAAACTTTAGGATTAACATTTTTTACTAACATTTAAATTTGAACAAAATGTAGAGAATCTATCATCTATATGAAATTTATGAAATAAACAAAAATGGACTGCAAAAGGATTAACAAGAAGAATACTCTTTCTGTCAATTATAATATTGTTATAGGGTTATTATGTGGTGACAGCTTAATTAAATAAAGAAAGCATTTTAATTATATTGTATGACATAATGTAAAAAGTAAAAGTAGACCACAGAACGGAAAAGGACCGAAAAATATAATTGCTCTGTAGGGCTTCTTTTTACATGTATTTAAACCAACTGTAATTTCAATATTTCTTGTAAATTCTGACACTTTAATTATTACATAATGTCGACATAACTGGGACTTTAAGAGAGAGAGAGAGAATTTACATTATAGTACGTAAAACAATATAACCATATATATATATAATTTTTGTTGCCAGCCAAAAATAACCATTTTTGTTGTCAACAACCACTATTTAACGTCAGCGAAAAAACATATATTAATAATACATTAAATTGATACTGAATTTGAATTCCACCAATAAATTTTCTAAAGTTTATATGTTTTTTTTTTTTTGACATCATATGTTTTCTTTTAACAACAGTTTATGGTTTCAAACAGGCCTATGGAATTTGATTACTTAACATTATTATAGTTATGTATATACAGATGGGAGTTAGTATGAAATATAAATATTAAAAGTCTTGGAAGGTAATAATTTTATAAAAGAGATTTTTTCATTTTTCAAAATAATAAATTAAATTTTTTAAGAACATGTAAAGTAATTTTAAATTTTGAACTAACTATTTTAAGAAATCTTAAACCATAAATTTAAAAAAATAAAACCTTGATAAAGAATGTGTATCACTTTCAAACCCACAATAAAATTAAATAACATATATTTTAAATTTGTTTAGAAAGCTTTAGTGAACATTTTTATTATTTTTTGTGATATTTTTTAAAAACACGATATTTTAAAATTAATCCTAAAATTATTTTCATAAATGTTATATGATATATTCTTGAATGGCATAACAAAAAAAATTCTACAAATCTAATTTTTCTTTGATGGTTTGCAAAAATAAAAATCCCTTATAAAAAATATAACAAGAAATTTTCATCCATACTCAATTTACTTTATAAATTTTAACAATAATAATTTAATCATAACAAAATTTTAACAATAAAATTTGATAGAGAAATACGTTTTTAAAATTGTTTATTTAATAAAACCACCGTAAATTATTTGATTAAAATTCTATTTAAAATTAAAAAAATTATTTGTAATTTTATAATAAATTTATTAATCGATTAGATACGATATTTATGGAAAATAATAAATTTTGGACTATAGCAATAAATTTTGGCAGATCGTAAAATTTAAAAAGTTTGACTAGAAGAACGATCGTATTCATATAACGGAATAACTAATATTTTATAGAAAGCTAATTGATAGAATAATTTAAAATACTTTTAAAAAATATAAATTTTTAAATCAATAATTTTTATTATTTTGTTAAGCACTATAATAATATAATAAACTTGCTATTAAATCTTCACTTAATAGAATTTTTGATTTTTTTGAACCATCATCATCAAATTTATCTTATAAATCATGATTTATTTAATATAAAAGGAGCAAAATAGATAAATCTTTTATTCTACTTTTCTAACAGCGATTTAATTGTAAACTTTTATGATATAATTTTCGTTTATCTTTTTAATATTGTTTACTTTGGTTTTTTTCTTAATTTTTCTTTGTGTATTAGATAGATTCTAAGGATTCGTGTTAATGCTAAAATGTATTAATCATCTTTTTTTCTTACATGCAAACTGCAAAGAGTAAAGGTTCAAAAAGATTTTGCAAAGAGTAAAATAAAAGCGCAGGCAACCGAATCAATCAATTATCTAAAACAGCCAAATCTGTCAAACTAAAGAATTTCGCCAGAGATGTGCTATCATTTTTATTCTGTCATTTGCCATTTTTCCATCAATTAAATAAAAAGGTCTAATACCATTAAAATCCCAATATGTAATGACAGGTAACTATTTTTTGTTGTTGTTAATTTCAGCTTCATAGACGACGACCCTACACTACTAACAATTCCTGAGAGAACTTAAAACGTGAATTCAAGAGAGAGAGAGAGAGAGAGAGAGAGAGAGAGTCTGAGAAGCTCACTGCTTCGCTGATTTTGAGGAGAGAGGGAGAGAGAGAGAAGAGTACCTCACAAGACTTGCACAGATATAGACGAAGACTTCGCATTGTCTTACTTCTCTGCAATTTCTGGGTTCTTCGTCTTCTTCTTCAACAGCCTATCAAATTTTCTCTCTCAAGGAGGAACAAGTCCTGAAAAATCCAGGTGCCTTCTTCTTCTTCTTCTTTGAATCTTCGATATGTTCTTCTCCAGATGGCAGCATACAATAGATTCGAAAGTCCATACGGTTTTTTTCTCCTTTTCTTCTCTCTTTTGAGATTTTAATTTTCTCCATTTTTTTCAATAATCTGTCTGATATATATTTCTTCCTTTGATGTGTATAGACGATTTCATTGCTCTGGAGATGTTATTTTGTTTGATTTTTTTTTCCTTGGGCTTCTTCTGTCCCCAAAGATTTCCTTTTGCTTGTTGAATTTTTTTTCCTTTTCCCGACATTGTGAGTTACTAAACTCTTGTGAAATTGATCCGTCATTTATCGATCAATCTGAAACAACGTTTCCTTTGACCTTTCGATCATCACCTGAGCTAACAAAGTTTACTTTTTGCTTCCTTTTTTGACGCAGATCAATCATGTCTCAACTTCCCAACAATCAAATAGCCTCTGGTTCCGATATCTATTCGACAAAACCGGGCTTGTCAGGTCTTAAGAACCACAAAATGATCTCTGGTGTCTTTGAAGCAAAGTCTCCATCTGATGAAACAGCTTGGAGCCCAACATCTCCTTTGGATTTCAGACTATTCTCCAGTTTGGGGAATCCCTTTGGTGGATCTTCCTCGAGGTCAATTCGAAAAGTAGTGCATCAAAAGAGCTGGGATTCTGGAAAAGTAGGCTTGAGTATTGTGGATTCTCTTGATGATCATCACACTGATTCATCAAGGATTCTTCTGCCATCACCGGATAGTAAAAACATGATCTTTGGGTCGTGGATGAGAAATGGAAACCCCAAATGCCAGAAACCTCATCAACTCTTTGCCAAAACTCCTATGTTCAAGGATGATAAACCAAATGTTGATGTGATTGAGCTTGATTTCTCTTGCCCGGTCAGTGCTTACTGTTCAGGTGCCGGGAACATCAGTGTGAACAACAATGATGCTTGTCAGGTGATGAAGCAAACCCAAGGATCACTTAATGTGTATACTGAAAGTGACATTGAGATCTCAGAGGACTACACTTGTGTTATTTCACATGGTCCTAACCCCAAAACCACCCATTTTTACGGAGATCTGGTTCTGGAGTCGCTAGAGCACTATGGGATAAAGAAAGATTGTTGTGAAAACAAGAAAGAGAGCATTTTTGTTATTTCTCCTCTTGACTTGACAACGACTGATGATGTGTTACCTTCCAATGACTTCTTGAGCTTCTGCTGTTTCTGCAGCAAGAAGTTGGATATGGGGAAAGATATATACATGTACAGGTACTCTTCTTCTCTTTCAACTCCAATGCACTTTAGAGTTGGTCTTTTATTTCTCTTTGCATCGGTATGTACCATGCTAAAGTCTCGAACTTTAGATAGAAATGAAAAGTTGTTCTTTACGGTAATTTGTAATCTAGAGGGCATAGCTTAAAGTCGTATGGTTCTTCTAAGTGTAACCAAATTGCACACAGTTGAAACGCCTTATTTAACTTCGATTGCTTGGTTTGGTTTGCAGAGGTTACAAAGCTTTCTGCAGTAGCGAGTGCCGTTCAGAGGTGATTCATTTAGATGAGAAAATAGAGGAAGAAGAAGAAGATGAAGCAGCCAAGTCTGATTCATCTTCAGACAATGACCTGTCTAAGAAGAAGAGTAACGGTGTGATCTTCACCGTGGGCTGAGGTCGGAATGCGCCCACCAATTCCATGATCGGTTTGAGTCCATGAAAAAGAGGAAAGGTAGAAGCTTGAGCTGATCATCTGTTCAAGAAAAAGAGCTGCTGGTTTCTCTAAACCGAGGCGGCCATGGATGATCATTTTTGTATATTGCTTGTGCTTCTAGTTCTACTAGACTACTACCTATCCCCAAAAAAATAAACACATTTGGGCTCATCTTTCATGGTTTTGGTGGGTGATTGCCATTGGGACAATGGTTATTTCTATGGATATTTATAATTATGGTTCATTTATTCAGATATGATAATCTTAATTATATAAGAGGGTAGAAGAAGCCGGTTTTTGTGGCTCCCCCCTCCAGTTATGTCTTTTCCATTTCTTTTTTTTTTTGTGGGCGAATGTCTTTTCCATTTCTTAATTTTGATGCTACCCAAAAACTTGAAGGACCCAGTGGGTCAGTGTATTAAGCAAGTCCCATGAAAGGAGGGAATATGAAGAAAGTGTATCTACCTTTTTTTGTGTCTACATCATACAATAATTACTCTCATTTGATATTAGTATGTATATTCTTAACTCGAAGAACATATGTATAATAATTTCCTGGATGAGTTTAGAAGAAGAACGCAAGTTATGCAAATATCTCAATACAAGATCTTCAGATTTGGGCAAGTTAGTCCTCTTGGTTATTTTTCGACAATTCTCATAACCTCTGCTATCAAACTTAAATACAATTTCTAAAAAAAAAGCATTTTGGATGAAAAGCTGAGGTAGATGGAAGTGATCACCAAAACCTCCATGGATCCTTGTATGGAGGAACATAACTATCAGTAGGAGGAAGAAGCCTAAAGGATCCAACTACTCTTTCTAACACCGGTCCCATCTGCATTTTATACAAAACCCTCAAAATCAGACGTCTTCACACTAACACAACAGATTAACAGAAATTAGAGATTACGGATTTTGTACCATGTCCCATTGCTTGCCAAGGGTTGACGCATTTATGGTGTATAAGTACCCTGCAAAGTGTGAGATTCAAATATATGTTATGAGTTTAAAGTCCAAACATTGGCTCATGAATCTCTCGTGAAAAGTTTGTTTACCATCCCGTTCAGCTGTTGAAGAAATATAGTGTCTGTAAAGCTTTGATGCTTCAGCCTGCCCAAGGAACATAGTAAAGGCAATAAGTCAGATCGTAATCAAACCCATTATGTCTTTAAACAAGAAAGATCTGCTTAGAAACAGAGAGAGTTACGATTTTGGTTGGTGATTTGCGGACAAGGTACTCGTAGTACCAGTAAGGCTCCCCATCAATCTGCATATAGAAAGCATATGGGGCTAAGGCGTCTTGTAGATTCAATTTATTTATATTATAGAAGATAATACTTACATCAGTAGCATGTGCATCAAGAACCGAGCTCTCTTCTAAACGCTGACTTGAGGTGACACGCTGCAGGAAAATTATACGCACAAGCTCATTCAAACAATCTTAGTAAAGTTTGAGAAAAGGAAATTTGTGATGTGGGTCATGTAAGATTGGTTACCAATGCAGATTTATCGGACAAAACAGAGTCAGCAACGTCTTTGGCTGTCCATGTTTTCTTTTCTTTTGATGTTAGGAATCTTGAGTTTGGGGGACCTATCTGGATCAAGAACCATAAAAGACATAACGCGAGGAAGAAAGCAAAGATAAGCAGTCTTATGGTAAGTGGGCAACACCAAAACTTACCGAAACAGAAATTACGAGGTTGTCGATGAGATCAACTCGTTCAGAAACAATCCGGAGGCGTGCATCAGCTGGACCAGTTGAAACAGATTCAGTCACAACATGATGCATATAAGGTAACTAGAATGGTTACACAGGAAAGGATATGGAATTTATGGAGTCAAAGGAAGCACTAACGAGAGAGTGGTGCAGCTGAAGAGTAACGTTCAGGCTTTCTTGATTCGACCCTGCAGTACCAATGTAAAAGGTGAGATACATCTTGAATAAGTAGGAAGCACTTTCATCAAAATGATTCAGTCAATCAAATACCATTTGAAGACAAGCTTCTCAGATGGAAACTCCAGAGGGTAAGCATAAGAATAAGCATTTATATCATCCACCATTGAGCCCATCTTCAGCTCTTCTGCACCCATTTTCACTGCTTCTTCTGCATAAGTGACTGCAATAACAGAACCCCAAACGTTGACCATGAATGGCCTAAACACGGTAAGAGATTCTCTATTAATTTCCCATGAACCAGAGCTATTCTACTTGCAAATCATAAACGCGAAGCCCATAAGGCAAAATCCTTAGCTAGAAGTGAAGTTATATACATAAATTTTATAAGACAGTGAAAGATTAAGCAAAGACGTTACCAGCAGAGGACACTGGCAAGAGCATAGACAACGGAGAAGAGAGACCAATTAACACCAAATCCCTACGAGAAAGCCCCTCTTCCGAAGAAATCGATCTCGTAGAAACGCCGGAACGAGCAATCATTAGCTCCTTTGATTCTCCATGATACTTGCTCGAAATGTTGTTGCTCCTGCACCTGAAAAGGTGAAAATCTCATCAAAATGCTTTCGACGAAGAAACTACAAACAAACAAAAAAACCATTGGCGCTGCTAGTAGAAGAATTTTGAAAGATAATTTACATGAAATTACGATAGTTCGGAGAGGAGAGAGATGGAGAGAGAAGAGCCATGGCTATGGCGTTTCTGGAGCTTTACTTCTTCCTCCTATAGCTCATCCATCCACTCTTGTTTGATGATTAGGAATTTCCAAAACCGGTTTTCATATGGTGGTTATCAATACGTATACTTAACCAAACCATAAACCGAGTATAGACCGGACCGGAGGGAGAATTTCTCTTTCACTTGCCCGCCCGTCCACAATTTATCGCATTTTATTAATAATTAAGTCTCTGCTCTTTCGTGCGAGCCATCTTCAACGCTAGTTTTTCTCTGGTAAGCTCATTTTCTCTCCTCATGTTTCGTTTATCCATTTCTCCTTTTACGTCGATCGTTGACGTGGTCAACACTATATCGTTCCCGTTTCTGAATTTTGCATATAATCCGATCATCTGTTTCATTTCTTTTTTAAATGTGTGTGCGGAGAATCTTCTCTTCTTTTGGTTGTCGATTGGTTTTCCTCTGCTTCTCTAGTTTCCGCCATTGATTTCGTGACCAGATTCTAATGTAACCGACCGCTATAGACCATTTCTTATTGTTCGATTTCTCTCCGCCTTAGGGTTAGTTAGCTTTTCATCTAAGTCAAGTGAAATATACATCTGGTCTATTAGGTAGGTGTCATCAAGAAACAGGGATTTTGAGATTGTAGAATCAGCAAATCTCTCCCCTGTTACATGCCATGTCTCTTCGTCATTCCAAAAGTTAACTTTGAAACCGATTTTTGGTTTAGTCGTGTCTAGTTAAGAGATTTCATGATCTGGAACCAAATTAAACAAGTTCTTGTTTGGCTTAGCTTCTTCCTCTGTCATGTACTTTGAACATTGGATTGTTAATTTCTCTAGATTTTAGCATCATATATTTGAGATCATTAGATGTTTGCAGCAAAAGGCATCACTGATTTCATTTTATTTTTTCCCATTAATTGCTGTCTTCTGTGGTTATTAATATGAAAATACCAATTCAAATTTTGGCAGTATCTTTCTTAACAAGACAAAGAGCAATATAATGAAGCCTGGAGCATTTGAATTGAATCCGGATGCAGCATCATATGTACCACTCTCCAAAAGAGTGGATATTTCTGATATGGACGGTTGGGTGTTTGTGAACCAGGCCACACATGTCGTGCAGGGGCAACAGATAAGTTTTGCAGGCGTTCAAGTGTCGATGCCTAAGAAACCATCATCGTCTGAAATGGCATACAAGGAGATAAGGGATGATGATTTGGATATGGAGATGGATATTGACATGGACATTGAATACCTTTTGGTAACCTTCTCTGGTCTCTCCCAAGAGTCTGTAACTGATGTATACCTGGCGAATAGCGGTGATCTTGAAGCAACCATTGAGATGCTGAATCAGCTCGAGGTACTACTCTTAATCCACATTTCTTATAGGGTTTTGATGTAATATTCTTATAAAGCAATGATTTTTGATTTCCCACTTTTCTTGTAGATATATAGCAATGAAGCTCAAGAAAGCCTCCCAGAGACGCTTGATATTGAGGATATCTCTGAATCAGGGCCTTCAACCTCAAAAGCTTCAAAACAAAAGAGTGTAGCTGCTGCATCGTCATCATCGGTTACTCCTAATGCACCTGTATCGGCCTGATCTGATGAATCCTTGTCTTACTTCTCTTGGAATTTTTTGAGATTTTGTTCAACAATGTACATCGTGAAGCGTGTTTTTAATATTAATGGAACCTCAAATATATGGTTTCAACATCATCTCATTTGATCAAACGAGATTACAAACACCATATATATATATATAATACGCTGAATTATATATCCAACGAGACTCTGAGTTAACTTGATTTCTCGATACATATATATATTTTTTTGAGTATTTTCACATGATGACATCATAATTTGATGGAACGGTTAAGATTGTTGAGATAGACAGATAGTGTATGTATTATTGTTTTTAACAGTTGACGGTGTGGATACGGTTTAGTGTTTAGTTCGGTTATTAGGTTTAATCATGATTAAAATGGGCGGAGCACGAGCGATTGACGGCTGATTCTAGTATTTGTAATCGATAAAAAAAAAAAAAAAAAAACAGAAAGATGTAATCAAGGGAGATGGGAATGATCTCCGGACTAAAAATTTGATGTCAGTTTCCTACAAAAACTGACATTCGAGTAAGAATACAAAACTCAAACGTGTCCTCAGAAGTTAAACTATTGAGATAAGAGCAACTAGACAAATTATTCATTCGTTAATGGATCATCCTGTAACGGTTTGAAGGAATCTTGATGTACCATAATTCTGCACAAATCTTCAAATCCATTGGTATTATTAAAAAGCAGAGCAAAGCTGGTTTTCGTTTTCTAAGAAACAAAAAAAAAAAAACTGTTTTAGAAGTTTTGTTTAAAAAGTAGCACTACTTCGAGCTTTGCATTCTACGATGGCTAAAAAACGAAGGTGTGAGAGTTTCGAATAAAAGCTAAGAGAGAGATTAACGGAACAAAACAAAAAAAAAAACTAGAATTACAGAGAATACTATCAACAGATATTTTAAAATCCTCTGTTTCTTGGCCGGTTCCGATCATAGTGTTGCCCTGAATCTTGTGGTGGTCTAACCATCGCTCTGTTATGATCCTGAAGACCCATCTCGGGCCTGAAGCCGGGAGGTGGAGGCGGCGGTGGTGGAAGCTGGTGGCTTGGGACATGTGGCTGCCATTCGGGTATGTCATCGTCATCATCATCATCATAGACGCTTGCAGATTTTCCATACTTGTGTATGAGCTTTCTTACTTGATCCAAAGACTTGGATTGAGCCGGCAATGGCTGAGGAGATGAAACTGGCACAACCGAGGAATTGAAATTGAACTCCGGTAAATCATCGTCATCTCTCGAAGCTACGGGACCAAATCCAGGCGGCACATCACCATCATCATTATCATCTTTCACGGGTTTAACTCCATAACCATGGTGATGACTTTTAATTGATGCAGCAACAAGAGGTTTCTCTGTGACATTCACTCTCTGCTTCTTGTTTTCAGACAAAACAGCGGTTCTAGAACCAGAAGATGAAGAAGAAGAAGAAGAAAAATGCGGACGTTTCGAGCCAGGCTTGTGAACGGGTCGTCTCCACACAACAACTCCAATCAGTCCAATATCCAAAGACTTGATCTCATCGAGCTGGTCTTTAGAAATGACTTTGGTCAACAAATCTAAAGTCTCTCCACGTGTTGGGCAAAGGTAAAGCTCCACGCCTGAGCTTGGCTCTGCGTAGCCTACTCTTTGATCAGCGACGTAGGAATCAACAACCTAAAACAAAAGAATAAAAGCTGAGACCTTTAAGAAGGTGTTTCTATTCTCAGATGTATTCTACAAGACTACAAGTTAAGACTATTAAAAATTGATTTGATTTTCTTTACCTCAAAAAGGCTGCCACGCTGGCTCTTAGAAATGCCATCTTTACAAGCCAAGTACATTACCTGCAATGCAAAGCCAAAAAAAAAAGTACGATGGAATTAGAATTAAAAACAAATAATAATTTACCCAAAAAAAGATCGAATTTATAGATATTTTTTTTCATGTATATGTGTCGTGAGCAAATGCTTTGGCTTTGGGTCTGGGATGGTAAAAGAAAGAAAAAAAAAAAAAAGACTACTTTGGAAAATAAATGGACTATGTTCATGCGTGTGGGGTCCAAAGATTCTTTGTAAGATTTCCTGATTATTGTTCTATACATCTCCCACATAAACACAGTAACAGAGACATAAAACGGATTTTGCATCCAATTTTTTTTTTTGGATGGACTTATACAAAATTTGACCCAATCAATATAGTTGGTTCTCTGTGTCGCATTCCTGTGACGGTGAACGAACAGATTGATTGTAATCTCTTTGCTTTCTGGTTTCCATGAAGAGAAGACAGAAGAGTTTTGAGATGACACAAAATGTGAGAGGTAAGGTTTATCTATATAAGAAGTAAAAGGGTTAACTTCTATTATTGTTTGAAGCAAGCGATTATTCAATGTAATGCTACTACAGTGATAACAAAAGAAAGCTTTGGATACCATTAGGGTACGGCTTCGAGACTTGGGAAGCTCTTGAATAAACTTCCCAAACCCACTCAGCCTAACTCTACCCTTCACTTCCACCATCACCGGCCACTCGCTCGTGTCTGCTTTCTCACCACTGCCATAGAAAAAAACCCAGTCAGAGATTCTTACTTTCAGTTTTAGGATATGGAAGGGTGGTTTTGCACACTTATATCTAAAGTGAACATTAAACCAGGCATGGACTTTAAAGCCACTCTGCTCAGAACACCTAACCCCCTTATTAAATGCCTGATATATCATGTAATAATCCTAGGCACTGCCTAGCTTTGCTAATGTGTAGCTGATTAAGTCTACCGAAATCTTATCGGTATCTAACACTGAGCTCTCTTCAATTAAGCTACCTTTTCTTAACTTATTCACATACCAATCTAGTTGATTCAGATAAACAGAGAGAAAAAAATTCCAATTTAAGCAACAGTTTAATAACACTCAATGTTCGAAGGAATATGTACTATCAGCATAGAGAAGAAACCGTATATGCAAAAGGAAACAGTATCACAGAAAATCCATTATAGTGGGATTATAAAGGTTAGGAGTAAAGAACTTACCTTTTGAAAATTCCAGTGACAGGTACTATGGAAGACACACTCAGTTGCAGTATTCCATCCCATACTCTTTCCCCCTTCACAACTGCAATGGAGGGCGTTTTCTCAACTCCAGAGGCATCGTCCTCAAGTTTGACACTGGCACCAGATTTTGGGGAAACTTCATCAATCTTCTCCGGGTTTGGTTTAGGAGAACCTTTATCACTTAGTTCCTTAGGAGATTCTTTAGGAGACTTTGAGTGTGGCCCAACTTCGGAGTCACTTTTCTCAGACGCAGACACCTGCAATTCAGAATTACCATGCGGACTCTCAAACGGAGGCTCAGCGTCCAAGGATTCCATGAATTCATCAAGCGATACAATTGGAGGAAGAAACTCCACGTCCTTCAACTCATCATCCATCGCCAAACCTTGCATGGGATCGACCTCTTCAGCTGAGGGAGGAGTATCATGAGACGTTGCTTGATCAGCTTTCGCTGTCGTATCTTTGCGAGTGGTTTTGGCAGAATCAGATTTGGCTCTGGGTCGACGTTTGCTAAGTGATGTGATGCCAGCAGAGACATCTACCGTGCTACTGTCAACGGGATCAATTTCAACCTGGAATTCACCCTTATGCGTCTTCCTCACCAGACGTCTCACATCAATATCTGTATCCCGCAGGACAACCATCTCAGCCATCTTCTCAGCTTTAGCTTGTCTCCACTCAGAAAGCTCCTTAGAAGCTAATTCTTCGGCTGTCATAGAACACAGCCTCTCAGCAGAGATCGCTCCAGACATAACTCTTTCTCTTAGCTCAGGATTGTTCTTATCCTTCAAATTGAATAAAAGGGACCTACCCTTCTCTCTGTACTTTTTGTTCACACCTCCAAATAGCTTAAAGAGTTCCATTTCAATCTTCGATGCCAAATTTTCTGGATCCTGAACTAGCTTTTCACCATCGGTTCCATAATCTTTTGTGTCGCCAAGATCTGAAACATTGTCCAGAACCCATGAGAGTTCATTACCCTGTAAAAGGTCATCGTTGGGAAAAATAATATCTGTAAAAGGAACATCATGCCGAGGGAAAACCTCGTCATATTGAGACTTAAGTCCATCTGATTGATTAGCTTCTTCCATCCTGATGTTGACGGGAATCTCACTGTCCTTCTGCACAGAACTTTCGACACCGGTGGGCAATTCTGACATGGTCCCTTCGCCTATAGGGACATCGAAGCTAGCAGACGATGCAGGTTGTAAACTTTGAGTATCCTCCAGATTCACCACAGGAGTTTCTTCAGTCTTTAAATTTTCTTTCCCATTCGGGAATTTCTCATCTTTCTGAACCAAGGCCAACGCAGAGGCTAGTGACTCCCTCATTTTAGACCTCACAGACTCGTTTACTTCATCCTTCGGTTTCACTGGCCCTCGAGGTGGGATATGCGGTTTCTTGTTTACAACATGCTTTCCAGATTTCTGGGGAGCAGGGTCCGTTTGCGTCACATTCTTGCCATGCATCAGCGAATTTAGTGTCTTTTGAGAAAGCGCATTAGTCGGAATATGCAGAATCCCGTTGCTTGCAGGAGACAACTGCTGTAACCATGGTCTATACTGCTTGTTTGGTGCCTCGGGTACAGAACCACCTAGAGTGGTCTCAGGTGGTGAGTTTTGCTTTCCTGCTAGCTGCATGGACCTACTTAACTCTGCCATTTCCATCAATGCTTCTTTAAAATATTCTTAATCCCCAGAGAGAGGCTACAGATGACTTCAGCATTCACCTTAACAGCTGCGAGGTAAATAAACAAACAAAATAGTCAGAATTAGTGCTGTGTTTTCTCCCATAACAACTTCTATGCTGAAATCTGCTCGTATAAGATATGGAGGCATCAAAAACATACATCCAAATTGTCGAAAACGATTTCACGACCTCAATTACACAAAAAGAATCAACAAAATCCGAAAATCTTATGGAAAATCGAAATCAAAACGGAAGAAAAACGTGAAAAATTCGCACGGAACGTGTATATACAATAAACTGAAACACGGATTACAAGGATACAGAAGATCGATCGATTTAACAGCATGCAGCCAATAATTCGATTCAAAGACAAGGGATTTCAAGTGGGCGTATCTAAACAAAGACTATTGACCCAAAAGCTTTCAACCCTAGAAAGAAGCCATTAAATCGAAACCAATCCATCTCACATAGATTTACCTGAACACAAGTTTGAGAAGAATTAGCGCCTCGAACCACGGGAGCCTGTAGATGCAGAGATTCAGCGGTGCGCGAGAGATAAGAAGGAAACCCTAAGAACAAATCCGGATGAGACGGATTAGCGTTTTTTGGCTGTTCTTGCTCGACGATAAAAAAGAAACTGTGTTCTCGTCGCTCCATGTGGATCACACGTGGCACTACGTATTGGGCTACTGGGCTTAAGATAAAAAGCTATTTGATGAATATGCAAGAAAATAAAAAAGCCTATTAGATTTTACAAACAGTAACGAAGCCTTTCAAATATGAATCTGTTTTTCTTTGTCAAATATGAATCTTTTTAATGTTCCGTCTGTTTTTTTTTATTTCAATTTACTTTTGTTTTAATTTTTCTTGTTTCTAGAATACATATGAATCTCATGGTAAATTTTTTTTTTTTATCCGTTTTGGTTAATAGTAGAATTTTGGTTTGTTATTCAAACTAAAACGTATAAATGGTTTGAATAATATTTCTAAACTCTCATGAGAGTATTATAGTTGGGAATTAGCTGAACCTATCAAACCATTAAACAAAAAGTTTGATAGTCGAATGTACTTAAACAAAAAGTTTTATTCACGTTCGTAACACAAGGACAACAAAATTAAAAAAGAAATACCACACGAAGCTACATTTTAAAAGGCAAATTATTATCCTCATTCCTCTGTATCATACGTTTTTATTCTCGTAAATCACCTGATCTCCTCAACACACAGTATACTAGTAATAATAAAAGACAACATTTCTTCAGCCTTCTCATACAAGAAAATAGATATAAGCAAGACCTTTCTGCCTTATATAAAACTCTATAGATCACAACAACTCTTTCAGTATATCAACCATCTCATTAGAAAAACACCAGTGATAAAAGAAAAGAAAAGAAAAACCCACACTCCTAATACGAAAAACTTAATTTCAAAATTTAAACAATGACCATTTACGGCTTACGAACGCTGAGGAGCTTAACATCGTCGATCACGGGGCCACACAGAGACGAGAAATCATCACTTCTCATCGCATAAAACGTGCTGTAAAACATAACCCTCGTGCGGTTTGAAACCGCAACAAACCGCATAGAAGCGCGTTTGAACCCTCCCTTCCCTCGCGACTCATAAGGAACCTTCAAAGTGTCTTTTCCAGCAAACGCCTCGACTATCATCGAACCTTGGCACGCGTTGTTCGCATCTCCAACCGCAAACGAAAGCACGTAAGTCTTCCCGATGATGGTCCGAGCCACCTGAGCGATTGCGCTTTCTTTGCCCGCAACGAGCTCGACGGCTCGACGCCCTTGTGGGACAGAGAAGTGTTCAACGTCAACATATTTGATTGCTTTAAGTGATTCGATCATCCAAGCGGGTAAAGGAGAGTGGTCATCTTCTATGAAGGGAGGAATCAAAACGCCGGTTGTCGCGTTTGGGAGTACATAAGGACCTTCTTCAAATCCTCCGTTCTTTAATATATTCTCTGTTTCATATAATAGAAAAATAAACGCATCAATTGATTTATTCTTGTACATATATGTCTTGGCCAACACAAATCCATTGTATCTACAAGTGAACATATTAACCGAATCCAACAAAGCCAAAATCTTCGAGACAGATATACTTTATAGATTGATCCGTACGGATAAACCAAAACAAACCTAAGCCAGAATTCATTTACAAGTACATATGTATTTTGAATTTAATATATATCTTATTTTAGAAAATTGAATGGATTAATAATTTATAAGAAGGGTTTTTTTAGTCAAAAGCTGAACTAATCCGAACTGATGAAATTTTGACTAACCAAATCCAAAAAAATCTTGGTTCTAATGCGATATAAGATTCTACAAACCGGCCGAAAACCAAGATAAGCCAAATACTTGAAATGCCGACCCCTAGCATTGTCTATTGGATGATTTATGAAACATGATTCTCTTAGAATAAAAATATATACTATATAGAATCGATTCCACATATATATAATAAAAGTAAATGCACTTACTGTTGGTAGGTCTTGGAGGGTATAAAGCCTTGATGGCCACACCATCAATGAGTGGACCACAAGCAGGATCTTCTTCCTCACCAGGATTATGAATCACGATCTCTGCCACGTCACTCTCGGCCTGAAACGCCCAAGCGTAGAGGTCCCATCCATTGCTACTGTATACCGTCTGTATAGGAATAACGCCCGAGTCAGGTGCCACTGATATGTTGAGCCTTTCGTCTTGAGCACAAGTCCTCGCTGCACTGAACGTGAGCGAGTAATACATTCCTTTTGTTACGTTAAGCCTCTGTTTGATCGATGCTTCGTTGCCTAATCGGACAGCGAATTTTCCGGCGGGGACGACGAGAAGCATGTCTCCTTGTTTTTGACCGGATTTTATGTATTCGACGAAGCCTGATAGCTCCCAGCTTGGAAGTGCCTTCTTGTTTATCACTTGTGTTCCTTTCATGTCTGATGGTTTTGGTCCTCGCTCGAAGTCGCCGTTTGGTAACATTCCTGCGTTTTTGAAATTACAGAAAATTGCACTCAGTTTAGATAAATTAATTCCATTTCCTAAGGTTAAGTTGATTTTGGTAAACTATAAATTAGTTTTATCTACATGGTTTCAAGTTTAAACCAAAAAAAAAAGAAACATGAATCCGAATATGTAATAATGGGATAAATAACGGAGAATATTGATGTATATCCAAAAGAAAAAAAAAAACAAAATGCTGGGGTGTATCTTAAATACGGCGCTTGTTCAGAACAAAAAATCTTAAATACGGCAAAGAAAAGAGATTTCGTAATTGGACCCACTTAATGTCCAGAGTGTTTTGTGTCAGAAATGGACATAATGGTAAACTGGACTCTTAACCGACTTACTAAATTAACTAATTCCCAAAAAACAATAATAATGGTCCCGACCAGATTTGCTTCCTCCGACCAGACTTTTTTGTTTAGTGGTTTTTGTTAAAATTGGCTCAGTTGATGATACTTTGGATATTTTTGTTCACAAAAAAAGAGACGTCGGATAGAAAGTAGAAAAGTAAAATTGGCTCATGCCTATGCTTTTCTTTTCTTCAGACAGAACTAAGCGTTTTTAATTAAAAAAACAAGTCACTATTTATCCCAAAACAAAGTTTCCAAGTCAAAATGCAATAATAAACGAAAGAGTATGTAATTAACGATTACCGTCACGGAAGCATAGAACGGAAGTGACGGTGGCGATGAGAAGAACGAAGAGAAACGAGACGCTGCCTCTTTTCATTGTGAACGACCAAAGTAAAGACTAGAGAATAAAGAGAGAGAGAGAGAGAGATTTTAATAAATTATGAAGAGGAGCGGCAATTGCTTATATGGATTTCTAGTTAGGAAAGTACCTCTAGATTTTTCTACAATTTACGGGTCTATGCCACTGATGTGGTTTGCGTATCCACGTGGGGCCGTGACTCACTCTTTTGGGATTTAGCGGAAATTGCAATAGAGAAGATCAAGAAGGGTTATTTCTGTCAATTCCTCTCTCTTCTCTATGGTTTTGGCTGCCGTCAGATTATCATCCTTAAAATCACATACAGAAAGTTTAATGCATGTTAATCGCATTAACTCCAAATCGCCAATTAACGTCTTTTCTTTTCTTTCTGACTTTTTTTTTGTTTCTATTATTTCTAGCATGGCGTTGATAACATTATTGTGTTTTTTACGGCTATTAATGGTAGTAGTTAGTATCTTGACCCCCAATTACTGCCATTAACTCCAATATTACTAACTCTATTGCCAATACGATCTCAATACGTTATAATTCAAAATACAATTTTAAACTTATAAGAATTTGGTCTCCTAAGATTACTAGCTACTAGGTTGTAGTTTTTGTAGCGTTTGTATCGATGTAGAAATTATAAAACGCATGTAATCAAGATGTTTGGACGGCGTGAAAATATTTCGAGAAACTCAAATAAATTTTGTCTGAGCTACATATTATAGAGATTAAAGCAAATTTGAAACACACTGAATAAATCATTTAGAAGTTAATTAGCAACTATGTAAAATAAATTATGAATTTCCATAGACGAAAACATAACATTAATTAGACAGTTTTTACATGTTATTTAGATTATACAGTATTAACAAAATATTATGTTGAATTTAAATCCACATGGTCAGCACAAAATGCCAACTCATGGAGACATTTGATCTCGTATCCAAATATCTGTCTCTGCATCTACACATTAAACATTAAACAATATGATTTGCAAATCAAAGTAAAATTCACGTATTAATCTTTTGAAGTAAAATGCAATCAGTGAAAGGGCAGTTGGTCATTTAGTCATGTAGTTGATATACAATGGTCAATGGATATGCGGTGGAGTTGCTACGAGGAGGATCGTGTGATCTTTCTTTGTGTTTTTTTTTTTTTTTTTGATAAAGGATCTTTCTTTCTTTGTGATTCTATTGAATAAAGTTATAAGCAGCTGGATCTCACTTTTTAGATTTGCATGTACTTAAATTCATTTCTTATTTTGGATAACATTTAAGTCAATGTCTTTTCTCGGGCTTTTTTTGTTTTCTATTTTTCTTTGTAATTTGATTCTATTATTGTTTTTATTTAGATTCAGTTGTGGTGAATGGTCAGCTATGGGGTAAAATCTGGACGTAGGATAATAACACTCTTTAATGTCGGCCGGAACTTGGCTTTTTGCATTGCGTCTTGTTCTCATGTTTTTTCTTTTTTTAACTCAAACAAAAAAAAAATGAAAGGGATTACTGATTACTGAATAAGCGTTAAAGCTTTTAACACACATTTTTGCAATAAACTTGATGAACCTATTTGAGTACTTGCAACATATTTGAGTCTTGAACGTAGATGATTATGTTAATAACAACAACCTCTTTAATCCGTACAAATCTGCTTCTATTTTGGATTTCCTAATTTGAGTAAGATAATGAGAGAGATGGAGACAAGAAGTGTGAATAAGTGAGAGAGGAGAAGAACGTGGGTGGGGCCTACAAATATGGGACCCACTTGAAAGGGAGACGGCAGATATGAGAGAAACAGAGCGCTAAATCCACCATCGTGCGACTGTCTCGACCTCCTTAATTAGTCACCTCTCTTTTTACTATTTTACGGGCCCATGGGCCGATTCCACTTGTGTTCACTTATAACAAAGCAAACACCATTTATATTAAAAATTGTAATCTTCTAAAAAATAATAATGAAAAATTAATAGAACAATAATTATTACTCCATTTTTGTCCCGTTTTAGCTTGGGATATGGTGTTTTTTTTTTTTTGAGTAGCAAAATCGAGAAAATTATATAAGCGAGTGAGCAATAAGCGAAAGTGTGTGGCATGTGAGTCTGTGACTGTGGACCGAGTCTTCTGCTTCTTTCCGGTTGCGGTTAACGTCCACTTGACTCGGTTGACGTCAACTTTCTCAGGCCGTGACGGTGGAAACTCTCTCTTCCATCCATATTTAACGGCAGCTTAAAAGGCTCACGTGGCCTCCCCATGAAAAATCCAAAACCACGCTCGTCATGCCCAAATTCTTTGAATCACGTGCCAACACACGCATCGAGCCACTACATTCTTAACAAACCCAAGAACAAAGAAACTACAAGAGTGTTAATAATTATGACAAATGAAGCCTCCATCCTTTTTTTAAGTTATTTTATTTAAAGAGCTACTATCTTCCCAAACAAATAAATGAATAATGATCAGTCATGTTTGTTGATAGAGTTCGATTTTTATTTCCCTAGTATCACCACAAATGTTTTTTATTTTTATTTTCTATTAGTTATTTATATAAGGAGCAACTATCTTTTTTTAAAAATAATAATCCAGTCCTGTTTATTGATAGTGTCGGATTTTTATTTCCCTAATCTCACCACAAATGATTTGAGCTACTGTTTAAAATAATTTTTATTTCCCTAATCTCAACACTTTTTCTGGTGAGATATGCATTCCAAGCTACCTTGCATTTGGTCTGGAGAGAACGAAACAGTAGACGGCATGGTGAAGTCCCGAAACCAGCTCAGAGTCTGATTGTCACTCTTGACAAAGCAATCCGGAATCGATTGAGCTCAATACGAATGGCTGGGGATTTACGCTTCAGCGATGGTCTGCAGATATGATTCCGTTCAAGGAGCTGATGGCACAAAAAAGCTTCCACAAAAGCCCTTAATAATTTGTTAATTTTGCCTGCAAACATATTTCTTACCTTCTTTCTTTGAGAAGATTTGTAAAGAAAACTGTTTTTTTAATATAATTTAACATATTTTCAAAAAAAAAAAAATTAATTCTGACAATTTACATTTGTTGAAAAAGAATCAATTTATGTCGGTTCTAACTGATCATAACAGACTGCTACTTCAAATAATAATGCTCCATCGGCGATTGAAAGTTTACACACTCCTCATTTGTGCAGGCATGGAACCTTTCGAAAAGTTGAAATGTGTTACTTTAAAAAGTTACTTGTGCATGCATGGAACCAACTTTATATGATCAGATAGTATAAAAAAATGTGTTACTTCAAAAAGATTGGGTCTATATGGTTATCCATTGCATCACCTCAGGAAGTATCAGAATCAAATATCTTGAAAAAACTCTCTTAGTCAAATAAGATAAAAAAAGAAAGACATTTGGTATCAAATAATTAACAATATTAGTTGGGAACTTATTTAAGAGCATTAAAAGAAGACAAGGAGGATAAAGCTCATCAATGTTTTAGGACCCTCGTGTGGTTGTGACTCACATGGGGAAGGTCTTCACTACAATCACCTCATGTCTATCCTTTTTTATAAACACTTACTCCACATTTGATCCTATAAATTGCAAAATGGAAAGCGAACATGCTTGGACTTGGATTTTGGCCGGTAGATTTTTCCAAAGAAGATCACACGGCCTCCATTTCGAGTCAACTAAGCAAATAAGTCAACAATTGTAGTAACTTGCAAAATTGACTTAACTCGTCTCCGTAATCTGTTTACTTAAGTCTGAGAATATTTCCCGGAAATGCCTTATATAGTAAATAGTAATACTGTGGTTTCCATTTCTGTTATGGCTTTGAATAAGAGAAATTGACTTTTCAAAGGGTTGAATCCTGAGGCAGTATCCAACAGTTTCCGAAGCTACTTTCACACTTGGAATCAATTTGAACCTCTTAAATTAGATCTTGAAAAAAATCTTGGAAACAAAAATCAACAGATCAAAAACAAATGGGAAATTGTCTAAAGCCTTTCAAAGAACAAACTCCTTCGATCTCTCCCAATCCTCCTAGTCTTATCATCCCACCAATTTCAGGTACATCTCTTTTATTTTTTTAGATGCACTTTACTTTTGCTTACATATAATATCTAAATAAAAAAATTAATATATGTATGAAAAATAGAACCAGAAAAAAACGAGAGCCTGAGAATCTTCAGCTTGGCGGAGCTGAAGAAAGCAACGAAGAAATTCAGACAAGACAGGGTCGTAATTGTCAATAATAGTTATTTTCGAACATTCTATAAAGGCTACATCGATGAGACCACATTTGCTCCGTCAAGAAATGGAACCGGAATCGCTGTTTCTGTCATGGAATGTCTTCAAGATAGTTCCCAGGCAGAATGGACGGTAACCAAAAATCTGCCAATTTTTCACCTTTATAATTAAGTTGTTAAGAACATGGGTATATAATCAAACCTACCTTATCAATGCTTGTTCTTATTTTATTTTTAATATTTGAGTTGCAGGAAGAAGTGAGATCCCTAGGAGAGATTTCTCATCCAAACTTGGCCAAACTCTTAGGTTACTGTTGTGAAGATAACAAATCCTTCTTGGTTTTCGAATACTTCCACAAAGGAAGTCTGGACAGTCACATTTTCGGAAGTTAAGATCTCTTCTAATTCATGTGTCCATTCTAAAATTCGATGTACACTTTATATACAGTTTCATGATTCTCTCAACAGAAGAAGAACAAGAAGAAGCATTGCCTTGGGAAACACGGATTAAGGTAGCCATTGGAACAGCTCAAGGTCTTGCCTTTCTCCATTCGGTCAAGAACAAAGCGTTATATCGAGAAATCGGAATGCATAACATTTTTCTTGACGAGGTAATTAATTAATGACTTTTAGTCCACTCGTCTTGCTCTTATCGTTTATGATCTTACCAACAATTTGAACACCTAATTAGGTTTGGATTTTTATCAGCAATACAATGCGAAATTGTTTTATGTTGGATCAAACAAACTACATTTGTTAGAAGAAAGTATCACGACGGCATTCATTGGAAGAACTGATTACACACCTCCTGAATATGCAATCTCAGGTAAACTCTTAACTTGTAATATTTTGATGGCCAGGTTTCAATGTTAAGACAATCTGTGTGTTTTAGGTCATTTGTGCATGAAGAGCGATGTCTATACATTTGGTGTGATCTTGCTTGAAATCTTAACTGGTTTGAAAGCTTTAGATAGAGAAACCAAAGAGAAAAAAGGTGTCATGTGGACTAAACCTTTCTTGTCCGATAAGAACAAAATCCTGGAAATGATGGATCCTCAACTTGGAGACGATTATCCCGTTAATGCGGCGATACAAATGGGCAAACTCATCAAAAGATGCATCAAATTGGACGCGAAGAAACGACCATCGATGCAACAAGTTTTGGATGGTTTGAATGATATTGCAGTGATCAAGGATTGATGTTATATTTGACATTGAAAAAGTTTTAGAGTTTATTTTGTAATCATTAAAAAGAAATGTCTTTCCAATCTTTTTCAACTTCATCCTCTCCAATAGCAAGTTAATGGTCTTTTTCAAATATTTTGTCTCTGTTTTCCTCTGTTTGTGCCTTTGTGGGTTTCAAATTAATGGTCTTTTTTTTTGTTATTTTAGGGTCAACGCGGTAGAAGCATCCTTAGCTTCAGAGTTCTTGACTTGAATTTGGGACCGTAGATCTTCCCCAAGAAAATCAAATCGAACTCTATTTCTCACCAACTAAGCAATATAAGTTAGCAACTTACTAACAATGGACTAAACTCGTTTCCTTGCTTTTTTAAGTGCGTCTTAGCATTTTTCCCAAACTTGCCTTAAATGGATATAAGTCCTTTTTGGTTGCTTGTTTTCCTTTCTTTTGCCTAAGTGAGCATTTGAAGGGAAGCATTTGACTCATCAAAGTGTTGAAGATGCTTTCACACTTGAATCATCAACCTCTATATAAAAAGAACCCAAAATATAAGATGAGTTAAGAAATCTTGAAACCAGAAAAAATCTAAAGATTAATCATCTCTCCATCAACAATGGGAAACGGTCTAAAGCCTTTCAAAGAACAGCCTCTTTCATTTGCTTACGAGCCTCTCATCAGCCCTCCAATTTCGTGTACATCTCTCTTATTAAAAAAGCACTTTACTTTTTGTTTACATCTAGATACGTGATTCAAAATTTGTATAAATGTATACATAAAAAGTGGAGACAGAAGACGAGAATCTGAGAGTCTTCAGCTTCGAGGAACTGAAGAAAGCAACGAAGAAATTCAGACAAGGCAAGGTCGTAATTGGCGAGGATCGCTCTGTTCGAACATTCTACAAGGGCTACATCGACGATCAAGAACTAAAACCAGAATTGCTGTTTCTGTCATGGAATGTATTCAAGATAGCTCAGAGGCTCTACAAGCGTGGAAGGTAACTGCAAAGTCTGTCCATTTTGTTACTCTAATCTTTATATGTGTTGTGAACTTATTAACAAGTAAAATGATGACAAAAAAAAATTATGAGTTGCAGGAAGAGGTGGAGTCTCTAGGGAAAGTTTCTCACCCAAACTTGGTCAAATTTTTGGGTTACTGTTGTGAAGATAACAAATCACTCTTAGTTTTCGAGTACTTGCACAAAGGAAGTTTGGACAATCACATTTCCGGAAGTTAAGATCTCTTCTAACTAATGTGTCCATTCTACAAATTGGTGTATGTAATTTTGCTTTACATGCAGTTTCATGTTTCTCTCAGCGGAAGAACAGCCATTGTCATGGGAAACACGGGTTAAGATAGCCATTGGAACAGCTCAAGGTCTTGCCTTTCTACACTCGATCAAGAACAGCCCGGTACATTTAGAACTCAGAATGCATAACATTATGCTTGACGAGGTAACAGTTTTTATTCTTTTTAATTATATTCTTCTTCTTATTTCTTTTTCTTTCTATGATCGTAATACCTAGCTTTGGATTTTTTTCAGCAATACAATCCAAAATTGTTTTACCTTGAGTCAAACAAACAATACTGGGAAGATGACTTGACGCTTGTGAGAGAATTTTCTAGATACCAATCTCCTGAATTTAAGATGACAGGTACACCAAAATCTTTAACTTTTGTGTTTAGTAATTCTTGATTCAGTTTTCATTGTTCAATGTTAAGGCAATTCTATAACGTGTGTAGGTCGTTCGGGAAAGGAAGGCGATATTTACACATTTGGTGTGATCTTGCTTGACCTTTTAGCTAAGTTAGAAGTTCGGACTACAGATTACTTGCCTGCGAGTTATAAGATTGGGGAAATAATCGATCCCCGACTTGGGAGCGATTATCCTGCGAATGCAGCAACAAAAATGGGCACACTCATCCAAATATGCACCATGTGTGACATGAAGAAACGACCATTGATGCAACACGTTTTGGACGCTCTGAATTTTATTGCAGAGATTAAGGATTAATGTGTAAAGATACTAATATTTGACATAAAGTAATTAAGGGGGTTATTTGTATGTAATAACTAATAACTGAACGAATCAGTAAGGATGTGCTAAGGCAAAAAATGAAAGAGTAAAAAGGGTTAACAATGAAGATATTTAAAAACAAAAAGCAGGTTTCTGTTTTTGAGCGAGATTAGCCAAAACAAAAAATACTAAAATATAATCTGTCGTTGTTAAACTATGACAAAGAGAGGAAAACAAAACTGGAGCTCATGAGATTCTGAAAAAGTTAAGACTCTTAGATGTTTTGTTGGGATATAAAATAAGCCATTGATGACGTTAGGATCACGAAGATTGCAACGAGAATGTGCTTGAAACTAAGAGCTCCAACATCTAATCTCCTTACACTTCCGATATCTGATCTTGACTCTGTTTCTTCCTCCTACAAAACGATGACCAACATCTATAAGTTCCTTGAAGAACAGAGCCAATTTTAATATTCAACATATTTTTCTTCTACGGTAAACATATTCGACATATTTTTACTAAAGCTAAATTAGTACATTTCACTTACATGCCTGCAAAATAAGGTTTTTAGTAGGGAAGCAATTAATTTACCTCTAGATTAGTTAGTGAAGAGACAGTAGCTTGAGGTTTACTTTCTTGATGACAAAAAGGAGAACTCTGGTCAGTCTTTGGTGAAACTTCAGTTCCATTTCCACTCTCCATATAACCGGGTTTTCCAATCTTCTTCAACTTCACCATCAACACACAGTTCTCTCTTGACAAGTTAGTTATCTGCAAGAAAGTCACTAAACCTAAGCGTCCACTATGAAGATGATGAAGCTACTACGGAATCGGGTTTCGTGATTAATGTGATAATGTCTTAATACCTGTTTATGAAGGCGTTCTCGTTCAGCAGCTAGTTGCATGACCAGTTTTTTCATGATCTTGTTATGTACAGCAATATCTTTAGCTGTTCGCGTTTTTCTCTCTTCTGCTTGCTGTAGATATTTCTCCATATCTTTCAATCTAACTCTAAAGAATTTCAGCTCTTCGTTGAGATCTGCATTAGACTCAGATACGGTGATCAACTTATCTTCGGTATTGTCAGCCCTGTTTTCAGCCTTCAAAACTTTTGATTTAAGATCCTCAATCACATCCTCCATATCAGAAACAGTAGAGTATAACAAATTCTGCTTTTCTTTACTTGCTTCAACAGCTGCAACTGCACTTTCTAGTTGAAAATCTGAGTCCCTCAAGCGTTTCTCAAGCGATGTCAACTTCTCCAGAGTGAAGCCTTTTGATCTGAAATTCTCCAACTCGCCGTGAAGCTCCTTTATGCTTTCTTCTAGTGTTTTGAATTTGGATTCCGCTTCGTCAGCCCTTGCTTCGGTTTTTGCTAACTTATCTTTCAGTTCCTCGTTGATACGTTTAACATCTGATATCTGAGCAGCAGAAGTAGCATCCACATCTTCTGTTTGAAGCCCATATTCATTCAGTTGATCCTCCAGGGAGCTTACCTTTTCATTTAATGTGGAATTCTCAGTGCTCAACAGAATCAACTTTTCCTCAGCTTCTTTCAAACTCTCTTTTAAGCCGTCTGCTTGTGCGATAAGAAAGTCATGAAGTCTTGCATTGCTGCTATCAAGTTTGTGCAAGGCACATTCCTTAGCTTCTAAACGTTCCTTTGAATCAACGAGCTCAGACTTCAAGTCATCTGCCCGCTTAAAAGAGCCGCTTAGGTTGAACTGAAGAATCTGGAGTTTTCCAGACAGCTCCTTTGATATTCCCTTAAAGACTTCGGAAGCATTCTCAGCCTCGAGCCACCTCGAATACGCATCTTCGATTACTTCTTCCATGTAGACAACATCCTGCTCGGAAGAATATAGTTTCATTTCTAGTTCGTATTCAGTATTTCTTGACTCAGTTAATTTCTTCTCAAGTTCCATCTCCTTGGCCAAAGATTTCTCAAGCATCCTCAAAACGTTCCTTTGCTGATCAGCAGTTTGCATTTTAATCTTATTGCTCAGGTCACCAAACTCACCATCGTTTTGAGATTCTGCAGCAGGCCCTCCAGACCCTAACAAAACAAAACAAAGTTAACATATTTTCCATCAAAGCCTGAGAAACTTTTATCCAACATGAAAATTTTATCCAGCTAGTCATCATAACGATGTTAAAAACAATACTATAAAATGGCAGGTTTGTCTCACTTACAGCTTCCAAGTTCATCCAACCCAGAAGATAGCCTCTGAAAGTTAGAAGATTGCTTCTTCATTTCCAGCACTTGGACCATTAACTGGCCCAAAGATTGTTCAGCATCACGCAACTTTCCTTCCAAATCCGAGATAGCTTCTCCATCATGTTGAAACGGAGATATCATGACACGGGCACTTTGAATCTCGTTCTGGAGAAAACCAAGAAGCGAGTCAAGTTCTTTAACCTCTGAACTGAGAATTGAAGACAAGAGATCAAACTCCAACGCCTTCTCAGCCGAATCATCATCATTACTCGAAGGTTCCTCTTCTTTCTCAGAAACAAAGGACTCAAAGTCGTTTTCCCTCGAGCCGAGTTGCATAGTAAGAAGACTTAAATTCACCAACTTCTCGGAGATAAAAGCGAAATCCAATTCAACTTTGGTCAGAACTTGGCCTGCACTCGATAGTTCTGTATTCATAGCTTGCCCACTAAGCGAGATATCTTCAAGAAGGCTTTCTTTTGTTGAGCTAGGCTCTGGTACGAGGCTGTCGTTTTCATCGACAGAGACAGTTCTATGGTGTTCCGTTTCTATTTCCATCTTTCAGGTCCAAAATGAGAATTTGCAACCGCGTGCGATCTAACTGCAAACAGAGAAAAACATCATCAAGAGATTGAATAATCCTTGGTTTCCGCTACATCGGAAATAATCTTGATTCCCGATAAATCTAGGTAAAGTTTCTACAGCGGAATTATTAATATATTTTACATGATTCCGATCGGCTTTGAGATCGACACAAAGCTTGGAGAACGGAAAAGTAAAGACTTACATATAAGATGGTGAAAGCACGAATCAGATCAAAGAAGCTTCCTTGCGAGAAAATGATCGAGAGGGGCAGGGAGTTTGCGACAGAGAGAGATCGAGAAGAAGAAGAAGAACAACGAAAGAAATAATAACCGAAAAGAGAACTAAAAGCTTATAATTAATTTCGCAGTATAAAAAAAAATCTGAAAAAACACGTCTATTCTATATTTTGTTGTTTCCCAGATTTGGGACATGTAACACCGAATCGAAACTAGCTGTATATTATGGGAATATGGGGTGTGAAATATGACAAGTGACGAACAAAAATAGAGTTATGAAACTTGACTAAACCGCATTGAATTTTTATGGTTTTTTTTCTTTTCTTCTAAATACGAATTCCTTTTTTTTTCCCATCCAAAAAGATCTAAACTTTTTTAACTTTTATTAGTGCACAAGTAATTTCTTTATTCACTACATTTCACCTTTACATTTACACCTTACAATCCAGTTAAATCTCTTGAAAAATCTGAACAGAAAATGGGTTCTTGAATTCCGAATTTATATATTTACAGTTTGTGCTTAAGAAACTTAATAATTACACTGATCATATTCCCTCCAACAAGAGTTATAAAAAGTCATAATGTGACGCCTCTTTTAAGTCTCTAATCTTCTTGAGAAGTTTAAGCTTAGCTCATGAGAAGCAATGCTTCACGAGTTCGACCCAAAAGACTCAAAGCGGTTGCTGCTATGTGATGTCCGGTTAGCCCGGCAAGAGCAAGCTGTTCGCTAGGCGAAGCTTCTTCGATGTAGCCATCCGGCAACACAATCGGTCTCCACTACCAAAGTTTAATCCCAAAAAAAGAGTAAATTCAAACCCAGAACCAAAAAAAGGTGAGAACTTTAAAAATATGTGGCTTTGGTTTGTGTGTACCTTGATTATCCCATCGAGCTGGCCATCGAGGGCTATAAATTGCGCCACATGAGAGCCGAACCCTCCAACGCAGCCTTCTTCTACAGTGATAAGGAATTTGTGCTTCTGACAAAGATCACGCACAAGCTTTATGTCGAGGGGTTTGCAAAATCTTGCATCAGCTACGGTCACGTTCAAACCGAGTTTCGAGAGAAGCGAGTGAGCATTAAGACAATTCTGAACCATGGCTCCATACCCGAGCAAAGCCACGTCTTGACCCTCTACAACAACTCTTCCTCTTCCAATCTACTCTAATATGATAAAACAATGTTCTTGTGTCAGCATGGCATGTTTTCGCAACAAACATAAACATTTGATGATTAGATTGGAACTTACTTCAATTGGTGATCCAGTGCGAACGAGATAATTCTTGTTGACGATGGCGCCTCTGGGGAACCGGAAACAAACTGGGCGGTCAGTGATGTAAGCTGCAGTAGCAACCATATCTACAAGCTCATCCTCATCGGCTGGAGCCATGGCTATCATGTTTGGTAAGCTTGACATGAAAGCTATGTCAAAAGCTCCACACTGCACTGGACCATCGGATCCAACAAGCCCTGCGCTTGTAATAACAAATCGCACCGCCTTTCTCTGCCTATCTACATCATGAACCACCTAACAAAAACATCAAAGACACTAAGGCCCTTTGCTTATAATGAAAAAAAAAAACCTTCAGAACAATCTTACTCTATGCGAGATAAAAGTGAAACCTGGTCATAAGCTCTTTGTAGAAATGCAGAGGGAATAATGCAAAAGGGCTTGAGACCTCCAGAAGAAAGACCAGCAGAGAATGTGACAGCATGCTGTTCAGCCATTCCGACATTGAAAAACCTGTCTGGAAATCTCTCCTGAAATGTAACAAGTGATGGATCCATCTCCATCCCTGCATGAACCACAACAATATCTCTATCTTTTTCTGCCTCCATCACCAAGGCCTCCACAAAGCAATCACTATAAGTGCGTCTGTCTGAGACACAATAATAAACCGTCAAAGCCAAGATTTGGATAAGCATATATTCTAAGGAAAATAACATAAGCAGAGAGATATACCTTTGACCACGATGTTCTTTCCGGTTTCTGCATCTCGGTTTTCGTCTGTGATAACATGGACCAACACAGGACCCATTGAATCTAAAGAAGCTACTTCTCGGAAGACACAAACTAGATCTCCGATGTTGTGTCCATCAACAGGACCAATGTAGTACAAACCAAGTTCCTCAAAGAGAGTTGATCCTGTTGGTCCCACCATACCACGTGCATACTCATCGACTTTGGCTGCCCATTCATACATCCCCTTTCCTATTTTTTTCGTCATAGCCTGCCAATATCCATAGCAAAACCAAATAATCAATAATGCTAATTGTTCGACAGTAAATCTCCAGCCATCGTAAGCAGCTTAGTTTCATAAAGAGAGTATGGAAAATACATACTTTCGCTAGTTCTCTAAATTTCCGGAAAATCTGGCTAGACTGGATTTTGCTCATGATGCTGGATAGTGCACTGATGGATGCCTTGGATCCCTCCGCCATATTTGGATGCAAAGAGTGACGGCTATCATTTAGGATAACAATCATATTAGAATCCAAGTAACCAGCATTGCTCATTGCCTCATATGCTTGACCAGCAGTTATTGTCACGTTGTCTATCACAGCAACAACCCTGTCCCTTTTTCCTTTCATATCTCGAGCAACTGCTAATCCTGAGAGACATAAATAAAACGTTCAGCACACCGAATCTAAAACAAGCATTCTTTAGCTCATCTATAGCTATATGCATGTGACTCTTCAATAAAGGTCAAAGGGTGACGAGAAAAATTACCGAGCCCAGCAGAAATACTGTTGCAGCCATGCCCGGTCCCAAAAGTATCATATTCACTCTCCAATCTAGAAGTGACCCTAGAAATACCATTATTTTGTCTCGATGGTATCGCTGACCAACGTCCTGTCAAGACTTTATGTGCATATGTCTACAACAGAAGAAACAAGATATTAACACCACAGGAAACACATCAAAACCTTGGACCAAAACATAGGAAAATCACACATAAACCCGATGAAGTTAAAAACATAAGCTTACTTGTTCCACAGAATCCCACAATATTTTATCAACCGGGGCACGAAAGACATAATGCAGAGCAAGGGTAAGCTCTATTGCAGCCAAGCTTTGGTTCACAGGCTTTTGGGTCTTCCATAGTACAGAAAGAAGCTCATTACGGATTTCATCAGCTAATTGCTTCAACTCCTGCAAAGAAGAAACCATCTTCATTAACCCCAAGACCTTTGAATATGCTTCAACTGCATATGGCATAAGAACATCAAGACTTTACCTTAACACTCAAATTCTTCAACTGCGATGGAGTTTCAATGCTGTCTAGTATTGGCGTCTCAACTTTCTCATCGCAGTACTCATCAATATCTGGCAAAGAACATACCCGAGCTCGATTTGAAAATTCCTGGATATCAAAAGCTACATCAGGAGTTTTCGAAGCAAAATACGATCTAAAATCCGAAGCAAATACGAACTTGATTAAAAGTTTGGCACTTTTGTGATCATTGTCATATAAACGAGATTAACAGAAAATAATAAGACAAGCCTTACCTTGTGAGTGGAGCTTGCAGCTGAGAAGAAGCTCTTTCTGGAAATATCAACTTTACATGGAAGCGAGGAGACGGCAACATCCGACCTCAAATGAAACCGAGCTGAGATTCCGAATTGATACCCGATCGAAGCCGAACCCATGAAGGAAAAAGCCTCGAAAAACAACTACAAAAGGCCGATAATTCTAGAGTGTCATCATGCGAATTCGAATAAATGCCGCGAATGGAGAAGTTTTTACGAGATTAACATGATGGAGAGAAGTCACAGAATCCAGATGAGTTGGGAGAGAGAGAGGAAGGGGAACATTTGTACTGCGTTGGGCCTGAAGATATATTGGCTTTGGATAAACCAATTAGATTTTTTTTTGGGCCAATTACATAATCCTGATTTTTAATCCAATTTTCGCCTCCCTTTCAAAGACAATTTTGTTTTATTTATCAGAACCATATAAAATACCAAAAAACTGTGTACAATGTCTAAATCCTGGCAGATTGGTCTATCAATAATTGGTTGTTTTACATGTTATTTTCACAGCATGCAGAAAACATACTACAGCTGAAGAGACTTCTAACTAAAATAAATTATTTTGACAGTCACCACATGTTTAAGTATCAGCTTTTAGGCGGACTCTTGCTGCTGCAAAAGGCCAACTCTGAAACCAGTGCAATGTGATCGCTTCCCCATTTCTGTAACAAACCAACCAGAAATACAAAATATCAAAAGTTCCATAATCAATACATATATATATATATAGGATAAATAAAAAAGCAAGATCATGGGATTTTACTGGAGTCGGGAAGCCTAGTGTCCACTGCATTGCTTGTTTCGGTATTGGAGCTAGCACACGCACTGTTTGTAGACCTTCCGACCGCCTAACCCCAAAAATTAAACATTAAAATATGTTAAAATCCATAATCATCTGATCTCAAGGCCTGCCAAAAATGGTTTTTTTTTTTTTTTTTGGTTCGAATGCTATTACCATATGTAGTCAACTGTCCCCATGAAACATCTGTGATAACTGGTCACTACTGGTTCTCCGTTTTCATCTCTTGTGTTCGCTTGACCCTAACAAAACAAATTGTCAACAGCTTTTTGAGTAATTTAGTTACTCAAGAAACACAAGTTAAAGGACAAAAGTGTAGGGGAGATATGATTACAATACCTCAATTTCCGAGTAAGTGCTTTTAAGCTCCATAGCGTGTTCAACCGTACTTTTTTCTGGGTCACCTGTTGCAGTTGCTATCTCCATTGGGGTCCAAGCGGACGGATTATAAGTGATTTTCCCGTAATCAAGAGCTTCCGAATCCGATTTACATGAAAATTCATTCACAAGTTCCTCTTTTTGACTCAGGTCATTATTGTGTAGCTTAGCCAAAAAGGTTTCCCCATCTTCACCTATACCTTCTTCGTCTAGTGCGAATACAACTGGTTCATCCAATGTTAAGCCATCTAGTTTCATCTCGACCATATTTTCAACATTGGCAGAGAGACTAGAGGATATATTTTGAGCACTCGACACAATTTCCTCAGGATAATGCTCTGTTGCTGACAAAACAGAACTTGCTGAAAGTTTCTCTCTTAATTCCTCTTTAGCATTGGAAGCATGTGAAGGTTCTGGATCTGATTTGGTTACTGAAGAAGGATCTTCTTCAGCTATCGAGAGATGCCCGGAGTCATCACGTTTTCTGTTTTCTATTCCGAGATTACAAACTGGGGCCGAATCCTCGCTTGGTAATACTCCAGAGCTGGAGGTGGCTTCGTGACTAGCAAGATTTGTAGTACCACATGGAAGCTCAGATGTGTTTCTGGAGGGGGTCTTCTCAATATCTTTGTTGGAGTTATTTTCCATACGAGCATTTGCGATCAAATCTTGTCGTTGAACTTGACCTTGTGGAGATTTATTGGCGGACTGAACCCTATTAAATTGAATAGGCCTATCAATCATACAGAAAATAATAATAAAATGTAAAGGACGTTTAAACCAGAGAGATTCTAACGTAAAAATAAAGGGCATTAAGTTGCACAACAAAATTCACATTGATGTTCAAGAACTTGGTGTGTTTATGCTCTACCTCGTTCTATAAATTTCTGGTCGTGGTGGACGAATTGCAGCAGAATCTTGCCCCGAAACTTTGTCTCTGGCCAAACCAGACAAATCCAACTGCAGAGAGCAGCACAAAATACAATGTGAACCATGTACATAACGTTGTTAATAAGTGAGGGAACTGCCTTTACCTTCCGCTCCGAAATAAAGTTGTACAAATGACTCTGCAAGCAGGTAAAAGAATGTTATTATCCATTTCTCACAAACCAAGTGGGTTTCGTTCTATCAACTGGTTAAGGTAAGAATGTCCTACCTTTGGTGTACAATTGAAATCCCCACATAGAACAACAGGCGCATCATCCCAGAGTTTCGAAACAGCATGAGCTCTCTCTAAGAGTGTTCTGACCTGTGCAGCAGGGATAAATACATAGACGACGACTGACAATAATTAGACAAACCAAGTTAAATCAGAGCCAAGTTTTCCTCTGGCATACAAACTAATGGAAAGTACCTGACCAAGTTTAAAGTCTCCTCTTTTAGGATTAAAAAGCACGTGAATATTACAAATGACGACTCGGCGGGAACAGCTGCAAAAGTATATGGAAGTTCACTTCAACCCAACCATAAACTATAATTTATAACGAAAACCCATGAAGACTGAAGAAAATCAGCCACATGTCCTAGTGAATGGCAATTGTCCATCCATAAAATAATATGATAGTAATATTTACAGATATTATTAGACTACCTTTCAGATGGGGAGACCTCAATTTCTTTTGTATGTGAATTCAACAGTGTCTACATAGAGCAAGTTTAATTCAGGGTAAGAAAGAGGCAGAGGTATGTAAGTCACTATCAACGTAAGGTATCCATATTACCTCAAGCACACATATCTGGGCAACATTATCCCGGAGGCCAAGTTGATTGAACTGGATGCTTTCTTCATGAACCAACTTGAATCTAATACGATAACAATGAGAAACCCAAACAAAATTCTAGACTGAACTACAATAGGAAGAAGGACAAGGGGATCAAACCTATTTGATCGCCAAAATATTGCACAGCCGTCAACAGCATTTCCCGTCCGCATCTACAGTTTTATACAATAGAGTTAGCCTCCACATATGAAGCCTAGTTCTTAAATCTTTGATACATATTATTTAATCGTTAGTCCTTGGAGAACACAAACTAAGGACCGCCATATTTTAAACAGACTAACAAAAATAATCAATGCGGATGATCCCAATTCTTAAGAAATATAGATGACCCCTAAAAGTTTTTTCAACAGAAGTAGAACATATGCATACCTTCCAAATGCCACTGTATCCCCGGATCTTCATCTCCTCCTCTAAGTCCTGAAATTTATCAACTTCCTGACATATGGAAAATAATATTCCAATTACTGTTCATTTGGAAGATACACATTCGTATATGACTAAAGATGAGGAAAACAAGAATGCTTTGTCTCCTTAGTCCCTCATACATAAACAATTGCAGAAACTATAACCTGGAGGCACATTATATCTGCAGACCATAGGCCAAGCTCGAACACTAATTTGTTCTTTCTCCATCCCCAACTCAACATATTTCTCGGTATATGAAAGTAAAGATTTCTCCAGTGATCATTAGCAAGGTAATCCGCCAATATGTTATACGATAAAACAACAAACTTTTCTGCAGGAAAGTAAAAAAAACATAATCAAAATGCTGAAACGTAGAAAGTGGCGTGAAGTGAAAAGAGATGGTCAAAGAAAAGTTACCGGACCCAGGAGGCGGTGCCGTTTTGGCATATTCCCATTCTCGGTAATCCGAGGGTTTTGACCGTGGCCGTTGACGGAAGCTCCGCTGCGGAGGCGGCCGAGACATCTGGTTTTGATAGAACGGAGGGGGAGGGCAAGCCGAATAGCTTTGGCTGGACGGCGAATGATTAGGCTGCCATTGACCTCGATGAGGCGGTGGCCGGAATCCGTAGTTCTGATTGAACGGCGGTTGATGGAAAGGCTGCTGCTGCTGCTGCTGAGTTAGCGGAGGCTGAAATTGTCGATATGGTTCACCATTGTTGAAACGACGAGGATCGTGATTCGATGAGGATCCTCTGCTCCCATGCCGGAGTCCGAGATTAGCGTCATGGACTGACTGGAAATGCGATTCTACAGTCACGAACTGATCTCTTCCTCCGTCGTTGTACGGACGATCGGAGAAACTTCTCCCTCGGCCTCGGCCTCGCCCTCGGCCACCTCTGTACTGCTCCGTAAGAGACAAATCATCTTCCATTAATCAAAGCAAGTTTAAAATCACATCACTATTGATACTGAAAGAGGAAATTTTACCGGAGCGCGACTGGACATGGCGACGATGGGAGCACAAGTAGTGGAGGCGTCAGCGAATGCAAAGTCGGAGAAAACTTGGGCGATTAAACGAGAACGCCGCATCGATCAATCGAATATCGATGGACTGAGAAAGAGTGCGACGGTGCTTAATTGCAGAGAAGAATCAATCCGATGAACGGAGGCTCGTAGACAATCGTGCCGTTTTTAGAATCTAGCTATATACCGCTCCCTGTCTTCACTTTGAATAAAATGGCACGCCAGCTAAAACGATTCTTACACCTCTCTACATTGTGAAAGAGACAGCCTTCGACACTCATTACACGAATCTATGTACTTCTTTAGATTTGATAGAACAGCATTTTATATATATGGGAACCTCAATATCTGATTACTACTATTAACTCATTTGATCAAATCTGCGAGTCGCCATTAGAAACACGATGATGAAGCTTCAAAGTTAAAACTTCCCCAATCATTTAGATTCAAAACCAAGGGGTCACTAGAGAAATGTTGTAAGAATATAACCAGAAATCTATTGATTTGGAATCGATAAGAAACTCCAAGGTCATCAAAACAAGCAAAATTCGGAAACCGGCGCATAACATTAATAATAGATCCTGAATTGAACAAACAAGCTGGGGAAGAATGGCTTCTCCCAAGTCGCGTATTGTCATCATTTGCTGGCTTCAGATTGAGCAAAGGACTTGGTGACAACATAGCAATCTCTTGGCTCGATGTTGATGTAATAGTTTTGAATGGTATCTGTGATCTCAAACCCAAACTTCTTGTAGAACTTGATAGCATCCTCGTTGTTTGTCTGAACGTGCAAGTATATCTCGCACATGTTTTGCTTGGAGCACATGTCAAGAACATGATTCAATAACTTTGAACCTGCACAAGAAAAAACAAGTTATTGACTGAGACATGCACACAAACTATGGACTATTTTTGGTGGCATGGATCAATGCCTCAAGATAGCATGCTAGATTATTCTATATTATTCCAGTTTTATCAGTGTCAAGATTCAAGTTTGGCAGAGCAGATTTATGACTCACCAATGCCAATCCCGCGGTATGGTGCAAGAACACCAAGTGTCATTATATACACTCGCATGGCCCCGCCTTCTTTCTTCTCCAGCCGACAAGCAATAGCTCCAACACATATGTCACTGTAATAAGCTGAGACGAAGCAAATATTTCATTAGAGCATCAAGGATTTTTCATGCCTCACAAATTGGAGAAATAACCAATGTAACCCAAAGAACAACACTGTCAAAATAGAAATAGTAACTAGATGGTGTCGAATAAACAACGATCGTGATGGCAATCAAGAAACATCAATTGTGTCATTTAGAGTGCTTCTTCTACATTTTCATTGAAGCATGAGCACAAAGCTCAAACATGTATAAGCTTTTACCAAACAATAGACAATAGATGCAAATAAATTGGTCTATTCAAGGCTACAAAAGAAGGAGAAGCGGTAATAGGATCAGATCAAAATGATAGATGTTTTTCTACCCTCAGACAGACACCATTGCTGAACTTAGATATAACACGAAGATATTTCAGTACCAAGTTCATCTTTCCGAGAAAATCAGCATTTTAACCAAAGGAAAAATATCTAAAGAGGACAAACCACAACAATGGCAAGTGAATACACTAAGCAGGCAAAGGAGGAGCAACGCAAAGAATCTTAAAATCACGAATGCAAAAAGCTTGTCTGTCGAAATTGAAGTAAGAAAAAAGTAATTTTATTTCTTTATAGAGTCTCCTAACTTGTCTACCAAGCCTAAATACAGAAAATTTCATAAATCCCAAAGCAACTAAGTTTTTCCTATTCAAGGAAGAGAATAATGCTCTTTAAGGCATAAAGACAGAAAACAAAAGAAATCCCACAGAAAAAACATAGCACAATCGGATCTGACTCAAAATCACACTCCCAGAAAATCTCACGATCAGCAATATAGCCAATGTAGCATATAAAGAGATGTTAACAACCATCACACACGCAGGAGCGAAAAAAAGAACAGAAATTACTGGGAAAAAAAAGAGAGAGACAGAAAAATAAGAAAAGAAAAAACCCAAGTAAAGAAGCCGAACCAAGCTTAGTGAATTCGCCGGAAGCGATTGCATCAGCGTAATACTTATCGTTGTAGCGAACAGGGAATAGAACAGTATTGAGTTTCTTAAGCTGCATCATGTTTTTGTCTCTGACTCCATCTAGCGATATGCTGACTTCTCGCCCAGTTCCCATCGCCGTCTCCCTCTACCCGAAGAATCTAGAAGAGAGAGATTTGATTTTCGTCGTAAGGACAAAGAAAGGAAAATCGAAGGGAAGCTTTATTTAGGGGAAATCCAGAAATTTTAATTTGGACAAATTTTTTTTTTTTTAATCGCCGATGGGGTTCCGTTCAGACTTCAGACATAGAGAAAACAAATTATTGGGCCTCGAATATAGTTTGAGCCTATACTAAGCCCATAGATCTAACCTTCTCACTCAGATAGAGATCTTCGTTAACAATTAGTTAAGCAGAAACATCAAAAAGACTAAACAGGCAAATCACAACGCAAATAATTTTAAAAAGCACGATTAAGGCTTGTCTGTCGAAGCCTAAGTAACAAAAATAATTTCTTTATTGTGTCTTCTAACTTGTCTGCCAAGTCTAATCACAGAGCAGTTTATAGAACTCCCAAAGCAACTAACGTTTATCAAAGGAAGATACTTAGTAAAGAAATGTTTGGGCCTTGAATCTATTTCAGGCCTTAAATAAGCCCGTATCTCATCTAGACGTTTCGTTAAACTTTAAAGTTTAAACACTTCATTATCATCGTTAAGATTTGTGAAGCAGAAACATCTGAAAGGAAGAGTTGATGAGATGGTAGGGAAGAAGGGGAAAGCGATTATAGTAGGAGGGAGTATAGCAGGCGTATCGTGCGCACACACGCTCACGTTAGCAGGCTGGGATGTATTGGTGCTCGAGAAATCGTCCGAACCTCCGGCTCGGAGCCCTACTGGTGCTGGGCTCGGACTCGACCCTCAGGCTCGGCAAATCATCAAATCCTGGCTTCCTCAGCCACACCTCTTAGATGAAATAACTTTGCCTCTCTCGATTGATCAGGTAATAAAAATACGAATTTTCTCGGAAACAGTGACTTTGATTCGACAATCGCAACTAGAAGAAGACTGTAATTTTCCCGGCCCTGCAAAAGTTGTTTTACCTTTTTTTGTTTTTTTTTGCTGGTTTATAGAATCAGTCAACAGATAGTGAGAAGAAAGTTACGAGAATTCTAACAAAAGGCGAGAATTTTGATTTTCGAGCAGCTTATTGGTCAGATATTCACGCTCTTCTGTATAACGCATTGCCTCAAACCATGTTTCTTTGGGGACATAAGTTTCTGTCTTTCACCATGTCACAAGATAAATCCACTGTAAAGGTTAAGACTTTAGTTACGGAAACTCAAGAAACTATTGAAATCCAAGGAGATTTACTCGTTGCAGCAGATGGGTGTCTGTCTTCGATTCGGAAAACATTCTTGCCAAACCTTAAATTGAGGTTTGAAATAAGATTATGATGATCATTTTTCGATATTTTGTGAACCGGGTCATATAGGCTTTTGTTTTTCTTACATGTAGGTACTCTGGTTATTGCGCTTGGAGAGGTGTTTTTGATTTCTCAGAGGATGAGTACTCGGAGACAGTTACTGGAATCAAGAAAGCGTATCCAGATCTTGGAAGATGCTTGTACTTTGATCTCGCTACACAGACTCATAGCGTGTTCTACGAGCTTACTAACAAGAAACTTAACTGGATTTGGTATGTCAATCAACCAGAACCTGAGCTAAAGGTTACCACTACTAAAGCCTCTCTTTTTTTCCCGATCAAAAAGCTTTTCAGTTAGTTTTCTTGACTCATGTCCTTGTTGTTGTGAAATTACAATTTTCAGAACAACTCTGTTACCCTAAAAGTAAGCCAAGAGATGTTAAAAAAGATGCATCAAGAAGCAGAAACGGTCTGGATCCCCGAGCTGGCGAGACTCATGAAAGTAACAAAAGATCCTTTCCTTAATGTAATCTACGACTGTGACCCTTTAGAACGGATCTTCTGGGGAAATGCCGTGCTGGTTGGAGACGCAGCTCATCCCACAACTCCTCATGGTCTAAGAAGCACAAACATGTCTGTTCTTGATGCGGAAGTGCTAGGCAAATGCTTGGGGAAATGTGGACCTGAAAATCTAAGTTTTGGTCTCGAAGAGTATCAGAGGATAAGATTGCCTGTTGTTTCTGAGCAAGTTTTGTATGCAAGGCGTCTGGGGCGTATAAAACAAGGTCTGGATCATGGCGGAATTGGCGGTGACGGTTTTGGATTGGAACAGAAAGAGATGCCATTCTTTTCTAGTGCTCCTCTTGCCTAGCGATAATATTTGATGCGAGGCATGTTTTATGTTATCAAGTGATTGTGATCAGAGAGACAGGTACATAACTTTCTGTACGTCAATGTAGAAACGAATTCGGGTACAAGATTTATAAAATTGATAGGATACAAAAGTAAGAACAGATTTATGTTTACGGACAGATCTTATGGAATGAAAGCAACAAAGAAAGAGAAACACAAATTGTTTGAATTAATTGTCATTTGTTCAAAGAAAATATGAAAAACAAATTAATTGCGTCTGCCGGGAGTCGAACCCGGGTCTATTGCTTGGAAGGCAATTATCCTAACCGTTGGACTACAGACGCTGACGTTCTTTACTGATAAATTAAGTTATTTATTTAGAATATGCCTTAACATGATATTCTTCGGTGTTGCTCCTCTTATATCTAGTGATAATAAGTTTAGGGCCAGAGATGTTGAATGTTATCAAGTGATTATGTTAAAATACAGAAATATATCATTCGGTACGTGCGGCAATGTAGAAACTATGAATACTTCGAATACAAAATTTATAAAACTAGTGAAAGCAAACCAATTTTATGTTTGCAGACCCAAGTTTGTGGAAGTACAAACCAGGAAATAAAATTGACAACAATTTTTTTCTTTAAAAAAAAACTGCATCGGCCAGCAATATCGGACTATATACGTCCCTGTCTCATTATTGGTATTTTCAGAAAATGACATTTTTGAGACAATAGATTTCTTTGGGAGATTCTTGAAAAATGGTTACCAGTTTTAGAAATTTTCATGTATTTTGGGACAGTTTTATAAATGTGATGTATATCATGTTTCGGATAAGGTATTATGTAAAAATATCATGTTTTCCAAATTACATGTAACATAGCCATGCACGGAAAATATAGAAAAGTCGATCGCATATGATGCATGCATGCCAAAACAGATATAAGCTGGCCGGAATATGTCGACCGACCTTTCTTGGATAAGAATAGACGGTAATTAAGTAAGACTTTTACTAGAATCGGAGTTTATAATGGGTAAGCTTAAAATATGGACCTGAAACATTTGAAATGGTAGAATTTCAACTTGTAAGCTTACATTGATCGATTTTCTAGCCATATTCCTCATAGTCATTGGCGGAACTTAACAAATCATTTTGTACCCTTTTCTACAATAAATATCACGGTGGATATTTAGCTTGAACAATGGTTCTCTAAAAAAAGCCAGAACGTAATCCAGAACGTTAATACCCGTTGAGCCAAGTTAGTCACTAAAACAACAATTTATCCCAGATATAAATATGGTAATCTTAATTAATATGATCTCTTAAGTACCATATTAAATTCCATGAAACTAATTTGAAAGAATTAGTTACTTATTTTTATTGGCTTATTTGAATACTTACAAATACTATAAACGATGTCGAGAGTAATAGTCCAGTTCAAACATATGCATCCCAGATTCCCAATTAAATAATCTCTCTCAGCTCTCTAAATATGTATATATAATGTATGTTTATGTGTGTGGTCATGTAACTACGATGAGACAAATTGAGGGTAAATTCAAGCCTGACAGAAAAATTCCAAAGAGCAGTGAGTCGGGAAATGGAAGAAGAGGCCAGAGGAAGATGACGCTTTTGTAGGACCCAAAATCTTTTGTCTACAGTGTAATATTCATATTTTTGCCATTATCGATTGTGTATACAACATTGCTGATGTTGATCCATCCAAGATCCACAATATTCCTCGTCTAACCAAAGGGACCATCGATACAATATATATGTAACATGCATAAAAAAAGTAGATTACTAGTAGCTGATACACTTGTATAACTTGTATTTTTCTTCCAGCATAGTCATGAGTCTAGACTCTATTTAACTGTAAGTTAGGACCACTTTAATTTTTACAAAAAAAAAGAGTAAGGACCATTCTACTATACCAAGCATGCATAAATAATGAGTCTATCGAATTCGTTTGATTTTGAAGTTATATTGTATAAGATAACATTTGATTTTCGTCCATGTATCTGAAGTTGATCTTGGTGGTTCTTAATTAGTCTATAACAAATGCACACTTGCTAGCTCTTTGAACAGCTTGTGTAGTGCTACAAATTTTGAAATTATAACCACTATATGTACATTTGCAACTAGGTAGTATTATTTAGCAGGAAAGGATATTTTACTAGGACTATATATTACCTTAAATGTAGTTATATAAGAAAAAAAAAAGTATATATTTTAACCAATAAATTACAGAGTAAAAAAGATGAAGTATACAATCAATTGAACATATCAAGATTAGAGGTATATGTGGACTGACATAAATAATATGCAGGAGACATGGAAGAATTGGGATGTTAAACTAAATATTGTTGATATTGGGGCACAAACAATACATTTGGGTCTATGTAATAGTATGCATCGGTCACGTCAAATAGTATACAAAATTTATGTTTCGGTTAAAAATTTACCGAAAGTAAGTTAGTAGAAATGGATACTTAATTTAACCATTTATTCGTATGACATCTTTTACGTCTTAATTGTGTACTGTAAGGTATCCATAGTAAGGACAACCCCTAATCAATGAGATCAGGTTTAGCATGCATTAAATCATTGATTTACCGCTCAAAACACTACCATGCGCATATACATATCAGAATAAAATAACAAGGCACATTCTTACTTGTCTTCTAAAATAAGCTTTTCCATTCTTTACATATAAATAGAGAAGCAACTTATCATATTCTGATCTTCTTTATTAAAAAAAAATTATAAAAGTGAATCATCTTAAACCAGTAGTTAATAATGATATCTCTTCATCGTATGGTTCTGATTCTATCAGCATAACTATTTGTCCCTAACTATTTTATATGTTAATAATGATATCTCTTCATCGTTAGTGATAAATGTTTATGGACATATTATATATTTTAATTTGGCGTAGACTTATAAATATATGTGATGTTGTGTCCCTTATAAAAAACTCAGGCTAAAATTCAATGATTCTTAATAAGTTGCTTTGAAAAAAGATGCCTTGAATGCTAAGTATTTATATTCCAACTTCGAAGGATCATATATAGGGGAAGTGGAGGTCGGCTGCATTGGTTGACATTTAACAAAGGAGTGGTCAGTCGTGCGCAACGCAGTTACATTTTCCACATATCTACTTATTAATTATGTGTTTGGTACAATCTTCGTTAACTCTCTTGTATATATCACTCTAGCCACCCCAAACGAAAGTGTAGAAGTTGTTAGAGCATCTCCAATGCATGACTTCGTATTTTTCTCTATTTTGGAGTAACTCCAAAATGAAGTTGTATTTTACTTTAATGTAAGCTTCATTTTTACTCCAAAATATAATTATGACTAAAAAAATAAAAAAAAACTCTATTTTTTGCTCCATATATGGAGTAACTCCATTTTTTACTCCATTTTGGAGTGAGATTTGGAGTAAGGTTGGAGATAATCTTGCTCCAAACTCTATTTTACAGTGAAATTTGCAGTAGGGTTGGAGATTGTCTTAACTTCTGTTTTTCTTTATTTCGGCTCGAAAACGAAGCCTCGCATAGAGAAATTATAAATTTGACATATAACAATATCGCACACGAGATTTATCGAGTTTAATACTCCCTCTGTTCAGAATTATTTGATGTTTTAGAAGGTTTTTTTGTTCAGAATTATTTGATGTTTTCACTTTTCAATGCAAAATTTAACGAATATTTATTGTTTTTGACTTTTTATATTCTTCAGATTGTCTTCTTATTGGCTAAATGATATTTAAATGAATTATAAATAATATTTTTAGTATAGGAAAAATAAAAATTAAATAAATTCTTAAACTGTGTACAAAAACTTTAAACATCAAATAATTTTGAACAGAAGGAGTAGTAATTTGAGAAATGTCTCCCGACAGTTATTAGTAATTGAGAAGTGTCTCCTTCTAGGTTAAGGTTTAATTAGTTATGAAGAAAGCCTTTTCTTAAATGATCTTTCATGAATACTAATGATGGAAAAAAGGTCAAAGGCCATACAGACCTTTGTTAAAGCAAGAAATGTTTATTATTAGGCATTTAATTACATGGGTCTTCTATTTATACTTTCTTGACCTCAACAAACTTTCGGTAGAAGATTAATTATAAAATGGTCTAAAATGATACGAATGTGATGATCGTATTTTAAATATTAAAATCCATCTATATCATGAAACACGTCAACGCAACTATCCTTTTTTTTTTAAAAAAAAGGATTAATTTAATAACATGCAGTAAATAAACATTTACATCATAAAAAAAAAACATTTACGTACATCGTTTTTTCAGCATACTAGTTTTCGGTGGAGTCTAGCAGTGGAAATGCAAAAGAATTCCTTAAATGACATTTATAACAGAAAATCTAAAGTCATTAATCGTAGATAGCAAAAAAAAAAACAGTTTGACTAAGTAGAAAAGAATCTATGGCAAAGATTTTTCCAGCGGTTATATTTAATATCTGCACCATTTTCCCCCCTCTTAGACCTACTCTACTCCCTACACTATACACATCGACACTTCTCTCTCTCACACTACCCAAACAACAAGAAGATGAAAAACCCATAAAACCCATTACTTATTAGTCATTGAAAATCTCTCACACACAAATCCTTTCCTTTTCTCTCACGCCTTCTCTCTCTCTCTCTCTCCCTATAGCATTTACACCTCCTCACGGTCTCTTTATAATTTCCTACTTCGTTTCTTGTTTTTCCCCGAGAAACAATCAACGGAAGACCCTAAAACAGGACACTTGTTAGGTGCATGTGATCGTCAGAGAAAGATAAAGACAGCTTCTTTCTTCTTTCTTCTTCCTTCTCCTTTTTTCCTACTTAGTCTCTCTCTTCTTAATCAAACATGAGCACTTGTTTAGAAGCAGAGTCTAGTCAAATCTTCGTTCCCGGTCCGATCATCGTCGGTGCCGGTCCGTCTGGTTTATCCGTAGCGGCTTGTTTGTCAAACCGAGGCGTACCATCGGTTATCCTCGAGAGAACCGATTGCTTAGCTTCGTTATGGCAAAAACGTACCTACGACCGTCTCAAACTCCATCTCCCTAAACACTTTTGCGAGCTTCCTCTTATGAAATTCCCAAAAAAATTCCCAAAATACCCCTCCAAGCAACAGTTCATCTCGTA